TACCTCTCAAGTCTTTGTCAATCATACAACGTTTTTATTGTCAAATTTTAGATACGATTTAAGTGACTGGGAATACATGTCGTTTACAATGCAAATGACGATGGCAGAATAAAGGGACCCACCGCGGATTTTTTGACCATTTGAGGTTTTTAAAAAAAAATGCTTATGAGAGTTTGCTTCTTGATTTTTTTTTTCTTACGATTTATGAAGGAGGGATGTTAATAATCGACTAGTTTGTTGGGTGTGTGACAATGGTGAGTTATTTGTTGTGTCAATTACCGCGGTAATTTTTATAGTTTGTGATGGTGAAGAAAAAGATCCGTGTAACTGTATAAAGAAAAAAGAAATAGAAATTTATAGGTTAGGTGACACAGGGGAAAGAAGGCTTGCGCAACCGCTACGCGCTTGCGCAATCCTTTTTTCCCCTATGTGGTACCTAACCTACAAATTTCGAGTTCTGACCAGTTCTGACTATTTTTATACAATAACAGAGTTTCCACAGGTCAGAGAATTCAGGAAAACGTCAAGAAAAGTAGAATTGGTCGCAGGGAAAAGTCAAGGATTTTTAGTAAAAGTACTATAAAAAATTAAATTTTTTAAATTCATAAGAAAACTCTCAATTTTGATGTCTTTTTTGTAAAAACTATATGAAATTACTACGAATTCAAATACAAAACCTTTTTTTTCTATTTCTCACAATAATTTTTAATTCATGAAGAGGAGCTATCACAAAATTATTACTTATAAATTATTTAATTAATAATTTTATTTAAATATATCTAAATTAATTGAATTTTACAAGAATTGCGTTTAAAATTTTCATAAATAGATCAACTTCAAAAGGTTTTAATTTTAAATTTTACAAAATTTCAATTATCAATGAATTTAATTACAAATTATAATATAATGAAGTTAGATTTTTCAAAAATTTAAATAATTCGAATTCTGAAATTAATTACATTTTTTTAATATATATTTAATTAATTATTAAAAATAATAGATTTAGGGAAAAATTTTAATTAAAAATACTTAAAAAAAATGAATTTTTGGAAAAGTTATACAAATGATTGGAGAAATTCAATTATTTTCAAAAGTAATAAAATTCTTCGCTGAAATTCAATTATATTCCAAATTTTTTTGAACATCTCGTCTAAATTTCAAGTATTTTTATAAATAATAAAAATTTAAGAGTAATTCAATTATTATATTTACAATTTTTTTACAAATTTCTTCTCAATAATTCAATTATTTTCATAAACAAAATTTTTTACATGGATTCAATTATTTTCATAAATAATAAAACTCGTGGCAGAATTTCAAATATTTTTAATACAATTTTAATTTCAATTCTGTTGAAATTATAGTTGAATTTTAAATATGTATTTAAAATTTTTCTAAAATTTGAACGCAATTTTTTTCTTCGAAAGAAATCAATTATCTTGATAAATATCAAAATTCTTCCTATAGAAATTCAATTGTTTTCAAGAATTTTAATAAAATTCTTTGCAAAATTTAATTATTTTTATAAATGACAATATTAATCACGAGAATAAAATTATTTTCAAGAGTAATAAAATTCTTTTCAGAAATTCAATTATTTTCAAAAATTTCAAAAAATTCTCCACATGATTTTAATTATTTTTTTAAACAGCAAAATTCTTCGCTGAAATTCAATTATTTAAAAAAATTTTAATAAAATTCTACGCAAAGGTTCAATTATTTTTATAAATAATAAAAATTTATCAGGATTTCAATTATTTACGAATTTTTCATAAATCTCTTCGCAATAATTCAATTATTTTTATAAATTTAAATAATAAAACTGTTCTCATCAGGAATTTAATTATTTTTATAAATAATAAAAATCGTTGCAGGATTTTAATTATTTTTTACACAATTTTAATCAAATTCCTCGAAAAAAGTAATTATTTAAAAAAGTTTTTTTTTAAATTCGTTAGAAGAATTCAATTTACTTAAAAATTTGTTGATAAAATTCTTTATGAGAATTCAATTTTAACAAACATTCAATTATTCAATAAATTATTTTATTTCGAATTTAAATAATTGAATTTTGGTAGAATTTTCTAATAAAAGTTCATTTAAAAATAAATTTCCAAATAATCGATTTATTATTTATGAAAATATTTGAATTCTTGCAAGGAATTTTATTACATATTTTTCAAATAATTGAATTCTTTTGAGAAATTTTACTACTTGTAAAAATAATTGAATTCTTGTGAATGATTTTATGAAGATTTTTGTAAATAATTCAATTTTTTTTGAAAAATTTTATGAAAAATGATTGAAAAACCTCATGCGTAATTTAATTATTTCTAAAAATTGTAACTGTAATTCTTCCAAAATTCAATTATTTTTTTTTGGAATTTTTGAATAAAATTATTGAAAAATTATGTCGATTATTATGATATAATAATAGATATAATAATTTTCTTTTCTTTTTTATTTTCAGGCATCAGTTTCTTGAAGCGCACACGTGGTCCAGGAAAAAAATGTGCAGGAATCTTTTTGTCGAGGAAAGTGAATATATGCTGCGTCATCGGAGCTCTATCACAATGCGGAAATCTTCAAAAAGGGTAAGTCTTTTTATTGATTAATTTTGTACAAATTTCATTTGATCCGCACCTCCGATAAAATGTGCTTGATAACTTTATCGAATTTTATTTTTTAATTAACATCTATCTACTATATACGTGTGACAGTTAGGAGTTAATTGAAAGTTGGATCAATTGTCATAAACAAATTTTTTATTATTCTGCGTGTTATCATTTGCTTTTATTTAAAGGAATGATAATTTTTTTTTAATTCGTGATGATATTCAGGAATTATTATTGTTTGGGTCTAATGCGCTTAATAGTAAAACTATATAAGTATTGCGTTTAATAACATAAACTAATATTAATAGCAAAATTTTTTAATACGTAGTATTATGTAGACTTTTAGTATTTACTTATTTTTTGTTACTGTTTCTTTAAAAATATATCTATACGCTGATAAAAAATTTATTTGATTCAAAATAAACGATTACTTGGTCTATTGTCAAGTAGAAATTTATTTGAATTAAATAAATATTTATTTGCAGCAAATAAATATATATTTGAGTCGAATAAATTTATATATTCGGATCAAGTAAATATTTATTTGTAGGTATTAAATAAATATTTATTTTCATCAAATGAAAAATTATTTGCGACAAATAAATGTTTGATACAAAACAACAAACCATTTAACTGACTTAAACAAAAATTACTTGATAGAGATAAATATTTATTTGATAGAAATAAATATTTATTTGATGCAAATAAATATTTATTTTTAAATAATTTTTATATTATTAAGCCAATTAAATGATATTTGTTCGAAATAATCGAAATTATTGGTTCAAATCCAATTTAACTGCTTTAAATAAAAATTATCTGATTCAAGTAAATATTCATTTGATATTATAAAAGTAATCGGATGTTTGAATAAAATAAATCTGTTTTTAGTATTAGTACAGTTTTTAGAGTATACAGTTACTTCATCTGTGAGAAAGCGAAGGAATCACGAAAATTTCTTCCTTGCTTGATAAAAGAGAGCTCTACTTTTTGAAATATTGTAATAAATTATTTTTGTTTAATATTAAAGAAATTAATTTTTGAAGCAATTTATAAAATTAAATATCTTAGATTTAAAAAACAGTTTTTTTGGAAAATTTTCTGTACTTTTACAATTGAAGCCAATTAAGCCAATCAATAACCATTGAAAAAATAGTTAAAGAATTCTTCCTTATCGTTAATCGTTAATTCTCTGAAATTCTCAAAATTTATTTAAAATTAATTAAACCAATTTTAATATACTCTGTTCTTATTTTTAAAGATATTATATTATGAATTTAGATATTCTTTTTTCGAAAAATAATCTTACCTCGATGGTAAAATGTTACCTTACCGATAACTGCTAAGCCCGCAAAGTATTCGTTGAAGTTCCAATTTATTCCTTTCTATATTTTCTACAAGAATTTTTAAATATTCCATTTGAATATTTTTGCATAATATTTTAAATAAATATTTTTGCAATATATTTTAAATAAATAAAAAAAAATTTATTCAAACTAAATGTAATGTATTTGAGTTAAATAAAAGTATATTTGTCTCAGAGCCAACTAAATTATTTATTTGGTTTAAATAAATTTCATTTTGCTTAAATAAATTTTATTTGGTTTAAATAAATTTCATTTGGTTGAAATAAATTTCATTTGGTTTAAATAAATTTCATTTGGTTGAAATAAATTTTATTAGACAAAAATAAAACTTTTATTTGATCTAAATAAAATTTTATTTAAACCAAGTAAAATTTATTTGAAGCAAATAAACAATCTATTTGGCTCTGAGTCCTTTTTCTAAGCAAAACAAATATTTTTTTTTGCTATAGAACAATTTGGACAATTTAGGAAATGACAAACTTTTACAAATAAAATAAAATTCAACTCTTTGTAATTATGAAAAGTAATTAGATGCGAGTTATTATTAGTGATAAAAAATGTTTATCAAATCGCATGGTTCAAATTCATTTAAAAAAAAACAAAAATTGATATTAGTCGAGATAATATAATGTAGATGAACAAAAATGATAATTTATTAATTATTAAGCTTTCGTGTTAGGCGTGTTTTATTTATATCACAATTTTTTATTCCTGTGATAAAAACTTAAAATATAGAAAACAGTTTTTATAATATTAAACATAAAAATTTAATTTTTATTATTTTCGAGAAAAATTAGGAAATATTTAAGAGTTTCAACAGAAAAATTGAGTGGACTTTGACATTCCCTTAAGCATTATTGAAATCGTTTAATTAAAAAATGTGTCAAGAGATTTCAAGTATTATGTAAATTTACATTAATTTTTATTAACGTAATTAATTGTGTATTAATTAATTTTATGAAAGCATTAAAATATGTTCTCTACTTGCTATCAACAGATGACAAAAAGGTTTTTCAAATTTTAGTAGATGGAAAATTGTTCTTTATTCTAAAAAATAAAATTTATAAAACTAATGAATAGGAGAATAATAAAAATACTTAAGTTAGTGCTACTATTGCACAAATCAGTATCACAATAGTAAAAATTGGCAGATTCGGTGTGCATTGATGATCTGGTCTTTCGAATTTTTCCACTAATTGTATGACCGAGATTTGAAAGTGTATCTGTACAGAGACGTCTTACATTTGTTTCACTAAATGTATCTAAAAAATAATAATAATAAGAATTTTTCTTTTCTTTTTAAGTTTGTTGTAATAATAATGAGAATAAAATTAAGAATAGTGATAATACTATTAATATTAATATTTATATTAATATTAATATTAATAAAAAATAATATTAATAATAAAAAAATAATAATATATAATATAATATAATAATAATATAATAATATAGTAATATAATAATATAATAATATATAAATTATATAATATAATAATAATAATATTAATACAAAAAGTTAATTAAAAACACTGAATTAAATGTAGTTGAACAATAACTTTTCTTACTATTTGAAGATTTTGCTACAATTTTTAAGCAATATTTTCCATTACAACTATCCATATCTTCCATTATAAATTGTTCGCCACATATTTTGTATTCTTCTGCAGCACTTAAACTAGAGTTTTTACAAGAAAAACATTTGATACACTCCCCTATAAAAATAATTTTATTTAAATAATTTATTTAAGGTCAAATCTCGAAAGCCAGGAAAAATCGTAAATCAAGAAATACTCAGGGGTTTTTGTTTGTTTCTTTTTTTTTTTTTTTTGCTGAAATTTATTTGTTGAATTTTTCTAAAGTCAGGGAATTTTAATCGAACCAAATGTTAGAATGAGGAATTTTAAATAATTTAAATTAAAAATTCATTAGTCTAGGAAAAAAGAAAAATTTGTCATAAAAAAGTCAGGAATGTTTGAAAATTAAATTTTCCGGCCACTCTGAATATTCAAAAATATTAAACAAAACAGCAAAAAAAGAAAAGAAAAAAATGTGTAAAATTGTATATTGATAAATTGTCACATTATGGGGAAAATTAGATAAGTCAGGGAAAAGTCTGGAAATTTTACGAAAAGTATACTGAAAAATATCAATTTCTAGAGATTTGTAAAATTTTTCTTGAAAAATATTGAAAAATATTGTCATAAATGTCATAAATGTCATCTCTCTTGAAAATATTGTCATAAAAAGCAAAAACAAAATAAAAATTTACAATATCATTTTTTTAATACACGACGCAATATTATTGCAATTAAAATTGGATTTTGAAGAAAAAATAAATAAATCGTTCATTCGAACATCTAGAACTTTAGAAAAATTTTTTATTAATAGATTTTTATTGACTCTCTGTATAAAAATTCTTGTTGAATTTATAACTCACCTAATGCTACGATACTAGAAATAATAAAAAAGGTGATTGCCAGTTTCATGATTTCACACACTTTTTATATTTTTCAGTAAAACTTTAATTAAACGATAAAAATTTCTTAATTAATAATTTAAATGCAAAACATTAGACAAAACATTAAATTTGAGAAAATTAACAATGTTTCAGGTGAATTTGTTCATTAACGGGGCTTATTTTTTTTAAAAACTATTTCCAAGAAATACTCGTGAAAACTGAAAGAATTTTGATAATGATTTCAGCTAAGAGCATACCAAAATTTTAAGATTATATCTGACACGAGATTATTAACGATATCAACAATCATTTATATGATTATTGATAAAAAAAAATTGTTGACATTTATTGAGGATATTCTAACGATAAATTATTTCACATTAAAATTGAAATAATTTTAGAAACTTTTTTTTGGAACATTAAAACTAATTTTAAAAGATATTGATAATAACATTGTAGTTTGTTTACACAGCGGAAGAGTTTTTATCTGCAATACGAATTAAGTAATTGAATAGAAAGATTGAAAATAGATTATAGATTTATGTAATAATCTAATAATTGTATAACGTAATTTTTTCTATTGCACTGTAAAAAAAAATATTTTATTAAAATAATATTTGTCTTAGTCAAAAAATTATTTACTTGCATCAAGTAATTTTTGTTTAAATGGTATTCATTATTTATTATTATTCAATTAAATAGTATTTACTTCAAATAAAATACTGAAAATATTGGTTCTGGTACAATTTATTTGATTCAAGTACATTTTAATTGATTTAAATAAAAATTGTTTGATTCAAGTAAATATTTATTTGATATTAGAATGAAATTAAATCTATTTTTTAAAATAGTTGATATTGAAAATAATTAAAATTAGAACGCAAGTATTTTTTTGACATTTATGAAAATAATTGAACTTATTTTCAAAAATTTTAATAAAATTCTTGGTGAAATTTCAATTATATTAAAAAAATTTTTAAATTTTCGTCAAAAATTCAATTATTTTCAAAGACTTCAATAAAATTCTTGTCAAAGTTTCAACATTTAATTATTTTCATAAAAATAATAAAAATTTCACAAGAATTCGATTTAGTATTTACAAATTTTTTATAAATTTCTTCGTAATAATTCCATTGTTTTCATAAATAATAAAATTTTTTATAGGAATTCAATTATTTTTATAAATAATAAAAATTTTTATATGGATTCAATTATTTCTAATACAATTTTAATCAAATTCCTCGAAAAATGTAATTATTCTTAAAATTTTTATTCAAATTCGTCGAAAGAAGCATTATAACATGCATTTTTAGAAATTAATTGAATTTCAAAATGGTTACAAATTAAAATCTTTGAAAATTTGAATTTTCCACACTTTTAATAAAAAATTCTGTAGAATTAATTTTTTTAAAAAGTTGAATTGAATTTTTTTTTTTAATTATTTAAAGTTTTTCTTTTCTATAATATATATTTATTTGAAGAATTTCGGAAAAATTGTACTAAAAAACAAATAGATTTAGAAATTTTCAAAGAATTTTTTCAAAAATTATTAAAAATAATTGATTTAAAGAAGAATTTTAGTTAAAAATTCTAGAAGATAGTAATTGAATTGAAATGATGAAAAAATAATTTTGAAGAAGTTACAGTAACAATATTTTTGTAATTCAATTATTATTTTCTAAAATTTATTTTAAATTATTTTTTATGAAAATAATTGAATTCATTAAAAAAATTTTATTATATTTATGAAAATAATTGAATTTCTGTGAAATAATTGAACTTTGGAGAAGAATTTTGTTATTTATAAAGATAATTGGAATTTTTAGGAAAATTTTTTTCAAGTTTTAAAAACAATTGTATTTTAAAAGAATTTTTTTTTTTTTTTTGAAAATAATTGAATTTCTGCAATTATTTGTAATTTCTCAAAAATTGAATTTTTTTAGTGTGTTCAATACAATTTTAAATTAGAAGTTTTAAATTCTTATATTTTTAAAATTTATTTATTTCTCCATTGTACACTTTATAGGTACAAGCTTATACAATATATTAATTTATGAAATTAATATTTTTATTATTTATTTATAATACTTTTATTCGCTTCATTTATTTTTTTATCATTTTTATTAACTATTAATGTATAAAATTAATAGTTTCATTCTTATTTTTTTAAGTTTTATTTCTTCTTTATTATTTTTTTTTATAATAATTTGATCTGTTGTATTTATTTTTAATTTATTCTTTGTTTATTATTTATTCATAATAATTTTAATTATTATATTTACATTTGTACTATTATTTTTAACTAACAATTTATAAAATTTATTTATTTTTTAATTTTTTTTTAATATCTATTAATTGCTTAGTTAAATTAGTGAAATGAAATAATATTTTAATGTTTAATTTATAAAATTAATAGTTGGATTGAAATGGTAAAGAAAAAAATGAATTTTGCAATAATTTGGGTCGATGTGCCATTGCAAAAATCTTTATTGCAATAGTACTTTTTCCAATAATTTGCTGGTATTCCAAGTGTTATATTCGGTTCGCAGGAACGTGCCAAAACAACTGTTTTGTTTTCTGGAAAAAACATTAATAATATTAGTTTATTTTATTATTAGTTTATTATTTCATTATTAATTTTTAATTTTTAATTTTTAATATTTTCTTTTCAATTTTTAATTTTTAATCTCATTTTTAATTTTTAAATTAGTCAAATTTTTTGTAATCAATTTAGTCCAACTCTTCGATGAAATTGTGAATTTTCATTTAAGTTTTTTGTTGTATTATTTAGACAGCGATTGCCAAGTCCAATCCATTAGATTTGTCCTCTAATTAAATTATTTTCTTCTTATTATTACTTACCACTTTCATAGTAACGAGTTGTTTTTGAGCAAAATGTTCCATTGCAGCTTCTCACATATTCTGAGTTTGGATCAAAAGGATCTTTACAATAGACACAGTCGTAACAAAAAATCGCCTTCGCTTTAAGGAAATTAATTTTGTCATTATTATAAATATTTTCCTCCATTTGTTAAAACTTGAAAATTAAAAAAAAATTTTTTTTTTAAATTAAAAAAAAAATTCCAATTGTTATTCTTATCAATATTTTTCACATTTCTTAAAGGTTAGATTTGACGATAATTAATTATTATTAATAATATTTTTTATTATTAATAAACATTTATTATTGAAATTAAAGTTTTCTTTTTTGAAATTCGCGCCAAAACAGTTCGTTAAATTGCCGCCTAGAGGGCATGAAAATTCTCTCGCAAACGAAGTGAAATGAATGGTAGTGATGTAAAATTGCTTATAAAGTGAATATAATAAAATAAATTATAAATAATTTTTATTGATGGTTTTTATTATTTATTCATTTATTATATTATTAATTTTTTATTATTGAAAAATAAAAACAAAAAAATTCAAGATCTAAAAAATTGTTCAAATATTTACCTGCTTTAGTTGTGAATAGTATTACAGTAAATAATAATAGAAATTTCATTTTTTTAAACTTTTCTTTCAGTTTTTATGTCATGTTTCAAAAATTATGATTAATCACTTTTACATATATTTATGTACATAGTTTCTTCTGTTCTTTAAAAGTTCCTTTTTTTTTTGCTCGGAAATAAACTTTATGATTTGCTTTTCTCTTATTGATATTCAGTATAATAAATTTTTTTATGCCTCAAATTGAAAATTTTTATAAAACGTTGGAAATTGTATTATAAAAAAAAAGTTATAAAAAAGTTCTTCTTTTTATGGATCGTTCCCACATGTATATTTATTATGCGACAATAACTTGTGCACTGAATCTTTCTTCGCTTCATTTTATGTACAGGTATGCAAAAAGAAAAATGTATGTATGTCAGAGATTAAAATGGCATTAAGTAACATTAAATAATACCTAAATGGAATAATGATAAAACATACACATATCGTGTCATTAAAAGATTTCAAAAATTACATCATCCTTTTTATAACTTCATTTTATTAAATTGAGAAATAATTTTATTTTATTATTTCTGGTTAATTTATGTTGGGGTATTTACAAAGTTGATGTAAATTTGTTTATAACAATATTATAATTTGTTTGTTTCTTTTTCTTTTCTTCTTTTTTTTCTTTTTTTTCTTCTCTTTTTTCCTTTCTTTTTTCTTTTATATTTGTTTTCAATAAAATATCATGGATATGGAAATTAAATTAGCATCTCGCGTGTTTATAATTTTGTGAGAGGAAAAATAATTAATTGTGTTTTTAAAATTACTTTGATTTTTTTCTGTTTCTTTTTTTTTTGTTGACTTTACACCTTTGTTGAAGGAAAATTTTTTTCAAAGATATAATTTTGATAAATGTGTCCGTAAAATAAATTTTTTTTTATCATTTTTTAAGTGTACACAATTTGTTCTGATATAAAAAAAATTACTTTTGCGTTTTAGTTTTATTTTTTTAATTTTTATTCGTCGTTTTAGTCATTTTATGTATTTTTTATTTATGTATTTTATATTTTTTTTATGAATTTTTTATGTATTTCTCGGTATTTTCATTTTTATGTATTTTTTATGTATGTTTTTTATATATTTTTTTTGATATTTTTGTTGATTTGTCTAAATATTTGCATTTTTCTATTAAAATTAATTTTGTTAAACATTTTTTTTATATTTAGTTTTTTCAAGTTTTAGTTTTATTAATTTTTATTTTTTTTAGTTCTAATTTTTTAACACAATTAATTTTAATTTACATTTATTTATTATTATTTTTTAGTTTCTTAGTTTCAGTAATTAATGGAGTAATTTTTTCTTTTTCTTTTTTTTAATTTTAATTTTTTCGTCCCTGTTCAAAAATATTTTTTTTTATTAAATTCAGTTATTATTTTAGGGATTTATTATGAAAAAGAAAGATTTTTGAAGATTTCACTAAAAGTAACAAATTAATAACTCATTAATCAAAAAATAAAATATAAATTAATTAAAAAACAATAAGAATTGAAAAAATAAAATTTTGAAAAAAATTAATGCCACAAAATGTACAAAAACAATACAAAGAAACATGAAAGAAGAGAGAGAGTGGGAATTTATATTTAGACTTTTACATTCAGTTGAAATTGATTCAGTGTTACAGTTTCCGTCCTTTTTTTAAATTTGAAATCCTTGAAAAAAATCTTCAAGTTTTTTTTAGACTTTAATTTAAAAAATAACAATCAAGACGAGAAATTATTTCTAAAATTTATTTTTCGAAAAAAAGAGCATTTTTTTATTTTTAGAAGAAAGAAATGAAAATTTTAATGAATCTTGATGTACATTGTGGAGGGGAATTTTAAAGAAAAGGGTTAGACTCTCACTTTACAATATTCTCTTAGACAGACAGTGTCGTTTTTTCAGCACTTTATAATCGAGCAAAAATTTTTTTTATTTGGAAACTATAGTTTTTTTTCAAATTTAGAGAAAAAGAAATATTTACACAAAAAATTTTTTGTCGAAAGTGTTTTAAAAATGGAAATTTTTTAAAAGACAAAAATTAAATATTTCCTGTGAGAACAAATATTGACATATTAAAAATATTTTCCGGTCTTTTTTAATTTAATTAAAAATACAAAATTATCGTGTGACGACTTTAATATTTTTTTTTTTATGGAAATGGGATATTTTTTAAAAGAATTTTGTCCCATTTTTAAGAATTTTTAAATTCTAAAGTTACGAATGTTTAGTTAATTTTTTATTTTTTACTAAATAATTGCCGCACGATGTATGTTTATTGACAAAATTAATCATAATTCCTATTTAATTCTAAATTTAGAAATTAGAATACACTTTTGTTTAGTGCTCTTTTTTTATTTATTTATTTATATTTATTTTTAGAACCTTTTTTTGAATTTATTTTTTACTTTATTATTTTGGTGATAAAAAATATTTTTAAAATTATTTATTTATTATAAAGTCTTTAATTAATACATATTAGAAAATGATTCAATGAAAAGAAAGCAACAATATTTTTTTTAAATAAGCTATTTATCGAACTCATTATTATAATACAGTGTTAAATTTTCATATAATACATTTAAAAACGTTTTACATTTAAAAACCTAATAAATATCTAATCGATGTCACTAATATTGATTTTCACTTCTTTCCTTTAAGAATTTTCGTTTAAAATCTATAATATGTATATATATTTTTTTCATATAACAAATTTGCAGTTCAGTTTTAATATATCACATAATAAAATCTCTTAAATTAAATCACTAAATAATAAGAAAATAAATAATATAAATTACATACTTTCGATACACGTATCAGTTGCTTTTTTTGTATTTTGTTGTTGTTGTTGTTGTAGTAAAAATTTGTCATAACAATACTTAGAAAAATGTGTGTCTACTTTGTACTGTTCTTTTTTTTCGTCAGCTTTCATAAATATTTGGCACTTTATATTTCCCTGTATAACAATAATAATATAATAGTAATTATAATAATTATAATAGGGATGACTTTTTCACTAGTTAAAAATTGAGATTAAACATGCAGGGTTTTGTTTTTTCAATTATAAAATAGAAATGGAATTAATAAAATTAAAATACTGAAATTTTGATTTTTTGATGATCCATTACATAGATCGGTGTCACAAATATAGGCTCGAAATTTGTGACAACCATTTGTTATGTCAACTGGTTTTTTTGACGATGCGTGTACTTCGAAACCGTATTCGTTTCTCATTGGGGCACAGTAGCGAATTATGAATTTGTTATCTTTCTCTGAAAAGGAGAAGAAATAATAATTTAGCAATTGTTTTTTTTTTATTCAAATTTGTTTATAATATTTATTTATTTAATAATTAATTAGTAATAATAAAATAATAAATAAATTTTAAAATAAAATAATTAATAAATTAATTATTTAATATGCGTCGCACTCTGAAGAAAGCTACCTATAAGAAGCAAATGATTTTTAGATTATGTTTGTATTCTTTTTTTAATTAATTAAAAGTTTCTATTTATTTATGTAAAATTAAAATTAGTTTTTTATATTATTTTACATGTAATGAAGAATTAAACTTCAGTGGTTTATATTAGTTGGTCCTCTTTGTGTATTTTTATTTTAAAATTACAAACGTAACCTCAAAATTTTTGCTTCTTAGGTTCCTTTCTTCGGAGCACGTCACATTTATATTTACATTTTTGGTATAATTAATTTGAAATTTTCTGATTAATTTAAAAAATTTCTAATCAATTAAAAAAATTTTACATTAAAAAGAAATTTATTTGTTCAAATAACCGATTATTTGTCTATTATCAAATAAATATTTACTTGACTCAAATAATCGATTAATTATCTATTATCAAATAAATATTTACTTGATTCAAATATTTATTATTTAATATCAAATAAATCATATTGGGAACAATAATTTCAGTATTTGAAGCAAATACCATTTAATTGACTCAAAATAAAAATTATTTGCTACAAATAAATATTTATTTGAATCAAAGAAATTGTTTAAAAAAAAAAATTGTATTTGGACTAATTATTTTAGTTGACTGAAATAAAAATTTCTTGATACAAATAAATATTTACTTGAATTAAACCAATATTTACTTGAGAATTAAATAAATATTTACTTGAATCAAATAAATATTTACTTGCATCAAATAAATTTTTTTTAAAGCAAAAAAAAATTGTATTTGACCCAATAATTTCAGTATTTAAAGCAAAAACTATTTAATTGACTAAAATTAAAAATTTCTTGATACAAATAAATATTTATTTGAATCAAATAAATTGTTTTTAAAACAAAAAAAAATTGTATTTGGACCAATTATTTTAGAATTTCAAGTAAATAACATATAATTGACTAAAATAAAAATTTCTTGATACAAATAAATATTTATTTGATTCAAATTACCGTTTTCTAGTTTATTATGAAATAAATATTTACTTGAATCAAATAAATATTTACTTGCATCAAATAAATTTTTTTTGAAGCAAAAAAAGTTGTATTTAAGCCAATAATTTCAGTATTTGAAGCAAAAACTATTTAATTGACTAAATTAAAAGTTTCTTGATACAAATAATTATTTATTTAATTAAAATTATTGATTTCTGGTCTATTGTCAAGTAAATATTTACTTGAATCAAATAAATTGTTTAAGCAAAAAAATTGTGTTTGAACCAATAATTTCAATAGTTGAAGCAAATATCATTTCAATTGACTCAAAATAAAAATGATTTGATACAAATAAATTTTATTTACGTCAAATAAATTGTATTTGAACCAATAATTTAAGTATTTCAGACAATTATTATTTAATTGACTCAAACATTTTTTCAATGCAAATGATTATTTATTTGATTCAGGAAATTCATTACTTGTCTATTATGAAGTAAAATTTACTTGAATTAATTAAATATTTACTTGAACTAAATAAATATTTACTTGCATCAAATAAATTGTTTTTGAAGCAAAAAACTTGTATTTGAACCAATAATTTTAGTGTATTTGAAGCAAATATCTTTTAATTGACTCAAAAAAAATATTAACTATAGTTAAATAATAATATAGTTAAATAATTATTTACTTGAATCAAATAAATTTTTTTTAAAGTAAAAAATTGTAGTTGGACCAATAATTTCAGTGTTTGAAGCAAAAATGATTTAATTGACAAAATTATAAAAATTTCTCGATACAAATAAATATTTATTTGATTAAAATATTTAAAATTACCGATTTCTGGTCAATTGTCAAGTTAATATTTACTTGAATCAAATAAATTGTTTTTTCAGTGTATAGATTTTAAAATTCAATGATAGTAAAAATAATTTAAAAGAATTGAATATAAATTTAATTCTTATCTATAATATTTTATTCAATAATTTTTTTATTCTATTTTCCAAATAATTAGGATTATTAAATTTACATTAATCAAATTTTATTAAATTACTATTTGAATTAAAATCGACATATAATATCAAATTTTTCAATGAGTTTTTATTTTAAAAAAATACTTATAGTAAATTGATAAATTTAATTTTTAATATTAATATCTTTTAGCTTTGATATTTATTTCTTTTTAATTTTGAGAAAATTAAAAAAAAATTGAAATGTCAGGTAATAATAATATTTTTTAACTAACATACCGTAAGTGACACTTTTCATACATCGATGAGCTGCTGTGCAAAGAATATTTCCTTTGAGTTCAAATGGTGTTTTACAATAAGCCGTTGGTAAATGATCAACTCCTGGCAATGATAGATTCTTTGGTAATGGTACATTTTCAATTGTTGAATCGTCAGTGACCGCTGGAAATCCCTGAATACATTGATAACAACGTATTGAATATCCTGTAAAAAAAATTCTTATTTCATTTTTTTTTCCTTTAAAAAATCAATTCTAAATTTTTCTTTTCCAAAATTTTATTCATTTTTCCTTAAAAAATTATAACCTTTATTTTTCTTTCAAAAAATTGTATTCCATATTTTTCTTTCAAAAAATTCATTCTATATTTTTCCTTCAAAAATTTTATTCTCCACACTGTGTGTATAGTAAAAAGTATAGAAAGGAAAAAAGGGAAGAATAATTTTTATATTTTGAAAAGAAAAATTATTGAATAAAAAAGTATTTTAATTGTTTAAAAAATATATTTTCAGTGTATTTTTACTCACCAAATGTGAATGTGATGATAAAAATGACTGTAAATAAAATGAATTTCATTCTAAAAATGATGTACACTGTTGATTTTTACTCGGAAATTTCACCTAAATCGAGGTTGGTTTATATGACAACTGATGCTCTCAATCTCGATGGCGCAGACTCTGTTACAGGATAGTGAACACCCTCTTTTCACCAATCAGATCAAAAAAATCGTTAAACCCACTCCTTTTAACTATACACATACCAAAATAGAAATGATTCTCAATTCTAAATCATTGGATTAATTTTATTGATTTATCGGAATTGATGAATGCTGATAGTATAATTAAAGACAATTTTTTTTATAAACAAATATACAAAATATTGATTAAAAATAATCCAGTGAGAGAAAATTTATATGATTTAAATAGACGATTAATTGTCTATTATCAAATAAATATTTACTTGAATCAAATATATTTTATTTGAATTAAAAATAAATTTATTTGAGTCAAACAAATTTTTTTCGAGTCAGAGAAATTTTATTTGAGTCCATTAAATTATATTTGCTTCAAATATTAAAATTATTGGTTCAAACACAATTTCTTTTTTTTTTTTTTTTTTTTGCTTTAAAAACAATTTATTTGATGCAAGTAAATATTTATTTAATTCAAGTAAATATTTATTTGATGCAAGTAGGTAAATATTTATTTTATGCAAGTAAATATTTATTTAATTCAAGTAAATATTTATTTGATGCAAGTAAATATTTATTTTATGCAAGTAAATATTTATTTAATTCAAGTAAATATTTATTTGATGCAAGTAAATATTTATTTTATGCAAGTAAATATTTATTTAATTCAAGTAAATATTTATTTGATGCAAGTAAATATTTATTTAATTCAAGTAAATATTGATTTAATTCAAATAAAAAATTTATTTCATAATAGATAAGTAATCAATTATACTTGAATCAAATAAATATTTATTTGCATTGAAAAAATTTTTGAGTAAATTAAATAATATTTAGCTGAAATACTTAAATTATTGGTTCACTTCAAATACAATTTATTTGACGTAAATAAAATTTATTTTTATCAAATCATTTTTATTTGAGTCAATTAAATGGTATTTGCTTTAAATATTGAAATTATTGGTTCAAATACAATTTTTTTTTTGCTTCAAAAACAATTTATTTGATGCAAGTAAACATTTATTTAATTCAAGTAAATATTTAATTAATTTATCTAATTATTTATTTAAATTAAGTAAATATTGATTTAATTCAAGTAAATATTTATTTTATTCAAGTAATATTTATTTCATAATAGACAAGTAATCAATTTCCTAAATCAAATAAATATTTATTTGCATTGAAAATATTTTTTAGTTAATTAAATAATATTTGTCTGAAATAATGAAATTATTGGTTCAAATACAATTTATTTGACGTAAATAAAATTTATTTGTATTAAATCATTTTTATTTGAGTCAATTAAATATTTTTTGCTTCAAATAATGAAATTATTTATTCAAAGACAATTTTTTTTATCAAAAACAATTTATTTGATGCAAGTAAATATTTATTTAAATCAACTAAATATTTATTTAATTCAAGTAAATATTTATTTGATAATAGACCAGAAATCAATGATTTGAATCAAATAAATATTTACTTAATTCAAATAATTTTTATTTGAGTCAATTAAATAAATAATAAGTAATAAATAAATAATGAATAATAAAATAAAAATACAAAAATACAATTTACTTGTTTGAATGAAAAATTCTTTGATTCAAGAAAATATTTATTTAATTTAAGTAAATATTTATTTCATAATAGACAAGTAATCAATTAGCTGAATCAAATAAATATTTATTTGTATTGAAATAATTTTTGAGTAAAATAATATTTGTTACTGAATATATTGTTTATTGATTCTAATACAATTTTTTTTTTTTTTTTTTTGCTTTAAAAACAATTTATTTGAGACAAGTAAATATTTATCTGATAATAGACAAGTCATACATTATTTGAATCAAATTTTTTTTCAGTTCATTTTTTTAAAAGTTGGTAATAATAATATTTGTAACAAAAAAGATAGTATTAATAAAATTTATCTCGTTAGTTGTTAATAATTTATACATAAATTAACACCTAATAGAATAAAATAATTAATTGTAAATCTAATTTTTTAATAATAATAATATACAAAAAGAACAATTTTTTATTGAATTTAAATAGTTAATTATTATAGAAACAATGGAAAATTACATTATTGTTAAACTTATTGTTCTCTTTTTCTATAATTATTTATTGATATTACAATAATTTTTCTATAAAAATTATATCTAAACTTTTTGTATAAAAATTAATTTTAAACTTTCTGAATTGTCAATCTCGATTTTTTAATTTTTGCAATCAGTAATTTTTCCAAAATATTTTCCATGAAAAATATTTTGATCATTTAAACGTTCCAAACTTTTGGATTATTTGTAATAATTAATTAATTAATAATTAATTAATAATTAATAATTAATAATTAATAATTAATTATTAATAATTAATGATAAGCTTATTTGTAATAATATAATTATTCAAAGTTAAATAATTATACTGTCTAGATTTGACAAAATCAATAATTATTTATACGAATAATGATGATAAATGTAAATCCTCGTTTCAATAATTTAATAAGTATTTAAATTTCTCAAAGGATAATAAAGTAATCGTTGCTTAAATATTAATGGTGGAAAGTTAATAGGTATAAATCCCGATTTATAGTGAATAATTAAAATAAGAAAGGTTAAAAAATTCTCGAATCGCAAAGTGAAATTTATTTCATTAAATTATTTCCTTTATGACGGCATAAATGTTGATTCAAGAATAATTAAGCTCGTTTCAATTATGAAAACTCATTGAGAAATTTTTTCGATAAATGTCGACTTTAATTGTTAAGAATGTTAATATTATTACTGATAAAATTCTTTCTGTACGAACTCGTAATTATCTGCAATTTTTATTCAACTCAAATATTAAGATAATAATAAGTAATTAATTAATTAGAAATTAATAATTGCTAGAATAATTGATAACTAATAAAACAATTAGTAATTAAGAAAATAATTGCCAAGTAATAAAATTACAATTAATAGTTACTAAAATAATTGACAATTCATAAAACAATTAATAATTAATAAAATAATTTACAACTAATTAGACAGAAATTAATAATTAAGAAAATAATTGGCAACTTATATAGTAATTAATAATTACTAAAGTAATTGATAATTACTAAAGTAATTGATAATTACTAAAGTAATTGATAATTACTAAAATAATTGACAATTACTAAAATAATAAATAGTCATTAATAATTAAAAAAAAATTGCAAAATTTAATAGTAATTAGTGATAAAGAAACTATTTTCCAATTAATAAAACAATTAACAGTTCATTAATAAAATAATTGACAAGTAATATTGTCCCTTTTCATAATTAATAATTAATAAAAAAAATGAAAATTAATAAAATAGGTAGTAATTAATAAATATCATAAAATAATTTCTAATTAAACTTTCTGTTTGGAGTATTGACAATATAATTAATAATCTTATTGGGACAGGGAATAAATTGAAAAGTAATAATAAAAATAATAAAGTTGAATAAATAAATCAATTCCAAAATTGTGGAATTAAAAACGTATTTATTTATGACAAACTTTAATTTACTTGTAGTTTATAAAATATTACATACATTATCGTATTCGGTGCGAAATGTGAATCGCGCTCAAATTTTTTTTTCTTGTAGCACATCACTTTTTATAATATTATTTAAATAACGTGTAGCTTATTTTATTGATTTTTTGTTTTTTTTTAATTTTTATAAATAATTATTCTATAACTCTGAATAATAAATTGTCTTATATAACTCTGCAACAATATATTTCTTTTTTTTTTATAAATATTTCTTTACAATGGAGTTTGCTGCTTATATAACGACATAGGCAGTGTGGTTTTTGCATATATTTTTACTTTGTACTTACAATATAAAATTATTTAGTTATAAAATTGCTGTGCTTTAATAATTTTATTTATATTTATATATATAGAAATAAAAAATTTTTTAAAAGCGAGCCGAGATTTATTCCACGATATTCTTTATTTTTATTTTTGAAAATATATTTTCTTTCACTTTTTTGTTGAAAATTAATATTATTGTTTTTTGATACGTAAATAAATGAATTTGTGTTAAATAAATAAAATTTATTTCCTAATACTATAAAACTACGCGAGGAAATTTAAATTTTTGAACTAAAATTAAATAATTTTAGATTATTTATATTAAATTTTATTTAATTTGATAAAAAAAATTTTTTAAATTTGATTAAAATTAATTTTTATAATTTCATTATTTAATATAATTTAATAGCGAATAAAAATAAATAAAATTGGTCATTTCTTTACTGAAACAAAAAAACTTAATTATACACTTTTAAATTCTATTTGATTTAAATTAATTTCTATATGCCATTGAATTTATTTAATTTCAAATTTTTAATGATTTCTGCCTTTTGTTTTAAATTTAAACAATTTTTAAAATTTCGTGCAAAATAGCGTGGAATATAACTCGTAAAATATTTAAATCTATGTTTTCTTCAACTGAAAAGCATTATAAATTTATTTAGTTAATAGAATTTTCTATTATATATTTATATAATTTTTTTCTTTATTTTCATTACTTAGATATGTTATGATTTTTTTTTCTTTTAGTTTTAAGAAGAATAATTTTTTGTTTTAATTTTTTTTTTATATCCGAGAAGCAATAAAAAGATGAATATTTATCCTATTATTAAATTTAATGAAAAATTATAATTATTCAAAATCTAAATATTTTTTTTTATATATAAAATAGTAGCATGAGTAATAAATATCGCATATTAATGGACGTATTTGTGATAATTTCGGTAGCGGTATTGCATAAATTAGTGTCACATGGATAAATTGTGTATTTAAACTGGCTGTGTTTAAAAATCTTTGGTTCATTGGGCGTTAAATGGGGTAATTCAGAATTTTCTTGACATAAATGTATAACGATTTCTCCATGTGTTACTGCAAAATAGAGATATTTTATGTATTTTTTAAATTTAATTTTCGGAAATTTTATTTTTAATGTTTTAATTCAAAAAAAAAAATTTCTCCATAGTATTTGTTTTTATAAAAAATTTTTTTATTAATTTATACTTTTATATTTTTTAAATTTGTATGATAAATAATTATATTTAAATATTCGTTTTATAATACACTGGGAAAAAATTTATTTGATTCAAGTAACTGTTTACTTTGGTAAATAAATATTTACTTGAATCAAAGAATTTTTATTTCAAACAAGTAAATTGTATTTTTGTATTTTTATTTTATTATTCATTATTTATTTATTATTTATTATTTGAAGCAATTTAATTGAGTAATATCAAAATCAAAATTCAAATTATTGATTTCTGGTCTATTATCAAATAAATATTTACTTGAATTAAATAAATATTTACTTGCATCAAATAAATTTTTTTTTATGAAAAAAAATTGTCTTGCAAAGAATAATTTCAGTATTTGAAGCAAATACCATTAAATTGACTTAATAAAATTTATTTGATACGAATAAATATTTTTTTTGTTATAAATAAATATTTTATTTTGTTATAAATAAATATTTATTTTGCTGTAAATAAATATTTATTTGATGCAAATAAATATTTTTTTTTGTTATAAATAAATATTTATTTGATACAAATATTTATTTTTTTGTTATAAATAAATATTTATTTGATACAAATATTTATTTTTTAGAAATGATTAAATACAAATAATTTGATTACGAAAATTACTGATTACTTGTCTATTATCAAATAAATTTTATTTGCGTCAAATAAATTGTATTTGAACCAATAATTTCAGTATTTGATGCAAATATGAACCGAACCATTTAATTGACTCAAATAAAAATTATTTGATATTAAAATAAATATTTGTTGATTATAAACAAATATTTTTAAAAGACAAAATATTTTTTATTTGAATGAAATAAATTTTCTCCCAGTGTATAAAATAAAAAAAATATAATAAATTATAAATATCTATATATTATAATAATTGTTGATATTATTATCGTAATCAAAATAAATCAATTACTATAAAATTATTTTTAAACAAAATTAAAGGGATAAAATTGATAGAATTATTTCCAAACTAATTAGAATGGTAAAATTGAATTTCATATTATTATCATTAATTTTGGGATTAAATTGTTTGACTTTAATATTGAATGAGGTAATTTATTGGAATGTTTAAAATGTTCAGTGGTTGAATGAACTGTTAAATGTTTAATTACCCTCAACGACACTCTTAATACAGTAACGATGAGTTGAACAAGTGGGATATTCACTTAATTCCATCGAAGTGTTACAATATTCATCAGGTATTGTTACACCAACAAATAATGTTATTGAATTGCTGAATGATGTTCGATTATTTTCTGGTGAATCGACAATACAATTGTAACAATTTATTGTTTTTCCTGGAAAATAAAATTTTCACTCTCAAAATATTTTAGTTTATTTTTTATTTATTTCTATTATTTTTTTTCGTTTATTTTCATTATATTTTCTATTTATTTTCAATATTTTTTTTTTTATTTATTTTAATATTTTTTTTATTTATTTTTATTATTTTTTACTATTTATTTTTATTATTTTATTACTTTATTTGCATTTTATTATTTCTATTATTTTTATTTTAGTTTTCTTATCGTTATAATAAGCACATCTCTTTTTTTTATTCTTTCTTCAATTGTATGTTTTTAGTTTCTGTGAATAATTTGACAGTTCAACAATTTAATAATTAAACAATTAAACAATTAAACAATTACATTTCTAAACAATTTTTTTTTAAATTTAAAAAAAATTTTCTTTGTGAAAAATTTAAATATTCTTTTAAGATTGTATTAATTTTGAGAGAATGAAAGAATTTAGGATTTTCTTTTTTTTTCTTGATTGAAAATTATTTGTCATTGAATTAAAAAAAAAAAAATTGAAACTAGTTTACATACCAGTTGTGCAGATTAATAAAGAGAATAAAAATTTTTTTTTCACAACACTGCTTACCTAAGGTAAATATTGTGGTAATAATTGATAGAAAAAATAAAAATTTCATTTTTCTAGTTTAAAAATTATTTTTAAATTCAATTGTTCTTAATCCACTGACCCTTGTCGCGCCAGTGAATTTTCGCGAATGTCCTGAGAGAGCTTTTTATTCCATGAGTTTTGCAGGATTCTCAAAATGATCCTGTCAGCGCATGCAGACTCTTTGCCAGCATGACCGTATCAAATATTTTCCGGACCAACGTAATCAATAAAATTTGAAAAACCGAACAAATTTGTTTTTCAAAAATATTGTTAATTTTTTTAGATTAACTATTTTTTAAAAAAAATAGTTTTATATTAAAATTATTTTTCTATTAATTTTTATATGAATATTTTTTTTAATTATACACATTTTTATTCAATTCAAATGCAATTTAATTCAATTAAATTTTATTTTATTATAAACAATTACAAATATTTTTATTATAAACAAGTACCTACAAATATTTTTATTATTAAACAAGTACAAATATTTTTATTATTAAACAATTAAAACGATAAAAATTTACAAATATACATATTATATTCATATTACATTTTTTTTGGTGAAATAAATAATTTGTAAATATCGAAAAAAAAATTTTAATTTTAAGATGAAATAAATTTAGAAATATAAAAAAAAAATTTAATTTCAAGATAAAATGAATATTTCTTTTATTTGGACTTACAGAATTTTTGGATCTTATTATATATACGTAGAATTAATTATTTTTGGAAAAATAATAATAAAAATACTAAGAAAATTGCTAGTGATTTGATAGCAACTATTGAAGATGCATCATTACATAAATCAGTAGAGCAAATTGTCGTAATGAATACAATATTGTTTTTCTGATCTCTTCTTTTAAAAATAGGAATATTTGAAGATGTAAAGTTTGTACATTGATGATAATTTACAGAAGTTTTGTCTGAAAAAAATGTAATTTTATTATTAGAGGAAAAGTAATATTTTTTAATATATATTATATTTTTTAATGATAATAAAAATAATAATAATAATAATAATAATAATAATAATAATAATAATAATAATAATAATAATAATAATAATAATAATAATAATAATAATATCACGAAGAGAATAAATTTCGCATAACAAAATGAGGAAAATAAACAGATGTAAAAATTTTTAAACATATTTTTGAAGTGATTAAAGTGAAAATAAATATTTCTGTTAAAATAATTAATATAATTTTCTTTAACTTACTTATAGAAATCTGCACATGAAGACAATTCTGAGTATTATGACACATTGGCCCTACGACTCTTCCTCCATTATACAAACAAGTTTTTAATAATTTTGTTGGATAAGTGGCATTTACAAGAGCGAATAATTGTTCAGTTTCTTGTAAATTATAATCATGGCAGTCATAACAGAACAAACCATCACCTGAATGTTAGTAAAAAAATATATATTTATTTATTCAATTTTTATTTTATTCAAATATAAATTTTCATTTGTATCGAATAAAATTTTTGTTTAAAATAAATAAATAATTTAAGTGGCTCTTAGACAAATATACTTTTATTTGAAACAGATAAATTTTTTTTTTTAAATAAAAATTTTATTTGTCACAAATAAATATTTTTTGAACGTGAATAAACTTTTCTTTTAAGTTGAACCAAGTAAAATTTATTTACAACAAATGAAATTTATTCGAACCAAATGAAAATTGCAAAAAATAAAAAAATTATTTGCAACAATTAAATTTTTATTTGACTGCGTGAGACAAATCTTTTCTTTGGGAATTTTTCTAATGTTTTTAAAATTTTTTTTTATTCTTTAAAAAATATTTTTTGTTTTTATGTATTTATTTATCAAATTAAGATATTTTCTTTATTTTTGACAGAAAATATAAAAGTGTTTTAAAACTTAAATCCTTAAAAAAAATGCATTAAATATTAACATTATTTTTTTTAATTAAAGAAAATTTTTACTCACCAATTGCGATCGAAATTGTGGCTAATAACAAAGAAAGAAAAAACTTCATCTTTTTCTATACTTTACGAAAGCAAGGCTCTAAAAAACTGAAAGATTTTCATTTTTAAAGTCTCTTTCCTAGATTTATATACATTGTCAAATTTGTGTACCTAAAGATAATTCTTAAATATCACGAGGTAAATTATTTAATTTTATGTTATATATTTGAAGAAGGTGAAGAATTAAGTAATTTTTCTTTATCTATTGTAACATTTTATTAGTCTAATTAAAATCACAAAGTTAAATTAATTTTATATTATATTTGATTTGTCAAACATTTACAACTAAAAACACACTTACCACACCCAGAGAAAAATATTATTTAAACCAAATATATTTTATTTGAGTTAAATAAATGTATATTTGTCTCAGAACCAAATATAGACTTTTTATTTGTTTTAAATAAAAATTTTATTCGGCATAAATAAAACATATATTTGAGCCAAATAAAATTTTATTTAGACCAAATAAAATTTATTTGAAACAAATAAAAAGTCTAGTTGGTTCTGAGACAAATATACAATTTCTCTGGGTGCATACAAAATTAATTTGAAGTAAAACAAATCCGAGGAAAATGACGGAAATTCAAAACTAAAAATAAATCAGCAAAAATTAAAGAAATTTAATTTTTAGAGTTAAATCATTTTTTATCCTAGTTTGATTTAAAAAAATCTTTCGGAAATTTTCACAATAAAAAATGTTTTTTTATATATAAAAAGTTATTAACAATTTATGATTCTACACTCAGAGAAAAATTTGATTCAAATATATTTCATTTGATTCAAATAAACTTTTTTTGGTCAAAATATATTTAATTTAATTTAAATAAATTTCATTTGGGTCAAATATATTCTATTGGGTTCAAATAAATTTTATTTGGTTGAAATATGTTTTATTTGGTTCAAATATATTTTATTTGGTTCAAATATGTTTTATTTGGTTCAAATATATTTTATTTGGTTCAAATATATTCTATTCGGTTCAAATAAATTTTATTCGGTTCAAGTATATTTTATTTGATTCAAATATGTTTTTGTTTGGATCGAATAAATTATTTTTTTTTTATAGAATCATATTTTATTTAGTTCAAATATATTTTATTTGGTTCAAATAAATTGTATTTGGTTCAAGTATATTTTATTCAAATTTTGTTCAAATAAAAAGTTTATTTTCTCCCAAAAAAAATTTTTCTTCAGGCGAAATAAAATTTGTGTTTAATAAAAATAAAAATGCGAGACTGTGAGACAAATGATTTATTTAACACAGATACCATTATATTTAATTCAAATAAATATTTCACTGGGTGTAGTAATCGTAAATGAAAAATTTTTTTCACTCAGATTCGATTGACGAATTTAAAAATTAAAAGTAAGAATTATTTGTCTTTAAAATGCAATTTACAAAAAAATTGAGATAAAAAAATTTTTTCTCATTTAATTTAGTTGCGACCGTTTTAAGAAAACAATAATATCAGGACAATTGCGAGTAACGCCACTGTGAATATTGAAGAAGCGCCATTACACAAATTAGTGGAACAAACTTTAAATTTCATTTCACTTGTTACGTTTTTGGAAATATTTAGACGGAGATTTCCGTTGGCTATGATGTTTAGTTCTGCACAATAGTGATATTCTAATTTAATAGAATTGTTATAATATTCTGAAAATTATATTCTAATTATTTATCATATTTTTTTATATTGACAAAATATATTTAATTGTATAGAAAATTATAAATTACTTTTTAAAAATTACTTTTTATTATTAATATTTTTTGTCGTTTTTATTTTAATAATTTAATATCAAAGGATGTTAAAGATTATTAATATTATTAATTTATATATTATTATATATAATTATAATTATAATATTATTATTTACATATTATTTTAAATTTATTAAAATAAATTTATTATTTTAATATTTTATTGTTACTTATTTTTTTTTAAATTAATTTTTATTATAGTTTTGAAAATATATATTTTTCTAACTTTCAAAATCAAACCCTTTTTTTAGTCTAGCAAACTAACGTTATTTAATGTTTATTTATATATTATTTTGTAACATACACACCTGCATCACCGACTAAACTGACGCAACTGATTGCGTCTTCACAAAGTGGACCACTGATTTTTCCAAACTTAATGGAACACATATCAGTTGAAGTATAATTTGGTAGATATTTATTAAATTCTTTTGCAATTTCCATATGAGTTTGATTGTCAGAACTATGGTAGCAGTTGAAACATCGTAAATTATTACCTGATATGACATAAAATTAATAATTATAAGAAATTATTTTCTGCTGCACTAAAAGAAAAATTATTTTTGAAAGAAATAAAAATTTTTTTGAAAGAAATAAAAATTTATTTGAAACAAATAAAAATTTATTTGAAACAAACAAAAATTTATTTAAAATAAAGAAAAATTTATTTGATTCAAATAATTGATTACTTTTCCATTATTAAATAAATATTCACTTGACTGAAATAATTTTTAAATGAATTAATTTAAATCAATTGAAATTTTGTAAAATTTAATCGAAAATAAATCATTTTTTCAACTATTTTATTACAATGTTTTTAAAAATTAACTTTTAAAAAATTTTAATTGATAATAAAAATGAAAATTAATGAAAATTAGATTGTAAAAATAATATTAAAATATTTTTGAAAAAAAATTAATTCTCAGAATTTTTTCATTCTAATTTAAAAAAATTAATTTTTTTAGACCTATTAAAATTTTGAGAACCCATTTATAATTAAAATTCTTCAAAAATTTGATTATTTTTTTTTATATTTTTTAAAAACTCAATTATTTTTCAAAGATTTTAGCAAATTTCAATTATTTTTAAAAAGGTTTTACCAAACTTCAATTTTTTGGACATATTTTAATTGAATGTAATTGTAAAAATATTGTCTGTCCACCAACCGATTTAGAGATGAAATTTAGTTCAAAATTGTAGAAAATAATTGAATTTCGTAAGGATTATAGTTGTGATTTTCAGAAATTAATAAATTTCAGAAGTTGGAAATTTTTGAATTTTATTTCCAGTGAAAAAAGAAAAGAAAAAGAAATTATTAGTTCGAATACCATTTAATTTATTAAAATAAAAATTATTTGATTCAAGTAAATATTTATTTGATAATAGACAATTTGAATGAAATAAATTAGTTCTACAGTGTTTGTATTTTTATTTTATATTTTTTATCTTTAATTTAAAATTTTCTTAACAATGAATGAAAAAGGTTTTATTAAATGATAAAGAAATAATTTTTGTTTGGAGAAAATAAAAATTTCTACTCACCAAGTGTTGAAGAAATTGTGACAATTGTGACTAGGAGATAAAAAAGAAATTTCATTTTTTCTATTCAGAGTAATTGACTTTTTAGAAGGTGAAACGAAACTGAACTGAAGAAATTTTATTGAATTTCATTTTCTTCACCCTAATGTAATTTAATTCAATACTTGAGTGTAAATTTATACATTTCTATAATAACACAAAACAACTTTTTGTGGGTGTAATAATTTATTAATATTTGACGCAGAAAGAGCAAAGTTTTAGTTGTTTTTTCCCTTACATTTTATTTTGGTAGAATATTGAATGGCACCTGTCGATTACATTTTTTTAAGTAAATTGAATACATAATTGAAATTGATTTGTGAGAAAGGCTTAAAGTAAAAAAAAGTATATTCTTTGTCATGTATCCAAAAAATATAATTATATTTGACGGAAAGTCTTCTAAATTTTTTATTTGGTTCAAATACTTTTTCTTTGGTTCAAATATATTTTATTTGGTTCAAATACTTTTTCTTTGGTTTCAATTATGATTTATTTGTTTCAAGTATATTTTATTTTGTTAAAAAATATTTTATTAGTTTCAATTATCTTTTATTTGGTTCAAGTATATTTTTTTTTGTTCAAAAATATTTTATTAGTTTTAATTATCTATTATTTAGTTTAGAAATATTTTTGATTAGTTTCAATTAGATTTTATTTGCTTTAAATACTTTTTCTTTGGTTCAATTACTTTTTCTTTGGTTCAAATATATATTTTATTTGGTTCAAATACTTTTTCTTTGGTTTCAATTATGTTTTATTTGATTCAAGTATATTTTATTTTGTTCAAAAATATTTTCGATTAGTTTCAATTATATTTATTTGGTTCAAAAATATTTTCGATTAGTTTCAATTATATTTTATTTGGTTTAAATAATTTTACTTTGGTTCAAATTTATTTTATTTAGTTCAAATACTTTTTCTTTGGTTCAAATATATTTTATTTGGTTCAAATACTTTTTATTTGGTTCAAATATATTTTATTTGGTTCAAATACTTTTTCTTTGGTTTCCATTATATTTTATTTGGTTCAAGTATATTTTTTTTTGTTCAAAAATATTTTATTAGTTTTAATTATCTATTATTTAGTTTAGAAATATTTTGATTAGTTTCAATTAGATTTTATTTGCTTTAAATACTTTTTCTTTGGTTCAAATATATATTTTATCTGGTTCAAATACTTTTTCTTTGGTTTCAATTATGTTTTATTTGTTTCAAGTATATTTTATTTTGTTCAAAAATATTTTATTAGTTTCAATTATCTTTTATTTGGTTAAAAAATATTTTCGATTAGTTTCAATTATATTTTATTTGGTTTAAATAATTTTACTTTGGTTCAAATTTATTTTATTTAGTTCAAATACTTTTTCTTTGGTTCAAATATATTTTATTTGGTTCAAATACTTTTTCTTTGGTTCAAATATATTTTATTTGGTTTAAATACTTTTTCTATGGTTTCAATTATATTTTATTTGGTTCAAGTATTTTTTTTGTTCAAAAATATTTTATTAGTTTTAATTATCTTTTATTTGGTTTAAATACTTTCTCTTTAATTCAAATTTATTTTATTTTGTTCAAATACTTGTTTTTTGGTTCAAATATAATTTATTTGGTGGAAAAACTTTTTCTCTGGTTTTCAATTATATTTTATTTGGTTCAAGTATATTTTATTTTGTTAAAAAATATTTTTCTTAGTTTCAATTATCTTTTATTTGGTTCAAAAATATTTTATTTGATTCAATTTTATTTTATTTGGTTCAAAGATATCTTATTAGTTTCAATTATATTTTTTTTTTTTGGTTCAAAGATATTTTATTTGTTTCAATTATTTTATTTGGTTCAGTGAGATTTTATTTGGTTGGAATAAATTTTATTTAGGTGAAATAATTATATTTCCCTTAGAGCCTATAAAATTATTTGCTGGTTTTAAAAAAAAATTTTATACTACGTTTTTATTTAATAATAAATATCGGTGAAAATTTTTCTGTTTCAGGTATACAAAGAAAATTAAAAAATTCAATTACAATTAAATTTTCCTAAACTTCTTTTTTTGTTTGACAAAAGTGTTTATTAGCATCGGGAGTGTTCGTATTTTTCTCTAAAACCGCGAACGTTTTTTTAGGGTGTTTCTTAAAATAACTTTTTCCTTAATTCCCTTTTTTCTAAACGTATTGTATTCATTTCGAAAATATTCGGATTTTTTTTCAATCGTGAGTGTATTTTTCTTCTTTTTTTGGAAATCAGTCTTGGATTGGAATTAAATTTTGGCGTATGGTAAGTTTTTTATTTTATTATTATAACAAATATTTTTACACTGCAAACATTGCGATTTTGCGCTGATTTTTTATATATAAATTGCGATTGTATTTAATTCCTACATTTTTATTAAAAAAAAAAGATATACTCTATAAATATATTGATATTATTAAAAATACTAATTTGTAATAAAAATAAATTATTTAATATAAAAAAAAATTAAAGATGATATTAAATTAATAAATTAATAAAAATTTCTGTTTAATAAAATTAAATTGTAAATTAAATATTATTATGAAGAATTTTGTTTCAATTATACAAGTTTTATGAGGAAAAAAATAATGATAATACTATTGTAATCGCTAGGAGATTAATTGTAAATATTGACGAAGCGCCATTGCCGAGACTATTGCCGAAATTGCAAAGATTTTCGGAACAAGTTTTTGATGTTATTTCCACAACATTATGATTTGTAACGTTCATGAAATTTTTCACGTTTATTTCGTTGTATATTGAACAAAAGTGATAGGTAGCCTTTGATTTATCTGTAAAAAGGAAAATTATATGAAAGTGCAAAATAAAAGTATATTTAAAGTTTTATAAAAATGTACAATGAGAAAAAAATTTTTTTTTCGGAGACAACCAAATTTTGTTTGAAGCAATAACCAAATGGACGACTTTTAACTAAAATTAAAATTCTGAGAGAAAATAAAATTTATTTAATTTCAGTTTAAATTAATATAAATTAATTTGATTAAATTTCGTCAAATAATAAATAATTAATTAACTAAATTAATAAGGTAAATATATATTTGACAAAAGTGACCATTTATTTGAATCAAATAAATTTTTTAGTGCATTTAAAAACATTATGAAAATATTTATTTTGAATTTTTGTATTAAAAAAAAATATTTAAAAAATATTTATTTATGTTAATAAAATTTAATTTTACCGAAAAAATGTATTACATCCGGAAAAGGGAATTTTTTTTACTCAAAGCCAAGTTTCAAATAAAATTTTATTTGGTTCAAAAAACTTTTATTTGATTCAAATGATAAGAAAAATGAAATGAAATTTTATTTGGTTCAAATAAACTTTATTTGATTCAAATACGTTTCATTTCATTCAAAGTAATAAGAAAAATTTATTTGCATAATAAAAGTTTTATTTGTGTCGAATAAAATTTTTATTTAAAAAAGTATATATTTGAGACAAATATGCTTTTATTTAACTCAAATAAATTATATATTTGATTTAAATAGAATTTTTCTCTGGGTATAAATACATATTTTCTTTACTAAATAGAAAATACTTTTTGTTTTATAAAATTAAATTCAATGACTTACCTATTTTCGCGTGCAAATCGACACATACACTCGATGTTTGACAAGTTGGACCTGTTATTTGTCCGTTAGTAAAAATACATTTTATGTTTGGAGTGTATGTTCCATATTCATGTACTTTATTATGTATTTGATGATCATTTGAATAATCGCCCTCATAGCAATTGTAACATTGTAAACAATCGCCTGTAAAAAATATCAGCAACAATAAATCAATTTCAAAAAAATTCAATTTAATCGATTAAAAATTATTATTAAACTAAAATTAATAATTTACTTATTATTATTAATATTTACATACAGAGAAAATTTTATTTACACCAAATATAATTTACTTGAGTTAAATAAAAGTATATTTGTCTCAGAGGCAATTAAATTCTTTATTTTTACTTTGAAATTAAAATTTTATTTGTCACAACTAAAATTTTTATTTAAACCAAATAAAATTTTATTCGTCACAATTAAAATTTTTATTTAAACCAAATAAAATTTTATTTTAATCAAACAACACTTATTTTAATCAAATAAAACTTGTTTGAAATAAATAAGAAGTCTAGATGGCTCTGAGAGTAAAATATATTTTTTCTCTGGGTGTATTAATTAATATTTATTAATTAACACGTTCAAAATTCAAAGGCATTTTATTATTAATATACTAATAATTAACATATTGCAGTACAAAATTAATAATATAATAATTGATAACATAATAGTAATTATAATTGTAATAATAATTAATAATTAATCATTAATTTGATGAATTTAAAAATTAATTTTGAAAATTTTAAAAAAGCCAAAAAAATTTAAGGGAAAAATCATTTACTCACCAATTGCAAGAGAAATTGTGACAATTCCGAAACAGAATAAAAATTTCATTTTTCCGGGTTAAATTATTGACGTTACTAAGGCTAAGTCGCAACTGTACTGAAAGTCTTTAACGTTTCCCACCTATTCTATGAGTGTGGAGGCTTATTTCTATAACAATGCCAAGGTCCCAACTTGTGGGTGTGAATAACTCACAAATCCTTAAGTACATTTACTGATGATTTTAACTATAGAAATTATTATCATCTAAACAATCAAATCTATAATGACGATGAAATGTGTCATATTTTTGTTTCAAATACGTATGTTGTAAATTATTAGTCATTTCCTTCTTCTTCTATTTGTTTTTAGTTTAGAACTTTTTTTGTTTCGATATATTATTCAATGTCTTTAAAAATAGAAAGAAAAGTCTTTTTCTTATTTTTATTATTATTATTATTTTTTTTATTTTTTAAAAAAATTTTATTTTTAATAATAATTTAATAATTTTATTTTATTTAAATAATAAACTTTTAATTTTAATAATTTTATTATTATTATTATTATTATTATTATTATTATTAAAAAATACAACAGTAATAAATTAGAAATAACGTAACAAATATTTTTTCTAATTAACAAACTTATTAACAATCACAAAATTTAGAAAATTTCTCTAAAATTATTTCTAAAATTTTTCTATAATTTAAATAATTTTTCTATTAATTTCTAAACACCCAAAAAAAAATTTTAATTAAACCAAATATAATTTATTTGAGTTACGTAAAATTATATTTACCTCAGAGCGTACTAAATTATTTATTTGTTTTGCATAAAACTTTAATTCGACAAAAGTAAAACTTTTATTATGCAAATATAAAATTTATTTGAACCAAATAAAATTTTATTTCAATCAAATAAAATTTGTTTGAACCAAATCAAATTTTATTTGAATCGAATAAAATTTTTTTGAACCAAATCAAAGTTTATTTGAATCAAATAAAATTTGTTTCAACAACATAAAATTTTATTTGGTTCAAGCAAATTTTATTTGATTCAAATAAAATCAAGTAAAATTTGTTTGAACCAAACAAAATTTTATTTGAATCGAATAAAATTTGCTTGAACCAAATTAAAGTTTATTTGAATCAAATAAAATTTGTTTGAACAACATAAAATTTTATTTGAATAAAAAAAAATTTGTTAATTGAACTAAATAAAATTTTATTTGAATCGAATAAAATTTACTTGAACCAAATTAAAGTTTATTTGAATCAAATAAAATTCGTTTTGAAACAAATAAAAAGTCTAGTTTGCTCTAAGTCAAATACATTTTATTCTGGATGTAATTTTTTTCCTATAATTTCTCTAATTTTTCTATCAAATTCCATAATTTTTTTTTTTATATTTTCTATAAAATTTCAACAAATTTATAAAGAAAGAAAACGATTTTTATCAAATTTGAATTATTTTCTTTTTTAATTTTATGGAATTAAATTATTTATATATAGAAAGAGTGATAATAAAAATACGATTGAAGATAGACTTTTTGTGTTCAAAGCGCCATTACAATAATTATTTTCACAAAAATAAGCGTCAACATTGTAACCCTTATAATACGTTTTTATTGATTTCGTTGGTGACGGTGGATTTTCGGGGTCAAAATCAACAATTTCTTCTCTTGAAATACATTTTCGTATTGTAACTTTTTTATTTGACACTAAAATAAAAAGAATTTTAGATTAAATTTTTTTTTATGCAGCCCTTAAATAAAAGTTTATAATTTAAACACTTTATAAATCAGATAATTACTTTATTTCTAATTTTCTATGAATTTGTTGAAAAATTTACCGTTTAAAATGAATTTAGCACAAAAAGCGCCATTGTAGCATTTTTGATTGTCCTCAAATGGAAAAAATGATTTTTGTTCACTGAAAAAATTTTGACAATTGTCAAAACAGTCGGAAAATTCTGAACTCGGTGTCGCACAAGTATAACATGTTAAAGAATCTCCTGTAAATATTAATCTTTATTTTATAAAATTAATTAATTAATTTTACACTTATTAATTATAATAAAGTTTTTCTTTGTATCGAATAAATTTTATTTGGTTAAGATAAAAATTTTATTGTTTCAAATAAATTTTATTTGGTTTAGATAAAAATTGTATGGTTTCAAATAAATTTCGTTTGGATTAAATAAAAATTTTATTCTTTTAAATAAATTCCATTTGTTTAAAATAAAAATTTTATTGTTTCAAATAAATTTTATTTCGTTTAAATAAAAATTTTATTGTTTCAAATAAATTTTATTTGATTTAAATTAAATGTTTCTCATGATGTATATTGTAGAAAAGTAGAATCGAAGGGAATATAATAATAATCAAAATATTAAAAAATTATTGTAAGACTAATAATAAATAATAACAATAAATAATAATTCTAATAATAAAAATTATTTATAATTGTTATGCAATTGAAGCAAAGACTATAATGAACCAAAAATTTAATACTAACAAAATTAAAAGTAATAGAACAAAAAGAATTTTTTGACAATAATTATAAACTTTTTAAAATTATTTTTAATGTTATTTATTATTAACAATTTTTTATTAATTAGAAACTAAACAATGAGTTGTGTGACTTTTTCTTTATTGCACAAAATTAATTTTATTATTTAATTCATTTTTTCAATTCTATTTTTCATTTTTATTAATTTATTTAATAAAATATTTAACTTTCAAAATTAATTATTAAAAATAATAAAATAGTTAAAGAATATTTTCGATTTCTCATTAGTACTACTTTTTTAAAGAGTTCTTGAGTAAAACTTTGTTTCTAAATTTTCACTGTATTCAGAATGGTAATTAGTTATCTTTATCTTAATTTGTTTACGGAATGATAAAGAAATACTTCGAATAAGAACTAGAAAAACTTTCTTTAATGTACCATTATTATTTTGTTTATGATCAGAAGTGAAAAATCTTGATTGTTATCGTCTAATTTTTATTATTTTAATTTTTATTATTGTTACAATAATTTTGATTATTTATATTCTTGTTATTAATTATTAATTTATTACTTTTGTTAAATGAATTTTTATTAAACTTTTTTTTTTACTAAATTTTCTGTTTTTTGTGAATGGAAAATATTTAATGGAATATATTATAATTTTTTTTACTTGCCGAATGAAATACTTAAGTAGACGAGTATAATGGAAATAATGAATCTCATTTTTTATTATTACGTTCAACTTGACGTGTGGTCGATTATAAACTAATTTATATTTTCGAGAAATGTTTTTCGTTGTATGGAAAATCAGCTGTTTATACAGAAATTTGTTACAAGTGGGAATGTAATTATCACAGAAGATAACAAAACTCTACATAGTAGAAGGAAATAAATTTTTTGAAAATTAAATATTAATAATACCAAATAGGTGAAAATTGTTATTTGAATTAGAAAAATAATTTCATTGAGAAAATAAAAGAAAAATTAATTCAAATAAAATCAATTTTTTATACAAATATTTTTCTCAATTCCTTTTATTATTAATTTATTATTATTCTTAATTAAATAATTAATTAAATAAATAATTAAATAATTAATTAAATAATTAATTAATTAATAATGAATTACTATCTAGTTTTTAAATAGTCTTGTGAGTTTTATTAATAATACAGATTTAACTTTATACTAAATAAAATTAATAGTATTCAACTATTAATTAATTAATTAATTGATTAATTAATTAATAATAAATTAAGAATAAATTCATTGAGAGAAATATGAGTTCTACGAATTTATTTTGTTTTTATTATTTATTTTTTATTTTCTGGAATCAAATTAGGTAGGTATTTTCTTCCAGACTTTTTTTTATATTTATTTTTTATTATTAAAAATTTTAGTAGGTATCGATTTTCGTTTATTTATTTGAAGTCAAATTTAATTGTCAAAAACAAACAGAGAATTGAATTAACCTTTAAATTTTTTAAAGGTTTTTTTTTAGATAAAAAATAAAACCATTTTTCTGTAGACTATTTACGTATTATTGAAATTGTAAATTAATTAATTAATTACAATTGAGAGAGAATGAGAAAATGTCTAATCGAAAAAACAAGAAGAAAAATAAATGGGCCTTGGATCCACGTTACGAATATTTATACGCAAAATCTTCTGACGATGAAGAAAATAGTAATTTTATTTAGTTTCATTATATATCACAGAATTTTTTTTATATTTTTATTGATAATTTTTATTATTGTACTTTTTTTAAATTTTTCCATTACTTTTTAAATTTTCCATTAAGGGCATTTGAAACTTGATGACGTCACACATGCTTTGCACAAACTGAAACGTCTTTAAGGTTCAAATGCCCTTAATATCATTAATTATTAAAAATTTTCAATTGGAAATTAGTATTATTAATTATTATAAAAATTTCAATTAAACGTTAATATTATTATTTTAGGCAAAAACGATGAAAATGATTTCATCGAAACGGAAAAAATAATTTATCATGAAGATGAAATAACACAATTAGTAGGTTAAATAATTTTAATTTAAGGACTAAAAATTTTTTATCGAGGAATTTAATCCTTTTTTATTGTAATTAAAGGTTCAATTTGTAAAGGATCTCACAACATTAAATGGTTTGGAGGAGACCGATTGGACAGATCAGTGTATTTTTGAAATTCAGGAATTTTTTCATGATCCAAATATTATAATTATATCGATATTTTTTAAGGAATCTACTCTTATGACGAGCGTCGGATTTCCCGAGACGCCAGTTCACGAATTAATGTATTTTTTTAGAAATCCCGACGAGATATTTTCAGTGGACAATTTTCATTTGAAAATTACATTTGGCAATGTCAATGATAAAATTGAGGGCAATATTCTTCTTCAAATTGAGAATATTTATGCTCATAATTTTTTTAAAATCGATTCCTGGCCTGATAGTATCCTTTTTATTGTTTTTTTTCATTATTATTTAATTTAATTAGTTTTTAATTAGTTATTTAATTTTTTTATTATTATTGAGTAAAACTATCACTCGATAATTTTAACTTTATTATTAAAAATTTTATTATTTTTTATATTATTTTATTATTTAATTATTAATTATTAATTATTGACTATTAATTATTAATTATTTTTAATTATTTTTAATTATTTTTAATTATTACTAGCTGTCGTACCCGTCTTCGACGGGTTTTAGTTTCTACCAATACATTTAAGTTTCTACCAATCTGGAAAATCAGGAAATAGCTAGGGAATTTAATTTGACCGGAAAAAAATAATAATTAGTTACCATTATAGCTATTTTAGTAGGAAAATATTACTATTTGAATCAGTGATTGACTTTTTGTTATCAAATTAGTTATTTTAACCAATTCAAATGCAGAGAACAATATTTATCAATTTGTAGTACTTTAATTAATGTATTAAAAAAATTAAATTTTCCATACAGTTTTTGGAGTTATAGTAGAGTCTAATTGGAACTAATTGTATCGCAAGTAGACCCTACGTTACGACTGCTAAAACCTAACATAAGACCTAAATTTTAGGCTTAAAGTAGGGCTTAAATTTTGACTCGGGTCTGTTTTCATAAATATTATACATCAATAAAAATTGAAGTAAAAAGCAATTTTTTAAAAGCGAATTAATATAATGAAACTTTTTCTTAGTTTGATAGGAAAATTCCCGGTTCGGCATATTCCCAGCTTTTTACAGTTTTTCCCGTTTGGTAGATACCCAGTTAAATGTATTAGTATAAACAGAAAACTGTTCGACAGCAAGTAATACAATCTATATTTATATGAACTTAAGAAACAGTATTTTCATAAAATAAGTAAATTTTTATAGCCATTTGTAGATTTATTTATGGATAAAATCAAGTAAATTTAAATTTGACAAAAAAGAGATAAACCGTGAAAAGTTTGGACAAAGCAGGGAATTTTGTTAAACAAAAATAGACACCGTGTTAACTTTTGTCTTTACATTGCTCAAAACATCTCTTAAAGTTAAATCTAGAGTTAAAATGAAAAAACGTTTTAACATGTAAGTTTTTGCCTAGTGGCATAATATGCTTGTATTGTATCACAGGTGACTTACAATTCTTGACATCCTGCGAAATCATTTTAATCATAAAAAATTTCCATTTTCAATATTTCTGAACTTCTTGAAAATATTAGATTGATTTGATAAATAATTTTAAATTGCACTATTTTGACATCAAAATATTAATCAGAGACTCCAAAAATACTACTGAATTATACTTCATATAGTAATTAGTATCGATTTTTTGATATATTGAAAATTTTTTTATATTTCTTGTAGGATAGTATTTTTTGCAAAATTATGATAAAATCTGACTAAATAACATATAATATTTATTTTTAGAAAGTTTAAAAGCTATCCATTAAAAATTGTGAAATTTGGAAATTTTCCATTTTTCAAGTTTTTGAAAATATTTTTATATTTACATCTTAGTTGTAGAATAGTATTTTTTGAAAAATTATGCTAAAATGTGACCAAATAACATGTAATACTCAAATATAGAAAGTTTAAAAGCAATCCATAAAAAAATGTAAAATTTTGAAATTTTCGATTTTTTGAAAACATTTTTATACTTACATATTAGTTATAGGACTTTATTTTTTGCAAAGTTATGCTATAATGTGACTAAATAACATATAATACTCAAGTATATAAACTTCAAAAGCAATCCATGAAAAATAAAAAATTTTGAAATTTTCGATTTTTTGAATTTTTTGAAAAAATTGAATATCTCCCGTTCTAATTAATATGTTTTAAATCTGTAAATTTATAAACCTTCCTTGGGTCAATACCTAATAACCTACCAAGTTGGACTTAAATCGATTCACATGTTTTTGTGTGATTGGGGTACAAAGTTTTTGTGACAGACAAACATACATACATACATACATACATACATACATACATACATACATACATTAAATTTTTTAAGAACATTTTTGGAATCTCTGATGTCCATAATAACTAATCATGTTAACATTTTGAAGTTTTAAGCAATGTACAGACAGACATCTGATTTTATTAATAAGGATTAATTATTATGAATTATTATTGATTATTAATTTTTACTTATTAATTATAATTAAGGGCATTTGAACCTTGATGACGTTTTAGTTTGTGCAAAGCATGTGTGACGTCATCAAGTTTCAAATGCCCTTAATAATTAATAATAAAAATAAAATAATAAAATTACTATTTTCTTTATAATTTAATTGTTAAGTTACAATCTTTTTATTGTTTATCACAGTTTTTTATTTTATTTATTGTTTTAGATATTCTTTTTAATCGTCAGTTATTTCGTTTATTTCATGATTATTTTTAATTTCTAAATTCTGCTCTAGAAATTATTCTTTATAATAATAAAATAGAAAATAAATCATTTTCATTTAGAAAATAAATCATTTTCATTTAGAAAATTATTTATTTTCTATTTTATTATTTTTTTTATTAATGATTAATTATTCATATTGAAATATTTTATTATTAATTATTAATAATGGAATTATTCTATTATGAATTGTTAATAATAAAGTAATAAATATTAATAAAATTATTACCTATTTTATTTATAATTTAATTACTAAATTACAATTTTTTTCTTGTTTGTTTGTTTATAATTTTATTTATTTATTGTTTCTTTTTTATTGTTTACTAATTATAACAAATTTTTTGTATCAATTGTCAATTTTTTTGTCAATTTAATAATTATTTTGAATTTTTTTGTTTTTGCTTTTGAAATTAAAATTTTTATTGTAATTTGCCTTAAAATTTGTAAAATAGATGTAAAAATCGACTTTTGTACGAATTTGCATAAATTTTTATGCGAATTGACGGATTTTAGATTTAAAATGTTAGGATTGACGGTATTATATCTTCCTTTGGAAGGAAGTGATCTCAGTATTGATGAAGCAAGTGTCAATAAAGATTTGGCAAAAAGACTTGAATTAGTGTTAAGTTATTGGTTAAATCAGATGAAAATTGCCATCACCGATAAGGAACAATTGGCAACTAATGAATTATTGTGCGTTAAAGATGAATATGATTTTTGGGCCTATAGACGTAAGTGTAAAGTATTTTTAATTTAAATAGATAATAAATAAAAAACGTAAATTTTTTTTAAATAATAAATTAATAATAAATAAATACTTATTTCTATTAAATAATTTTTATCTGAGTCAATTAAATAATAGTTGCTCCAAATACTGAAATTATTGATTATTTTTTCTTTAAATTACAAAAAAATTAATAAAAAGTTACATAAAAAAATTATTTTTGTATTTTTTTTTGTTAACAAAAATTACAGAAAAAAATTACAAAAAAGAATTAGAAAAAAAAATTCCAGGAAAAAATTACAAAAAGGAATTAAAAGAAAAAATTCCAGAAAAAAATTACAAAAAGGAATTTAAAGAAAAAATTCCAGAAAAAAGTTTTGAAAAAAAATTACTTAAATCCTTTTTGTAATTTTTTTTAAGAAAAAATTAAAAAAATATTATTGCAGATAAAAATCTCAGTGGATTAATGTATCAATTAAAATTGCCTCTAGTTAGGCATATTATTAATATTTTGACAAATTCACAATCGACATATATGAGACAATTTTTCCTCTTGAATGAGGAAATAATAAATTCAGTTAAAGAAGCGCAATCGAATATTGAATTTTTGACAATTTTAAAGCAACCTTGCACAGAACTTGCCGAAAGTTCAACACCAATGGAAATTGTTCAACATTTACCGAAAATAATACAACTTTTTCGTGTAATTTGGCTGAATTCGCCGTATTTGAATTCCACTGAGAAAATAAATCAGTTATTTGATTTCTTGAGTAATCAGCTCATCAAGTGTTGCATTGGATTTATTAATTTGACGGAAATTTTTTCTGGAAAGACAAGAAAATCTATGAAAATTCTCGAAGAATGCATTGGCAGTTGTCGAAAGTACATGGAAATTTATGATCGTGTAAGAATTTTTCTTTTTGTTAGTTTTGATATTTTTTATTAATTATTTTTTATGGTTTTAATTAATATGATTAATTATTAATATAATTATTAATAATTATTCATTATTATTAATAATATATTTCATTGTTGACGTATTTAATTACTAATGTATTTAATTATTGATATATTTAATTACTGACATATTTAATTATTAATATATTTGCTTATTAACATTTTTAATTACTAATATATTTCCTTGCTAATATATTTTATTATTAATATATTTAGTTACTAATATATTTAATTATTAGTGTATTTAATTATTAATTTATTTTCTCATTAATATATTTAATTATTAACCAATTTATTTGTTTCCAGATTGCCGAAGCTCATGACAAAGCCACCGACGTTAAATGGACTCTGAATAGAGAAGAAATATTCAAAAATATTTTTATTTTTGTCGAGAGATGTGAAAACCTGATCGAAATTTGCCAAGCCATGATAGACTTTGGAAGGTAATTGAATTTATTTACTAGTTTTAAAAAAATACAAAATAAAAATAACAAAATACTAAAATTAAAAAATACTAAATTACTATAAAAATTAAAAATTTGTTTTGCAATAAGTAGGTACATTTACATTTTAATTTATTCAAGATTTTGGAAATATTTTCTTTTCTTTTAATTGGAAATTTTCATTTTTGCAGAATGGACGAGACGATGACAACGGGAAAACCATTTTTTCGCGGTACGAGGGGACCAGAATTTGAGGCAACTTGTCAAAATATTGAGGACGAATTTATTAATTATTTGAATTCGGTGAAATTAATTTCCCATAAAATTTTAAATGTCCATCAAGTGACTTGGCACGATGATATGTTCATTTTTCGTGGTAAAATGAAGGATTTGGAAATAATGATCGAAAATTTACTCAATATTGTGTTTAGCTACAATGACACGATTGAAGATGGTGTCTATGCGCTTTATGGCTTTTACAATTATCTCAGTCGAGAAACTTTGAAGCCAATTTTTGAAAATAAAACCACACGCGTAAGTGAAGAAAAATATTTTACTAAATTTTTATTTTCTACTAAACGAAGCGAACGAATTTCTGTTTAACTTTCTAATTATCGAAATAAAAAAATTCCTATTTAATTTTCCAATTGTTATTTTGTAAATTATTATTTTTTTTTTGCTACGAAATTCTATTTCTGGAACCATTTTCGAAAAATGAAATGAAAATTCAAATTAAATTTTTTTTTAATTTTATTATGAGGAAATTTCTATTTAATTTTCTAATTGTTATTTTGTATTATTTTTTTTTTGCAACGATGTATTTTTAGAAATTATTTTCCAAAAATAAAATGAAAATACAAATTAAAATTTTTTTCTTTCCTGAAATTTAGATATGGAGAATGTTTGAAAAGAGAATTCTCGACGCAAAAACTGAGGTGATTGATGAGAGGGAGAAATATCCGGCAATGTTACCCTATTATTCGGGGAGAGCGAAAAATTTACAAATGAAAATTGCCAAACTTGTGAGGATACGTGAATTATTGAAACACGCCGATTGGATGCCATTTTGTAATATTGCTGACGTGATATGTGAAAAATACGATAGTCTCGTGCAATCGCTGAATGGAATTGTTAAGACTCTTTATAGAAAATGGATTAATTACATTGGCGAGAATCCACAGGAGCGATTAAATTGCTTTCTAATGAAGAGAAAAAGTGACGAAATTAATTATAAACTTGAATGCAATATGGATCCGCTTATTTTAGAATTGTGTCGTGATGTCAATCATTGGCCCGATTGGGATTTTTTGATACCAAACGACATACAAATAATTACCGATAAAGCCGAAACATTGCTCTTTGTCTACGAGAGCGTTATTTTTGTTGTTTTGGCGTACAATAAAATTTTAGATGGTAATTTTTGAGTTTTATTTTTTATTTGTTTATTTTTCATTGTAAAGTTTTTTTATTTTTTTAATTTTAATATTATTTTAATTTTTATTCACTTTGTAATTTTTGACTTTATTAATTATTATTCTCTAGATATTTTTTTATTTACAATATTATCAAGCAGTTATAATTAATTTAATAACTTTTAATTTTTTTATTCGCAAAATTACCAAACAATTATAATTAATTTCCTAATTATTTTTACTATGAATATTTAATTAGATATTTATTTTAATATTTAATTTAATATTTAATTCAATATTTAATTTTAAAAAATTAATTTGAAAAAATAGATATTTAAGTACTTTAAAAAATGTTATTATTAATAAAAATTAACAATCGAATGTGTTAAAATTACAGTACTCTCTTGTGAGGAGCAACTTTTGTTCAAGAATTTAATTAAAATTTTGGATCGTCAAATTCAACCGGGATTGGTGAAATTAACATGGAATTCTGATTTTATAGAAGCATTTGTTAAAGAATGTACAATTCACACAAGAAAGGTGATATTTTTATATTTTTTTTTCACTTTTTAACAGTTTTTTTCCTCTTGAAACAAAAATTAATTCATTTCTCTTTATTTCAGCTCCAGGAAATAATTGACACGTACAAAACTTGTAATTTACAAATAATGAAAATTTGTGAAAATATTTGTGAAATTTCGTTAGTTCAAATTCGACCAAATTATTCCTACGCCTTGTCGGATTTAATTCAGGATATTTTAAATTCAAGGTAAATAGAGAGAGACAATAAATTCTTTAGATTTTCTTTTTTTTTTTTTGTATTTTATTGTCGTATCCACATTTTTTTGGAAAGTAATTTTGGATATTATCTATTAAAAACTATATTATTGATATTGAAAGTTATTGACTGATGGAATAATTAATTCATAATGTTTAGTTTTAATTTTTAAATTATGAAAATATAATTGTTTTTAAATATATTTGAATGAAAATTTAAATTTTCAGGGACCAAGCTTACGATAATATTGTGAAAAATCACGAAATTATTGTTCAACTTTTGTTTGTCGTGTACCATGGATTTATGCACGTTATTGAAAAAGTTTGTATAAATTTTAATGGTTGTAAAGAAATATTATTTTTTCAAAAAGAAAATTTTAGGAAGGATAAAATATAGACATTTGGAAAATTAACTATTAACTCATAGTAGTAATTAAATAATAATTATGATAGAAATAATTAAAGCAAAAAGAATATAAAAATATAAAATGAATAAGAACAAAAATAGTAGTAATAAATAATAATAAATAATAATAATAATAATAATAATATGTAGTAATAATAGTTATAATAATTATAATAGAAATTTAATAATAAATTATTAATAAAAAAACAGTAATGTAAATTTTTAATGTAAATTAATTCTTATTTATTTTTTCCAGACTCTTACAGAGTGGACTATTTATTTGGCGAAATTGGATACACTTTTGGAAGAAGCTTTTAAAGTGTGTTTGAATAATTCACTAAATGTAATATTCGAAGCTCTACATGGAGATGGCACAACAGCTCCATCGCCTCTTCTATTAATGGAAGCAGAATTATTAGACACAAAGGTATCACAATTAACTTTATTTTTTCTAAATTATTTTTTCTATTAAGAATTTTTTACAATTTGGTTGACTGAAATTAAAATTTTTTGTTGCGCCTGATTATTACTGTCTTTTTCTACTGGCAGAGAATTTTAAAGAATCTAAAGTGTACGTCTGACTGAAACAATATTTTACTACTGAAAGTAAAATTAACAGATTATTAATTATTTATGACGGAAATTATTTTTTACTAATGAAAAAAAAATACTCGAAAATAATTGCCATTTGATTTTGTTTCAGAATTTTTTTTCTACTTGTACTAAATTTTTTTTTTCAAAATTTATTTTCAAAAAAATTTTTTTTTATTTATATATAGATCTTTGTCTTTGTCATTTATTGTTTATTTTTACTATATTGAACTTAGTTTTATGTTAAAAATATATAAATACATTTATTGTTTTTTTTCAGATAAATTTCAATCCGAGTTTGACTGAAATTTCCAATTTTTTTGACGATATTCTAATGTGTCTTGTGCAACCCTTGAAATTAATTGAAAGATTACAACAATCTTTTCATAGTAATTCACCGATTTCGAAACCATTTTGGGAGATTTTGTTAAATGATACAGAAACTGCTCGATTACAACAAGCTTGCAATAAAGGTAAATTTTCTTTTTTCAATTAATATTTATTATTAATATTTTTACAGAATTATATGTATTTTATTTTTTCATTTACTTTGTAGAAGTAGGTTACTGTTTTACGCAAATTCAAAATTACTTGAAAACTTGGGAACCATTTCGAGATTTATGGGAAATTAATAAGGACCAGTTTATCGAAAGGTAAAAAATAAACTAAAAAGAGAATTTCTACTCAAATTCAATAAACTTTGTGGTTAAAATAAAGTCAGATAAAATTTAATTTGATTTTTAAGTTAATTTCAATTCAATTCAGTTTAATTTTTAATTTAATTTTAAATTTATGTAAAATTAGTTTTTAATTTATTTTCGTTTAAATTTCGTTTTTAATTTACTTTCATTGAAATTAAGTTTTTAATTTCATTTAAATTTAGTTTTTAATTTCATTTCACTTAAATTTAGTTTTTAATTTACTTTCATTTAAATTTAGTTTTTAATTTAACTTATTCATTTTGATTTAATTTTTAACTTAATTTCATTTTAATTTCATTTATTATGTAAATTTAATTTTTGGTTTAATTTTATTTGAATTTAATTGAACGTTATTTTCAGATACGAAAAGTCAAATCCAAGTGTAGCATTATTTGATGCGGATATTGGCCAGTATACGGAATTGGCTAATAATGTTCAACAACAAGACACGATGGTGACAGTTCAATTTGTGAATATTAATTGTGAGAAACTAAAGTTATCTGTCATTGATCAATGTTTCACATGGCAGGAGAAGTTTATTCAATTACTATTGAGAACTGCAGATGAGAAAATTAATGGAATCTACAAATATATTTCGGAAAATAGTAGAAAGTAAGGATAATGAATTTTTTCAATAATACGCGAATTATTAAATTCTCAAATAAAATTTAATTACAATATATTCGGATTTTTTTCAGAATACAGAAAATGCCCACAGATCTTGTGACAATGCAAATGAGTATGAAATTCTTTCAGAAACTTAAGACCGAAGTTTCTAAAAAAGAGGGCGAATTCCCTGAGATTCGCGAGCAGTATCAAACATTAGGTATAATTTATTTTTTATTTAATAGTTTTTTTATTAAAAAAATTCTTAAGTTAAATTTTTAGTTAATTGAAGTTAAATTAATTAGTTAATTTAATATTTCTTATTTTTTCGTGATTGATATTGTAATTATTTTTCTCTTTTTGATTTTCATAATCAAAATTTTCTCTTCTTTTCTTCTAGAAAAATACGAGGTTCAAATGACTTTGGAATTTAAGAGGCGAGTCAGAGATTTAGATTCGATATGGTCTGAATATTTGGAATTATTGGCAACATGCGAAATTTCGCTATTGGAGAAAAAGGTATTTTTTTGTAAAAAAAGAAACGAAGAAAATATTTTTTTTTTATGAAAGTAAATTACAAAAAGTTGAATTTTTTATTTCGTTAGGATGAATTTAAAAATAAATTGCTGCAAGAAACTGTTTTCCTGAAAGCGCTAATTTTAAAATTAGTAACAAGATTTTATGACGAGGGACCTTTTACTTCAGAATGGATTACTAAAGGCAAGAAAAAAAAATGTTCATAAGTTGAAAATAGTATTAAAAATTGAATTAAATTATTGTTATGCAAATTACAACATTTTTTATTTTCAACTATAAATTTTTAAATAATTTCATAATTAAAATTAAATATTGAATTAGAAATTGAATTAAAAATTGAATTAAAGATTGAATTAAAAATTGAATTAAATATTGACTTAAATATTGAATAAAAAAAATAAAGAAAAAAGAAAATAAATAATAAAATTAACAAAAAATTAATAGTCCAAAATAAAAAATTTATTGATTATTAATAATAACAAAACAAAATGGAATTAGAAATTGGATAAAAAAATTAAAAAAAAGTAAATGAACTAAAAATTAATAACCCACAGTAAAAAAATTGATGCATTTTCAATTTTTATTTTTTCAGATGCTATTCAGTGGCTCGTGAAATTTCGTAAGGAAATGTCAGAATTGTCAACAAAGGAAAAAATTCTAAAAGCGAATTTATCAATTTTTGCCATTAGTCATCCTGATTCGATAGAATTAATTAAATTGGACAAGGTATTGTGTTCAAAGCAATTTTTTTTCTAAATTAAAATTCTAAATTAAAATTAATTGTCACTATTGACTAACTGAAATATTAACTGAAAGGACGTGACTGCTATTGAACTTGTGTGGAGTCTTACTAACGATTGGGACCAAAGTTGGGAGAATTATAAGACAGGAAATTTCTGGAGCATTGACTTAAGTGAAATGAGCGAAACTGGAAATGTACTTTTTAGAAAACTCACTAGATTGTCCAGAGAATTGAAGGAGAAAAATTGGGAAATTGTCGACAACTCAAGGTGAAAATTATTAACATAATTATTTTTTTTTAAATAATATTTTTAATATAATATTAATTCATTATAATTTTTTAAAATATTTTTTCCGTATTTATATTTATTTATACTTTTTTGTAATTAAAAAATTTAGTTAGCAATTTAATTTATTTAGTAAATTTAACTTAGCAATTTCTTAATTCGAAAAAAGAAATATTAAGATCCAATTTTTCAGATCACGAGTTGATAAATTTCGAAGAACTCTTCCATTAATTACGGATCTAAAAAATACGGCGATGAGAGAACGTCACTGGATGAAAGTAAAGGAATTAGTACAAAGGGATTTCGATGAAAATTCTCAAGAATTCACCTTAGATGTAATTGCGGAAATGCAAATGCATTTAGTTGCTGATGAAATTGGTGAAATTTCCAACGCCGCAACAATGGAACTTGGAATAGAATTGGTTTGTTTACTAATTAGTGATTATTTTGATTATTTGGAATTTTAGAGTTTTATTAATTCAAATATGATTTCAAAAATTATTTGAATTAATGAAATTCCTTTTTCTAGGGACTGAGAAATATTAGTCAAATTTGGAACGTAATGCCAATAGAAATGATGGCTTATAAAGACAAAGGAGTCTATCGATTAAAAACAGTGGACGAAATTAATCAAGCTTTGGAGGAACATCAGGTTCAATTATCTGCCATGAAGTCGACCAAGTAATTATTTTTCAAATACTAATTTAGTTATTTTTTGGATTTATTTAGTAATAAAATTCGGGGGATGAACTCATTTTTGGTCTAGTTTATTCTCTATTTTTTCTCTAAAATACTTGGCTGAGGAAACGAAGTTTATTTCGTCTACTAAATTTATTGTTAATGTAAACATTTAATAGAAAAATAAAATTATTCAATAAATACAATAAATTGATATAATATTATTTTGAGTATAAATTTTATGATATTCTTAAATAAATGAATTCTTTTTTTAGATTTGTTGAGCCATTTGCTGATCAAGTTGATTATTGGGAACGTGCTTTGTCGACAGTTGGGGAAGTTTTGGAAAATGTTTTGATGGTACAGAGAGGATATGTTTATTTGGACAATATTCTTAATGCGGAAGATATTAGAAAACAATTGCCACAAGAGACGGAGGATTTCAGTAAAATAACCGAAGCCTGGGCTAAAGTTACTTCGAAAATGTCTGAAGCTGCTTTCGCCATTCCTGCAACCCAAGAACAAAGTTAGTTAATAAAAATATAAATAACAGAAAAAATAAAAAAATAGTTAAAACAATAGTCCAATTTTTTCAAATTTTACAGAATTTAAAAATTAAGAAAAAAAATTTTTAATTGAAAAACGAAATTAAAAATTGAAAAAAGAATTTAAAACTTAAAAAAAAAGAATTTAAAAATTAAAAAATACAAATAAATGATTTAAATAAAAATTGAAGTTAATAGTTTTCAAATCGAATTTATTTTCTATAACTTGGGAAAATTTTTCCTTTTCAGGTTTACTCAATGTTTTACTCGCTCTAAATAAAGGATTAGAGTCAATTCAAAGAGCTCTTGAGCAATATTTAGAAATAAAACGACACATATTTCCGAGATTTTACTTCATCTCCAATGACGATTTATTAGAAATTCTTGCGAATTCAAAGAAACCGGAACTTATTCAGCCGCATATGAAAAAGCTTTTTGATAACATCAAGTCCCTAAAACTGATTAAGGTATTTATCTTTTCAATTTAATGCCTTTTTTCATCACTAGTCAATTTTTTTAATTAAAAAAAAAATTTAATATTTTTCCATGTTGCTCTTTATTTTATTTTAATATAAGTCTTTTTAATTATTTTCTTTTTGTTTTCTTTTAACTTTTTTCTTTAATTTGTGTTTAATAATTTTTTTGAATTACTTTTGCTTCCTCATGAGGAAGCTTTGCATTGGTGACGATTTTCAATTTTTCAAAACAAGGTTATATGGACTCATTTTCATCTAGAACATATGTATATTCAATTATGAGCAAATGTCCAGATGTATGTGTGTGTGTATGTGTGTATGTGTGTGTGTGTGTATGTCACAAAAATTGTGTACAAATTATCTCAGACAAATTTTGATGGATTGTCCTGAAATTTTGCAGGTTTATTGCAGTCATTAATACCTGAAATCTGACACAAGGATTTTCAAAAATATGTACAAAATTTTTTTTTATACAATTTTTTTAAAATTCAGAAAATTTTTTTTTTTGTATTTTCTGAAATAATTTTTTTATTTGTTAATATTTTTATTAATTATTCTCAAAATTACATTCCTGGCAAGAAAACGAATCGATTGATGTATACAAAGTATATATTTTATCAAAATTTATAAAATTAATAAATATTTTTCTTTTTCACAAAAAATTCAAATTTGGTATTTTTTTCATAATTAATTTAATATTAATATTAATATTTTGAAATGATTATTCTATCATAAAATAGAAGCAATTGGCAAATGAAAGTGTAAATTTCACCAAATATTTATACAACAACTTATAAATGATTTATATAATTTTATTTTTAACCAATCTTCTGGACGAACCCTTTTGTACATAATTTTTCAAAAGTTTGCAAAACCGCAATTTTTATATATTGAGGAAGCTTAATGGTCATAAAATGAACAACTTGTTTTAAATTAAATAGTTGTAGAAATTATTACTCGATAAAATAATTGATAATTTTCTTGATATTTTATGTTACTTTTTTAAATGTTCAATTTTTGTTTAATAATTTTTTCGAATTGTTTTTAAATAATTTAAATTTTGTTTAATATTTTTTTTTGAATTACTTTTTTAAATGTTTAATTTTCGTTTAATAATTGTTATCGAACTATTTTTTAAATATTTGATTTTTGTTTAATTTTTTTAAATGTTCAATTTTTGGTTTAATTATTTTGTTTTAATTTTCATATTAGACTACGACATTGAAATTTATTGCCGAGGGAATGCTCTCCAGTGAAGGCGAATATGTTGAATTTTTAAAGCCTGTTCTTTTAGAAGGACCTGTTGAAAAATGGTTATGTGACATTGGTACGACACTGTTTTCCATTCATTGTTTATTTACAAAAATTTCTTAAAGTCTTGCGAGTAAAAAACAATACAAATTTTTTTAAATTGTTTAAATTAATTTCGTTTCGCAATTTAATTAATTTAATTCGTAAATTTGGATATTTAGTTTTTAGATATGTATTAATTTTATTCCTAATAAATTTTTCTGTGATAAAAATTTTTTTCTTGGTAATTTTCGTTTACAGAGAGTGCAATGAGAGTTTGTTTGAGGGAACTTTTACGACAATGTCGGGCGGCTCTTCGAAAAATGACAACGAAGCGAGATAAATGGGTGAAAGATTGGCAAAGTCAACCTGGAATAACTGCAACGCAAATTCAGTGGACCACAAATTGTACGAGGACCCTCATGCTTTGCAAGTAAGAACCAATTTATTTGAAAAGGCATTTTTTCCATTCTCTATAAAAATAATATAATAAAAATAAATTTAAATAATAAATAATAATAAAAATAGAAAATTGAAATAATAAATAAAATAATAATAGTAATTTTTATTTAGTATTTCTGCTATTATCGTTTATGTATTAGAAATGAAATAAATCGTAATTTTATAAATTAGTAAATCTCTTTATTAGATTATTAGATTCGAAAAAACCGTTAAAAAAATTGAGAAAGAAGCAAAATCAGGCACTCGCTAAATATTCAGAAGCAATCCGTGGAAATTTGAGTAAATTACAGAGATTGAAGTTCAAAGCAATTGTTGTTATTGAAATTCATGCAAGAGATGTAATTGAAAAAATGTACAGAATTAGTAAGTTTCTTTTTCTCTTCGTAACATTTTTATCTAAAGGAAAAATGCTATTTGAACGTTATTTTTTTCAACAGTTTTGAAATAATTTACTTTTTTTAATTGCAGACTGCAGAGATTCGTCCGCTTTTGAGTGGTTGTCGCAATTGAGATTTTATTGGGAAAAGAATATTGACAACTGTATTGTTCGACAGACGAATACTTCTTTTATTTATGGATACGAATATCTTGGCAATTCTGAACGATTAGTAATCACGCCTCTAACTGATAGGTGAGAAAATTTAATCATCAAAATATGGCTAATTTAAGAACATAATTTTTTATGTGAATAGAAATAATAAAAAAAATAATAATATTATTAAATTTCCTAACTTTTTAAATAATTTTTCTTTTCAAATATTATCAAATTTCAAATTAATATATTAAAAATCATTGAATTCTTGCAAAGAATTTTGTGAAAAAATTGGAGAATAATTGAATTCCTTCGAAGAATTTTATTATTTATGAAAATAATTGAAATTTGAGAAGAATTTTATCAAAATTTTAAAAAATCGTAATTTTAAATTGTTTTGAAGAATTTCTTTAAATTTTTTTTAAATAGAGTTTCTTTAATAATTTTTATTGAAATTTTTGAAACTAAATGAATTTTATGAACAATTTCTTTCAAGTCTATAAAATAATCGTGTTTCTTAATAATTAAAATTAAACATTTAATTATTCAATTTTATTAAAATTTTTATAGTAAAATTAAATTCTTCTTAGAATTTTATTACACTTTTCTAAAATAATTTAATTCATTCAAAGCTTATTAAAGGTTTTGACAATAATTGAATTCTTTCAAGAAATTTCTTTAATTTATTGAATATAATCGATTTTCTCTATAATTGCAATTAATAATTTTACTAGTATTAAAATTTTATTAAAATTATTGATAGAAAATTAAACTCTTTTAAAAAATTTTATTAAAGATTTTATAAATATTTAAATTCTGTTGAAGACTTTTCTTTGTCAATTTTTTAAAATAATTTAGTTTTTTGAATAATTTTAATTGAAAATTTTGAAAATAATGAATTAAACAAAGAATTTTTTTCAATTTTTTTAAATAATCGTGTCTGTTAATAATAATAATAATGAAATATTTGATTTTTGAAATTTATTAAAATTGTATTGAAAATAATTGAATTCCTCATGAGAATTTTATTATTTATAAAAAATAATTTAATTTTGCCGTGAATTTTACGACGAAAGGATTTCTTGACAAGAATTTGTTTCAAATTTTTGAAAATAATTGAAATTCTGTAAAGAATTCAATAATTTATGATAAAAATTGAATTCATGAGTAGAATTTTATTAAAATTTTTAAAAATAATTGAAATCCTCCGAAAATATTTTATTAATAATGAAAATAATTGAAATCTTTCAAAGAATTTTATTCTTTATGAAGATAATTGAATTTTGAGAAAGGATTTTATTAAAATTTTTTGAAAATAATTGAAATCTTTTGAAAAATTTTATTATTTATGAAAAGAATTGAAATCTTCAAAAGAATTGTACCTTTTATGAAGATAATTAAATTTTTAGGAAAAATTTTATTAAAATTTTTGAAAATAATTGAAATCCTTTGAAAAATTTTATTATTTATGAAAATAATTAAAATCTTGCAAAGATATTTGTTAAAATTTTTGAAAAATAATATAATTGTTTCGATGAAAATTTAAATTCTCTGGAGAAATTTAATTAAAATTGTATTAAAAATAAATTAATTTTCAGGAAGAATTTTATTAAAAATTCAGAAATAATTGAATTCTTTTGGAAAATTTTATAACAAATTAAGAAAAAAATTGAATTCTTTTGTAAAACTTTATTAAAATTTTGTTGAAAATAATTGAATTTTTGCAAAATATTTTACTACCTATATTTATAAAAATAATTGAATTCCTCCAAAGAATGTTATTATTTATGAAAATAATTGAATAGTAATAAAAATAATAATACAAAGTGAATTAATGCAAATTTTTCTAAACAATAAAACAAAGTGAATTAATGTGATGAAAAAACCAATTTCCCAGGTGCTACATAACTTTGACGACTGCGCTTCATTTGAATCGGGGAGGAAGTCCCAAAGGACCGGCAGGAACGGGAAAAACAGAAACTGTCAAAGATTTAGGAAAAGCATTGGGTTTCAATGTAATCGTTACAAATTGTTCCGAGGGTTTAGATTACAAGAGTATGGGGCGTCAATTTTCTGGACTAGCACAAACTGGAGCCTGGGGATGTTTCGATGAGTTTAACAGGTGAAAATAAAATTTAAAAGTTAAATTGTATTTTTCAAAAAATTTATTTTTGAAACTGTATTTTATACTTTATAATTATATTATACTTTATAATTGAATGTTGATTTTTCTTTTTTGTAGAATTAATATCGAGGTGCTGTCGGTGGTGGCACAGCAAATTTTATCGATTCTCTCGGCACTGTCACAAAAATTAACGAAATTCATATTCGAGGGTGCAGAAATTTCGCTCGTGAAAACTTGTGGTATTTTCATCACCATGAATCCTGGTTACGCTGGACGTACAGAATTGCCAGATAATCTCAAATCAATGTTTCGTCCGATATCAATGATGGTGCCTGACAGTAGTATGATTGCTGAAATCAATCTTTTTGGAGAAGGTTTCCAAAATACTCGCTCTCTCGCCAAAAAGGTAATCGAAATACTTTGTTTTAATTTGTAAAAGAATTATTTTTTCATTGCACTGCGGAGAATAAATTCTAAATAACGATTTTTAAATATAAATTTCTAAATAGATTTTTAAATAAATTTTCAAATAGATTTTTAAATATAATTTGCAAGAGTAATTTTATAAGAGCGCGAAAATTTTGTATACGAGTCTAATTATTTTTTTTGCAGGTGTTCACCCTATATAATTTGGCGAAGCAACAACTTAGTATTCAACATCATTATGACTTTGGACTTCGTGGAATTGTGACATTGACAAGATATGCTGGAAAGAAAAGACGTCTCTATCCTGATTTGCCCGAAGAAGAGGTGTGACAATTTATAATTTATAAATATATTTCGAAATTTCTGAATTGTTCTCTCATGTGCAAAATTTAAAATTTGAATTATAACACAGGTGATCATTCTCGCTATGAAGGACATGAATATAGCAAAACTGACATCGAACGATTTGCCTCTCTTCATTGCCATTACTTCTGATCTATTTCCAGGCGTGAATGTCCCATCAGTCGATTATCAAGAAATGAATACTTACATTACTCGAGAAGCCGTTAAATTAAAGTTACAAGTGAGAATTTATAATTTTTATATTCAATAATCTAAAGAAAGAAATTACTTTTAAATTAATTAATTTTTAAAAAAAACAACTATTTAACATCTATTTTTAAAAATTAGAAATTTCGATTTTTTTAAAATTCGAATTTTCTTGTTTTAAAATTAAAAATTTCGATTTTTTCGAATTTTGAATTAAATTGACAATTTTCTTTTATAATGCAGCCAATTCCGTTGATTTTGAGAAAAACAATAGAGTTATTTGAGACGAAAAATTCACGACATTCGACGATGATTGTGGGAAAATCGAATACAGCGAAATCAGCTACGTGGACGGTATTGAAAAATACGTTGACTTCGTTAAACAAGGATGGAAAGCAAGGTTTTAATTCTGTCTATGAATTTCCGATAAATCCGAAAGCTTTAAATTTAGGAGAATTATATGGAGAATATAATTTGTCGACTGGCGAATGGCACGATGGAGTTATCTCTTCAATAATGCGAAATACATGCGCTGGTAGATAAATTATCATTTTTATTCAACAGTAACAATTTTTAACATTTATTTACAATTTATTTTATTTTTTATTAAAATTTTTAACAAATTACAATAATTTTTTTCAATTTTAACTAAATTTTATTCTGACTTTAACCATAAATTTTAACATTTACAATTTATTTTATTTTATTACAAATTTTAACAATTACAATTTTTTTCAATTTTAACTGAATTTTATTCTGACTTTAACTGTAATTTTTAACATTTATTTACAATTTATTTTATTCTATTTTATTACAATTTTTAACAATTACAATTTTTTTCAATTTCAACTGAATTTTATTCTGACTTTAACTGTAATTATTACAGACGATTCTCCCGATGAGAAATGGATTCTATTCGATGGACCCGTTGATGCTGTTTGGATCGAAAATATGAATAGCGTTATGGACGACAATAAAGTCAGTATTTTTTTTATTACTTTAACATTTATCTACATTAATAATCGTTGTATTCCGGTAATCTGTTCGCAGTTTTGAGTTAGTTATTATTTGTTTTTTGTCTTCTAACTGTTTTAATCATTTTTCTTTTCAAATATTTTCAATTTGAAAATTAGGTAATGTATTAAAAATCATTGAATTCTTGCAAAGAATTTTGTCAAAAGATTTGAGAATAATTGAATTCTCGCGAAGAATTTTATTAAAATTTTCAAAAATCCTAATTAAATTCTTTTGAATTTCCTTAATTTATTGAATATAATCCATTTGCTAATAATTTTAATGAATTATTTTACTATTAAAGTTATTGATGGAAAATTAAACTCTTTTAAATAATTTTATTAGAGTTTTTATAAATAAATTAAATTCTTTTTAAGAATTGTTTTATGTTTCTTTGAGAAATAATGTAGTTTTTTGAATAATTTTAATTGAAAATTTTGAAAATAATTTAATTAAACAAAGAATTTTTTTAAATTTTTTAAAATAATCGTGTCTGTTAATAATTATAATTAAATATTTGATTATTGAAGTTTATTAAAATTGTATTAAAAATAATTGAATTCCAGAGAAGAATTTTACTAAAAAATAATTTAATGATTTCAAAGAATTTATTAAAATTTTAGAAGAAAATTAAATTCATTAGTGAAATTTTATTGAAATTATGTAATTAAATTTCTGCAAAAATTTTACTATCTAAAAAAAATAATTGAATTGTTCCGAAGCATTTATTAAAATTTTAGAAAATAATTGAATTTTTTTAGAATTTATTAAAATTTTAGAAAATAATTGAATTCTTTAAAGAATTTTACTATTTATAAAAGTAATTTGAATTGTTTCAAGAAATTTATTAAAATTTTAGAAAAAAATTGAATTCTTCAGTGAAATTTTATTTATATTATGTAATTGAATTTCTGCAAAGATTCTACTATTTAAAAAAAAATAATTGAATTGTTTTGAAGGATTTATTAAAATTTTAGCAAAATAATTGAATTTTTGCAAAGATTTTACTATTTAAAAAAATAATGGAATTGTTTCGACGGATTTATTAAAATTTTAGAAAATAATTGAATTCTGTAGTGGAATTTTTTAAAAATTATGTAATTGGATTTCTGCAAAGATTTTACTATCTAAAAAAAATAATTGAATTGTTACCAAAAATTGTTACTAATAAAAAGAATGCAAATTTTGTTGATATTTGAGAAATTTTCTACTTTTATGAAAAAAAATTCTTTTTTAATTTCAGTTATTAACGTTAATTAATAACGATCGCATTGGAATGCCAGAACAAGTTAGTTTACTGTTCGAAGTAGAAGATTTGGCCGTAGCTTCTCCGGCGACTGTCTCCAGAGCTGGAATGGTTTACAATGATTACAAAGATTTGGGATGGCGACCCTATGTTAAATCTTGGTTGCAGAAATATGATAAGCCAGAATTTATCCACGAGGTATTTGAAAAAATTTCATTTTCGAAAATTAAATGAAACAATATCTCAAAAATGTTTATTTTTCAAAGTCGCTGAAATTTAGAACTTTTTTGATCGACAATTGAAATAAATAAATATTTTACATGCTGAAAAAAATAAAAGAGTTTTGTTTAGAATGTTTTCTTTTTTTTATTATTAATCAGAAAACTATGCAAAATATTTTTCATACAAAAGTATATAAAAATCTAAATAGAAAAATATTTTTATAATAATTTATGTATAAAAAATATTTTTATAATTTATATATAAAATATATTTTATTTTCTTTAATATATATTAAAGATATTTTTAAATTAAGTATATTTTTCTATTAAATATATAAAAATTTTAATAGAAAATTATTTTTCTCTACAAATTATTAGTTACAAACGTGAATTTCGGCAACGGTTTTTTTATATTATTATTTTAATTATAAGCGAAATTATAATTAATTTTCATTGCTTGATTACCATATTTTTTTGTTATTTCTCAAATTCTGTTATTTTTGTTACACAAAAATTTATTATGAAGTTTTATTTATTTTTTTAGTTTATTAAATATTTATAAACATATAGTATTTAAATTTATTAAATTTATTCTCTATCAATTTTTTTAGATGAACGAATTATTTGAAGAATACGTGGACAAAATTTTAGAATTCAAACGTTTAAATTGTGAGGAAATTGTACCGGTGCCTGAATTAAATGCCGTTCAATCGCTTTGTAAATTATTGGAAGTTCTCGCTACTCAAAAAAATGGCGTAATTCTTGGTGAAGATCCTGACGATTACAGTAAAATTTGTAAAAATTGGTTCCTCTTCTGGTACGTTATTCTCTTAATGTTATAATTTGATAATTTTTTTTCGTGTTATAATTAGAATTATTAATTATTGTACTTACTTTGAATTTGATTTAACATAAAAAAAAAATTATTTTCAGCATGATTTGGTCGGTATGTGCGTCAGTGAATGAAGAGGGTCGTCAGAAAATGGACAATTTCTTACGAGAATCGGAAAGTAGTTTTCCCATTAAAGATACAGTTTATGAATATTACGTGGATGTGCGCCAGAAAAGTTTCGTCTCTTGGGAGGAGAAATTATCTGCCTCGTGGAAAATTCCCACAGGGTGAGTTTTTTTTAAGGGAATATTTATTTTTCTAAAATTTATTTTCAATTGGTTTCAAAATTTTTTTTTTGTTAGAAATATAATTATTAGTGATCTTTACTATCAGCAATGAAATTCAATTTATTATTATTGGGAGTAAAAATTATTAGTGAAAATTAGTAATTATAATTATTATTAGTAATATTAGTAATAAAAATTAGAAATTATAGTTATTATTAGAAATAATAGTTATAAATTTTTTTTCAAGTTTTAATATTTAAGTCGAGATATTTCGTATTTATTTTCATCGAGAACTTATTGTTTCAGAATTCCATTTTATAAAATTGTTGTCCCAACGGTCGACACAATAAGATACGAATATCTTGTTAGTGTCTTATTGGATCATGAATTTCCTGTACTTTTGGTCGGTCCGGTGGGAACTGGGAAAACATCCACTGCACAATCTGTATTTGAATCTTTAGACAATATGAAATACAGTTTTTTGGTTATAAACATGTCGGCTCAAACTACTTCAAAAAATATTCAGGTAATTTTTCAAATATATTATTTTATTTAAAAAGAAGGATAAAAGATTTTATTTTAATTGTTAAAAAAAAAGAGTAATTGAAGTTTGAATTCATTTTTTTACTTTTTTCTATTAGAACGTAGAAATGAAACTTTATATTTTAAATTTGTAACTTTAAATTTGAATTTCCTTTATTTGTTTATTAAAAGTTTCGAATTGAATTTCAGGAAGCTATTGAAAGTAGAGTTGAGAAGCGAACGAAAGGAGTTTTCGTTCCAGTTGGAGGGAAAAATATGATAACATTTGTAGATGATTTTAATATGTCGATGAAGGAAATTTACGGATCACAACCTCCATTGGAATTGATACGTCAATGGCTGGGATATGGATTTTGGTAATGCTTGCAAAAAAAATAAGATTTTAAAAAATAAATTCGAATACAAAATATTTGTAAAATAGGAAAATGAAGTATAATTTAGAAATAATGAGTAAAAATCGTAAAAATAATGAAAATGTTAATGACTACGAAAATGGTAATGCTATCAAAATGCTAATTAAATTTTTTATTGAAGGTATGATAGGCAGAATCAAACGAGAAAATATGTTCAAAAAATGCAGTTGATTGCTGCAATGGGTCCACCGGGTGGTGGGAGAAATACAATTACAGAGAGACTTCTCACGAGATTTAACGTCATTAACATGACTTTTCCTGTGGAAAAACAAATTATTCGGATTTACGGTACAATGCTCAATCAACAACTTTTTGATTTTCATCCAGAAGTTAAAGGAATTTGTGAGTATGCTTTTAATAATTACGGACTTTTATATTCAACTTACTGAAATCGAAAGTTTAAAAGAAAATTGAATTTCTTACTTTTAAACTTTCGAGTTTAAATTTCAAACAAGTTTTTAATTTAAATTGAAAGTCTTGTCATTTATTACAATTTCATTTCACTGCCACTTCATTTAGAGTCATTCGTAAATTTCTCAGTTTTATTTAAACTTACAAAAAATTAAAAAAAGAAGAAAACTTCTTTCAGAAATCTTTTTTTTTTATTCCTAACTTTTTTAATCATTTTTCTTTTCAAATATTTTCAATTTTAAAATTAAAGTATTGAAAATCATCTAATTGTTGCAAAAAATTTTATTATTTGGTAAAATAATTGAATTCTCGCGAAGAATTTTGATAAAATTTTTGAAAATTCTAATTAACTTCTTTTTGAAGAATTTCTTTCAATTTTTTTAAAATAAAGGAGTTTGTTTAATAATTTTAATTAAAAATTTTGAAAATAATTAAATTTTATGAACAATTTCTATCAAGTTTTTAAAATAATCGTGTTTCTTAATAATTGAAATTAAACATTTAATTATTTGATTTTATTAAAATTTTAGAAAATAATTGAATTCTTTTGGAAAATTTTATAACGAATTAATAAGAAAAAAATTGAATTTTTCGTGGAACTTTTTTTTGAAAATAATTGCATTTTTGTAAAGAATTTTACTATTTATAAATATAATTCAATTGTTTCCAAGGATTTGTTAAAATTTTTAAATAGAATTGAATTCTTTTGAAATATTTTATAACGAACTAAGAAAAATATTGAATTCTTTCGTAAAATTTTTTTGAAAATAATTAAAATTTTGCAAAGATTTGATACGAATTAAGAAAAAAATTGATTTTTTTTTGTGAAATTGTTTTGAAAATAATTAAATTTTTGCAAATATTTTACTATCTAAGATTTTACAATTTAAGAAATAATTGAATTGTTTCAAAGGATTTATTAAAATTTTAGAAAATATTTGTATTCGTTCGTGAAATGTTATTAAAATTTTGTTTAAAAATAATTAAATTTTTGCAAAAAATTTTACTATTTATAAAAATAATTGAATTATTACGAAGAATGTTAACTAGAATAATTAATTAGTAAATTAATTAATAATTGAATTTTTTTTAAATTTGGATATGAAATTATTCAAAAATTCATATTTGAAAATAAAGAATTTTGTAATTTTCATAATAATAATAAATTAAATATCACATTCCGCGCGCATATTATTTGCTAGTATTTTTATAATATTTAAAATTAATAAAATAATATTTAAATAACATTTTTTATATTTTAAATATTTTTGTAATATGATAAATTTTTAAGCGAACGAAATAACTATGGCTACGATAGAAATGTACAATCGAGTGATTGTAAAAATGCTACCAACTCCTGCCAAAATGCACTATTTATTTAATTTGAGAGACATTTCCAAGGTATGCGAACTTGAAATCTTTAATTAGAAATTTGTACGTTAATTATTGACAATTAACTTTTCTTTTCAATTTTCAAGATATTTCAAGGATTATTAAGAAGTCATAAAGATTATCAGTACTCAAAGACCACATTTTTGAGACTCTGGATTCATGAGTCTTTTAGAGTCTTTAGCGATCGACTCATAGACGAAAGGTTGGTTTAATTTTTACATTTTTGAAAATTAAAAAATAATTTTTGCTCTTGAGTATTTTATTAACAACGAAATAAACTTTTTTACAGAGATCGAGAATGGTTTGTGAGTCTATTGAACGATGAACTGGGAAAACATTTTGAATTAATTTTCCATAATTTATGTCCGGAAAAAAGAAGTCCTGTTTTCGGTATGTTTTTATCACGAGTTTTATAAAAATGTAAAAAGAAAAAAATTTTCTACAAAGAAGTAAAATTTATTTTTTTATTTCATTCTTTTTCTTTCTTCATTTTTCTTCATTATGTGGTAAAATAAAGTTTTCTTTGCTTTGTTTTCCTTTTTTTTTTGCACGAGAGAATGAAACATTTGTTTTTCGTTTATGATGAAATAATGTTAAGAAATTTATATAATATTTATCTAAATTATGCAACAGGAAGTTTCATGAATGCCTGGAATATGTATGAGGATCTTACAGACTTGAGTGCTGTTCGCCGTTATATAGAATTGCAAATTGATGAATATAACGCTTCCCCGGGGGTTGTTCGTCTTGATCTCACACTTTTTCGCGATGCAATTGAACATATATGTCGCATTGTTCGAGTGATTTCACAAGTATTTGCATATTAATTCATTTTATAGTTTTATTTTACTCTTGCACATTTATCTATTTAATCAAATAATCTGCCGAATAATCAAAACATTGTTCGACTCGTTTAAAATATTTTAAAGAATCGAACTTCAAGAAATTTTATTTTCTAAATGCTAAATAGTTAATTTTAAGTTAATTTTACTTTTTTTAAGTTTTAATTCTGAGTTAATTTTATTTTAAATTCCAAATTAATTTTAAATTAAAATTCTGAGTTAATTTTATTTTAAATTCGAAATTAATTTAAAAATAATAAAAGTTAAATTTAACAATTCGGGACAAAATTTTGTAATTAGAAAAAACTTTGATTTACAGCCGAGAGGAAATATGTTACTGGTTGGCATTGGCGGAAATGGAAGACAATCTCTTTCCCGCGTTGCAGGATATATGTGCGAATTGAACACATTCCAAATAGAAGTGACGAAGAATTATCGCGTTCCAGAATTTCGAGAAGATTTAAAAATTTTGTACTCAAAGGCCGGTGTTGATAACAAGCCAACGAACTTTTTGTTTAACGACACACAAGTGGTGGACGAGCAATTTTTGGAAATTATAAACAATATGCTGAGTACTGGAGAAGTTGCTAATTTATACAAGAGCGACGAATTTGATGATGTTCGTAAATTTTTTTCTTTCTTTTTTTAACTTTTAATTGATATTTTCATTTCTCTGTCAATATTGAAAATTTATTGTCCTTGATTTTTCAGATAAAAAGCAAATTAACGAAAGATGCTGGCAAAGCTGGATTTTTGCCAACGTCGGAGGCAATTTATAATTATTTTATAGAGAGAATTAGAGCAAATTTACATATTATATTGTGCATGAGTCCAATTGGCGATGCATTTCGAAATCGAATTCGACAATATCCGTCGCTTATTAATTGCACCACGATTGATTGGTTTCTTGAGTGGCCAAGGGAATCTCTGATAGAAGTGGGCAATAAATTTCTCATGGATTTAAATTTAATTGTCACTATCACTGGAGAAAATAGAATTGTAAGTTGTTTGAAATCGAATTTTTTTCAATTCTAAAAATTTTCCTTTTTTTTCGTGAACTAATCTAAATTTTACTAAACTTTATTTTAAATTCGAAATCTCACAGGAACCAAGACGATCAGCCACAGCAATTCCGTTGGCTCCTCTTCAAGAAAGAATGCTCGAAGGAATTTCATCGACATTTTCTCTCATTCACGATTCTGTTTCGCAAATGTCAAAAAAAATGTCTCTGGAGCTAAAGCGATTTAATTACGTAACGCCGACTAATTTTTTGGAACTCGTAGCTGGTTATAAAAGGTAAATTATTATCCAATTATTTCTATTTTTCTTCCTTTTTTATTTATTTTTTTCAGAAAAAGATAGGAAGAAATTCCTTTTTTGAATTGAAATATTAAATTGAAATAGAAAGAAAATTAATTTATATATATATTTTTTGATTGCTTAGAATGTTGTTTGAAAAGAGACAAGAATTAGCGGGTCAAGCGAATAAATTACGTGGTGGTTTGTCGAAAATTGATGACACAAAAGAGAAAGTTAATGAAATGGCGATTGAACTTGAAGCGACACAATTGCAAGTGCAAAAATCGACAAAAGAGTGCGAGGAATTTTTAGCGACTATTTTAATTCAGCAAAAGGACACGGACGATACACAAAGAAGCGTGACTGCAAAATCAATTAAAATTGCCGAAGAGTCGAGGGAATGCAAAAGATTGGAAGAAATTGCTCGCGCTGATTTGGCCACTGTCGAACCTGCAATTATCGAAGCTATTAAGGTTTGTATTTTTTGTCAAATTTCTTCAGTATTGTTTAAATTTTTTCATTCTTTCGCAGTAATTATTTTTCACTTTATCTTTATGTTCTATTTCTATTTATTTATTTTTTTTCTTTATTCTTTTTCCTTTTTTTCAATTCTCTTTTCATTAATTTTATTTTTCATTTTTTTGTTAACATTAAAATTAAATTAAAATTGAAATAAAAATAATATAAATAATAAAATAAAATTTGTCAGGCTTTGGATGCGTTGAATAAGAAAGATTTGTCGGAAATTAAATCCTTCACGCGACCACCACCGAAAGTGGAAATGGTTATGGAGGCGATAATGGTTTTGAAAAATTCAGAGAAATCTTGGGCGGAAGCGAAACGTCAATTGGGCGATGTTAATTTTCTAAATACTGTAAGTAAAAATACTTGTTGGCAATTTTTGTTTCCTAACTTTTTTTAAAATAATTTTTCTTTTCAAATTTCTTTTCAATTTTAAAATAACTATTGTTATATTTTAAATCATTTTTTTAATCATCATTTTAGTTGAGAGATTTCGATAAGGATCACATTTCGGACAAAACTTTAAAGACTATTAGTCGGTATACAAATAATCGAGAATTTGATCCTGTAAAAGTTGGCGTTGTATCGATGGCTGCAAAATCGCTTTGCATGTGGGTTATAGCTATGGAAAAGTATGGAAAACTTTATAGGTAAATATTTTTCTTAGAAAAATAAACTTTTTTCTGTTTCTTCATGTTCTTTCATTGAATTCGATTATAAAATACACTTGTTATTTTTTCAATTTCATTTCTTTTGAATTTCAAAAAATTTTGGAATTTAATATTTAATATTAAATATTTTTACATTTCGGAATTTTATATTCAAAAAATTGCTTGAAATTATTTTCAAAAATAAGGAGTGATTGAAATAAATGGATGGAATATTTTTAGAATTGTAGCACCGAAAAGGGAGAAATTAGAATCGGCTTTGGTGTCTTTACGGGAGAAGGAAGCCGCTCTCGCGGAAGCTGAGAATCAATTACAAAAATTACGTCAAGAATTGCAAAAGTTACAAGCAATGTACGATGCTAAAATGAAGGAGAAAAGCGATTTAATTGAGATGGTATGAGATTTTTCTTTCTTTCTATTTTTTCTTTTTCTATTTTTCTATTTGTATTTTTTCTCTTCTATTTCTTTTCTTATTTTTTATAAATTTTTGTTTTCATAATTGCCAAATAGGAAGAGTTATTGAAGTTAAAATTGGAAAGGGCAGCAATGCTACTGGACGGTCTTTCTGAAGAGCGAATAAGATGGGAAAATACAGTTGCAATTTTAGGAAATCTTTTCGATTTATTACCTGGAGATTGTTTGATTTGCACTGCATTTGTTTCTTACTTGGGTCCATTTGTCTCTAATTACAGAGAAGATTTATTCAAACAGTGGACCAATGAAGTAATTACATTACTGCAATTTTAATTTTAATTTAATATTTATTATTATTATTACTAATTTAATTATTATTAATTCAATTTTTATTAATTTATATATAATAATGATGCTATCACTCGGTCGATAAAATATTAAGATGATGAAAAAAATCTAAAATTTTATGTATTATTAATACATAAAATACATATACATATATATATACATATTTAATTTTATTAATTTAATTTCAGTAATTTATATTTTTATGTATTATTTTGCTTTCCCATAGATGAAGGATTATATTTTATTTATTTAATTTTTAATTTATTCATTTATTTTAAATATTAATATAGATTTTAATATTTAATAAATAATGTTTTATATACATCCAACAAATAATAAATTAACAGTAAATAAATTTTTTCTTTCAGGTCCTCGAGAAAGAAATTCCAATGTCTCTCGATTTGGATATTAAACAATTTTTAAGCAATCCAACGACAATCAGAGAGTGGAATATTCAAGGTTTGCCGTCCGATGATTTTAGTACGGAAAATGGAATAATAGTGACAAGAGGAACACGCTGGCCTCTTGTTATAGATCCTCAATGTCAAGCCGTAAAGTGGATTAAGAATATGGAAGAAGACAATGTATTTTCTTTTCTTAAAACTTTTATTTTCGCTTGAAAGTATATTATTTTAGTTTAACTTCAGTTGAACTTTAGTTGACTTTAGTTGAACTCAATAATATTATCATACCTATTTGAAAAAAATTCAAGCTTTGTTCTAAAATTAAAATTTTCCATTTTCTATATTAGGATTTAAAAGTAATCGACTTTGGACAATTTGATTTTACAAAAATTTTGGAACTGGCTATTCAATTTGGAAAGCCGGTACTTTTACAAAACGTTGGCGAAGTTTTAGATCCGGCATTGAATCCAATCTTGCAGAAGGCTTTCGTTAAAACAGGTGACGAATTTTTTATTTATAATTTTCATTTACTTGACTATTTTTTTATTTTATTTATCATTTATTTAATTTATTTATTTCTTTATTTACTAAAAGTTACCATTTTTGTTACTAAATTATAATTTTATTTTATTTAGTTCATTTATCTTATTTTTTTTATTTACTAATTTTCAGTTATTCTAATTATTAATAACAGTAGAATTATTATTATTATTTTATTCTAATTGTTTTCTTTGACCATTTTATTATTTAACGGTTTATTGACACAGGAAATCAGATAATGATCAAATTCAATGATAAGATGATAACTTTCAATGATAAATTTCGATTGTTTATAACTACTAAACTTCCAAATCCGCATTATGCGCCGGAAATATCGACGAAAACGACTTTATGCAATTTTGCAATCAAGGAGCAAGGTTGTATTTTTTAATTCGATCCCAAAATGAAATTCATACATTTTTTTTGTAGTTAACTTTTGTTTTTTTTTAAATCCAATATGCAACAGTTTAAACATTATTTTTATTAAATTAATAAATTAAAATATTCTTTTTAGGATTGGAAGCACAACTCTTGGGAATTGTTGTTAGAAAAGAGAAACCACAGTTGGAAGAACAAAAGGATAATTTAGTTTTGACTATTGCGGCTGGAAAGCGCACCTTGAAAGAACTTGAGGATAAAATACTTTAGTGAGTATTTAATTTTCAAGAAAATTAATATTTGTTTAATTAAATTAAATGTCATGAATTAAATGTAAATATATTAATATACATGTTAATATTTACTTTAGTAAATTAATTAATCAATTAATTATTAATTAATAAATTAATTAATCAATTAATTTAAAAAATAAATTTTGAAATGGTGAATTTTTAGTTTTAATTGAAACATTTTTTTCCAGTCTTTTAAGTGTCACTGCGGGATCACTGTTGGACGATTTGGATTTATTGAATACGTTGCAATCTTCAAAAATGACATCTGACACAATTCAACAGTCCTTAATAATCACTGAGGAGACAGAAAAGGAAATCGATCTTGCTCGTGCAGGATATCGTCCTTGCTCGAAAAGAGCGGCCATTCTCTTCTTCGTTCTGAATGACATGAGTCTAATAGATCCGATGTACCAATTTTCCCTCGAGTCATACATCTCTCTTTTCATGATTTCAATCGAGAAGAGTCCGAAGAATGCCAAACTAAATGAAAGAATCAAAGCATTGAACGATTATCACACTTACGCTCTTTACAGGTACGAAAAAGAGTTTTTATTCGTTAATAAATAAATAAATAATTCAAATAAATAATAAATAAAGAATAACCTAAAAAAAGAAATAGTAAACTAAAGAGAAGAAATTACAAAAGAAAAAGAAAAAATAATAAAATAAACAGTAGAAATAATAAAATAAGAAGAAATGATAAAATAAACTGATTAAATAATAAAGTAAAAAGAAAAGAGTAATAAAAATAAAAAAAGTAATAAATAGAAAAAATATTAAAAAAGGATTTTACTCTAATATCTTTTGTGTTTGACAATTACAGAAATACTTGTAGAGGTCTTTTTGAACAACACAAGCTGCTCTTTTCGTTTCACATATGTATAAAAATATTGGAAGCCGAGGGGAAAATTGTACCTGTGGAATATGAGTTTTTGTTGAAAGGCGGAATTGTCCTCGACAAAGAAAATCAATTGGACAAATCGGTGCAATGGCTTTCAGACGAATCCTGGGATAATGTTACAGAACTCGATAAATTGCCGGGATTTCATGGAGCTGCAGAATCTTTTGAACAATTTTCCGAAGAATGGCACAATTGGTATTTATTTACTTCTATCACAATTCTTAATCCCAATAATCATTTAAAGACCATAATGTTAAAAATAAACTAAAATTATAGAAACTAACAAAATCGTGAAATGGAAAAAATTAAGCATCATTTTAAAAATAATTATATTATTATTAATTAAATTAATTAAATGACGCTTACTATTATGTTTATCATAAAATTCATTTATATAAAATAAATATAAAATTTATCTAATATAAAAATAGTGTAGAATGTTTTTTTTTACAATGAAAATCGTAATTAAAAATAAAATTAAAGAAGTGAATATTGTAACATTCAGGTATATTCATACGGAACCGGAGTCACTGGAATTGCCAGCCGATTGGGAAAGTGTTTGTGACGAGTTTCAAAAAATGCTATTCATTCGCAGTTGTCGCTCGGATAGAATCTCATTTTGTTTGATTGATTTTATTGCGAAAAATCTTGGACAAAAATTCGTGGAGCCACCCGTATTGGATGTGAAGGCAGTGCTTGAAGATTCAGTGGCTCATTCACCATTGATTTTTGTTCTCTCGCCCGGAGTCGATCCCACTAATGCACTTTTGCAATTGGCAGACAATCAAGACGAGCCCCAACATATCATGACTCTATCACTTGGCCAGGGACAAGCACCAATCGCTACCAGGTTACTCATTTTTTTTCTTCCTTTAATTTGAAACTAATGTTTGAATTTTTTCCCTCGAAAAAAAAAATTCAATTTTTAATTCTTTCTCTCTAATTGGAAACTAATATTTGGTTTTTTCCCCCTACAAATATTAAAATCGCTACCAGGTTATTTATTTTTTTCTTTAATTATAAAAAGTGTTTGATTTTTTCCTTGGAAGTATTTTAAATTCTTTAAAATAAAATTTTAACACGAATTTTACAGAAGATGTAGAAACCTAGAAACTGTAGAAATTATTTTCTATTTATATTTTATTCTGTTGTAAAATTTGAATTAAAGTTTATTCTATCTAATAATGAAAAAAACATAAAAAGACTAATGTAATGCGTTTGTTTTCATTTTGTTTTGAATTTTTTCGATTTTAGAATGATTGAAACTGGCATTAAAGACGGAAGCTGGGTATTTTTAGCGAATTGTCATTTATCATTGAGCTGGATGCCACAATTGGATAAAATTGTTGAAAATCTATCGTCCAATAAAAATTTGCATCCAAATTTCAGGTAATTGTTTAAACAGAATACTTTACTTATAAACCATTTTTGAAAATTCTAATTAAATTATTTTTGAAGAATTTCTTTGAATTATTTTTAAATAAAGGAGTTTCTTTAATAATTTTAATTAAAAAAATTTCAAAAAGTAATAGAATTTTATGAACAAGTTCTTTCAAGATTTTAAAGTAATCGTGTTTGTTAATAATTAAAATTGAACATTTAATTATTGAATTCTTTAGTGAATTTTTTTTTAGAATAATTAAATTTTTGAAAAGATTTTACTATTTAAAAAAATAATTGAAATGTTTCAAAGAATTTATTAAAATTTTTGAAATTAATAAACAAGAATAATTAATTAGTAAATTAGTTAATAATTGAAATTTTTTAAAGTTTGGATATAAAATTATTCAAAAATTCATATTTGAAAATAAAAAATTTTGTAATTTGCATAATAATAATAAATAAATTAATAAAAATAAATTAATGTATTAAAGGAAATGTGGATTTGAAATTTTATAAAATTGTATAAACTTGCAGATTATGGTTGAGTTCAAGTCCAACGCCACAATTTCCGATATCAATTCTTCAAGCGGGAATCAAAATGACTACAGAACCACCAAAAGGCATCAGGGCCAATATGACGAGACTTTACGGCTTGATGAACGAAAATCAATTTGAAATGTGCCAAGCAAAATCGAAATTCAAAAAACTTCTCTTCACACTCGTCTTCTTTCATTCGATTCTCATAGAGAGGAAGAAATTTCAACAACTCGGTTGGAATATCGTCTACAGCTTCAATGACTCCGATTTCGAGGTGAATACATTTTCATTTCTCTCTTTTTTTTTTAATGAAATTAAATAATTAAATTCGTTAAGAAGTCTAGAGTCCTACATTCAGTAGGAAAAGTACATAAATTGAAAATCTGATAATTTGATTTCGTTAATAGAATTTAAAGTTGAGAATTTGAATTTAATAATTCTAGTTGAAATTAATAATTTACGAAGTTATTTCCATAATTTACGAAATTAATTACATAATTTACAAAACTACATAATTATACAAATTTATTTATTTCAACAAAATTTTGTATTTTTATTTATCGAATTTAAAATTTAATCCAATTTAATAATGAAAGGTGTCGGAAAATCTCTTGGAAGTGTACCTGGACGAATATCCAGAGACTCCATGGGAGTCGTTGAAATATTTAATAGCCGGAATTTGTTACGGTGGACACGTGACAGACGACTGGGATCGTCGTCTATTAATGAGCTATGTCGATCAATATTTTACTGACGAAACTTTAAATGTGCCATTTTATCGTCTATCAAGTTTGCCAACGTACTTCGTGCCACGCGACGGTCCTTTTGACTCTTATAAAGATTTTATTTCACTTTTCCCGAACATTGATCGTCCCGAAGCATTTGGTCAGCACACAAACGCTGATATTACGTCTCTAATTATTGAAAATCGAGAAATGTTTACAACGCTCATGAGTCTTCACGTTCAAGCGCGTTCCAGTGATGAGGAAACGAACAAAGAGGATAAAGTGAGAATCACATTCGATTTTTTGCAAAAGATTTATTTATTGTTTTTTTATTTTAATTGAATTTAAATTATATTTATTTATTAATATTAATTATATTAATAATAAATATCTTAATTGTATATCATATAATTATACACTATTTATTATTTAATGATGCTTTAATAATTTTTACACAATTTTCAGAAGTATTTTAATTAACAATTTTAATTGTTTTAAAGTTAAAAACTTTAGGAACATTAATTCTAATAATAAAAAATAATAATCGTTGTGTTTCAGTAATTTTTTTTCTTTTGATTCATAATTTTTGAAAGAATTTTTCTTTATATGGTTTGAATTTTAAAATTAATGTACTGAAAATCATTGAGTTCTTGCGAACAATTTTATTTTTTAAATTTTGAATCTGAAATTATTCAAGAATTGAAGTTGATATTTGAAAATAAAAAATGTAATAATAATAAAAATAATGAATTAATTTTTAATTGATATAAAATTACATAATACATTCATTTAGAAAAATTGAGTAAAAAATGTATATTTTTCAGGTAATGCAAATGGCATTGGATATTTCGAGTAAATTGCCAAATCCCATAGACTATGAATTGGCGGAAAAATTAATAGGACCGGATAAAAAGCCATTGGATGTGATTCTATTGCTGGAGATAACGAGATACAATGTTCTTTTGAAGAAGACGAACTCAAGTTTAGAGGATCTTCGACGTGGAATAGAAGGATTAGTTTTGATGTCCTCCGAGTTGGAAGAAATTTTCACTTGCATTTATGAAGGCCGAGTACCAACATCGTGGCTGTCTGTGTATCCATCGTTGAAACTGCTTGGATCATGGGCGAGGGATTTAATTAGTCGAGTGAAACATTTTTCTGATTGGGCCGAAACGACTCATCAGCCAACGTTATTCTGGCTTAGTGCCTTTACATTTCCCTCTGGATTTCTCACCGCTGTTCTGCAAATATCCGCCAGATCATGGAACATTCCGATTGATTCCTTATCTTGGGAATTCACTGTCTTCACTGAGGATGAGCATTTAATTGAGGAGCCACCAGAAGTAAGAATTTATTAATCTTCTATCTTCTTCTATCTTCAATATTAATAATAGTCGTTGTATTCCGGTAATCTGTTCGCAGTTTGAAGTTAATTGCTGTTTGCTGTTTCGTTTCATAACTTTATAAATAATTTTTAAATGTTTTCAATTTTAAAATTAATTTACTGAAAATCATTGAATTCTTGCAAAGTATTTATCAAAAATTTTGATAACAATTGAATTCATTTCAAGAACTTTATCAACATTTTTTTCAATAATTGAATTCTTTCGCGAGAAAATGTAATTAAAATTGTATTGAAAATAATTTAATTCTTGTCAAGATTTTTCTTGAAATCCTTTAAAATAATTGAATTGTTTTGAAGAATTTATTTCAATATTCTTAAAAATAGTGGAATTTTTTTTTTAATTTTTACTGAAAATTTTGAAAGTAATTGAATTTTATGAAGAATTCAATTATTTTCAATAATTGTAATAAAATTCTTTGCAAAAAAGTCAATAATTTATAAATAATAAAAATCTTCGTAAAAAAATTCAATTATTTTTATGAAAACAATAAAATTCTTATCAGGATTTCACTTATTTTCAGTACAATTTTAATTGATTTCTTCGAAAATTTCAATTATTTTTAAAAATCTTGTGAAAATTCTCCGAGAAAATTAAAATCTTTAAAAAATAATTGAATTTTTCACAGGAGTTCAATTAAGTATAAAAATTTTATAATAAAATTCAATTTAAGAATTCAATTATTTTCATGAATAATGAAATTTTCGCTGGAATTCAATTATTTTAAATACAATTTTAATTGAATTCCAGGAAAAATTAAATTATTTTTGTAAATTCTTCGTAAGAATAGAATTCAATTATATCAATAAATAGTAAATTTTTCCCAGGAATTTAATTATTTTAAATATAATTTTCATAAAATTATTCTCAAAAAATTCAATTATTTTTTTTAATTTTGCAAAAATTCAATTATTTGCAGAAATAATAAATTTTTTCGCAGCTATTTAATTATTTTAAAAACTTTTAATAAAATTCTATTTAAGAATTCAATTATTTTCATAAATAATGAAATTTTCGATGTACTGAAAATAATTGAATTCTTGTGAAGTATTTATAAAAAAATTTGAATATAATTGAATTCATTTCAAGAATTTTATCAACATTTTTTTTTTGTATTGTATTCAATTGTATTGAAAATAATTTAATTCTTGGAATGATTTTTATTAAGTTTCTTTAAAATAATTGTTTTGAAGAATTTATTTCAATTTTCTTGAAAATAGTGGAGTTTTTTGTTAATAATTTTTACTGAAAATTTTGAAAGTATTTAAATTTTATGGAGAATTTCTTTTAAGTTTTTAAAATCATCGTGTTTATTATTAATTATAATTAACAATTTTACTATAAAATTATATTAAAATTATTCATAAAAAATTAAATTTTTTTAATAAATTTTATTAGAGTTTTTGTAAATAATTACATTTTTTTAAAAGAATTTCATTAAATTTCGTAAAAATAGTGTAATTCTTTAAAATAATTTTAATGGAAAATTTTGAAAATAATTAAAATAATTACAAAGTATTTTTTAAAAACTTTTGAGAACAATTGAATTGTTTAGAAAAATTGTATTACAATTTTTAAAAATAATTTAATCTGTTAGAGAAATTTTATTAAAATTATCTTGAATGTAATAGATTTTTTACTAGAAATTAAAGTAAAATTGTATTGAAAATAATTGAATTTCTCAGAAGAATTTTATTATTTACAAAAATAATTGAATTCCTTCGAAACATTTTATTATTTATGAAAAATAATTGAATTCTTTTGTAAAATTCTATTATTTATGAAAATATTTTAATTCTTGCGAAGAATTTTCCTATTTATGCGAAAATAATTGAATTCTTTCGGAGGATTTTACAATTCATAAAAATAATTGAATTTTTCGAAGACTTTTGTCTGAATTTTTGAAAATAATTGAATTTTGCGAAGGAATTTTATTAACAATTTTGAAAATAATAATTTTTTTAAAAAAATTTCATCAAAATTGTTGAAAATAATTGAATTTATATTAAAATTCTTTTAAATAATCGATTTTAATTACTATTTTTAAAAATAATTTAATATTAAGTGTATGGAGTGTATAACTCCTTTTTCATTTTAAGCCAAGTATAATTTAATATTGTTAAGTGAGTTCTTTAAATTTTAAATATCTTTAAATTTATATATAAATTAAGATAGAATAATTTTTTCTTCTTCAGGATGGAATTTATGTGAGAACGATTTATCTCGAGGGAGCTGGATGGGATTTAGAAAATGGAATACTTACGGAGCCTGCTCCAATGTCACTTGTCTGTAACATGCCGGTAATTCATTTCCGACCAGTGGAAAATATCAAAAAGAGAGTTAAAGGTATTTATTTACAATTATTTCTAATTAACAAATCAAAATCAAAATTCTCTTTTTGCTCTTAACAAAAAGTGAGATAATTTCATTTCTAATTCAGGAATTTATAATTGTCCCTGTTATTACTATCCACAAAGAAGTGGTGCTTATGTCGTTACAATTGATTTAAATTCCGGCCAAGAAGGATCTGATTTTTGGATAAAACGAGGAACAGCTCTTTTATTAAGTCTAGCAAATTAATTTCTTTTATTAATGCAATTTACATTACGCTTTCTAATTATAATACGCTATTTAAATATAAATACTTCTTATAGCTAATTAAGAATTAAATTTCGTTATTTTGATATCAAGAATTGATTATTTAAAATTTATTATTTAGAAGTAACTATTTAGAAATAAGTATTTAAAAATAAATTTTTAAAAATAACTATTTAAAAAATAAGTATTTAAAAATAACTTTTTTTAAAATAACTATTCAAAAATATTTATCGAAATATCAACTAATTAAATTAATATTTAGATAATTAATTAACTTTATAAAATTTGGCATTTATTTAAATATACATTATATTATCGATGATAATTAAAAACTTATTTCTAGTCTCACCAGAATTAGAATTAAAATGGAACTTGTCGAGATTGAGAAAGCAGTCAATTTTGATGCAGACGATTTTGTATCGTTTATAGGATTCGTTTTATTTTTCATAGCTTCGTTTAATTCATTAAAATGATCCTTCACTGAGTCTTGATATTTTTTCCACTTGGAAATATTTTCAGTTGATTTGGAATCGTTATACGAAAGACGTAGAATTTGATCTCGAGCTCTCACTAATGCTTCTTTGACTTTATTTAAATTGGAATTGATAATTGAGGAGTTATTCAAATTATTTAAAATCCCTTCTATCGTTTTATTGTTATTATTACTTGATTCGATTGATGGTATTCGATTCAATTTTTCTACCTTAATTTTTTCAATTGATTCGTTAATATTCTTTTTCAACTCAACTATTTGTTCCTTTAGATCGTCGATTGAATTTTTTAGAAAATTTTTAAAATTCATCCATTCGTTGGAATTGTTTTCTTTTAGTAAATCTATATAATTTTTTACTGTTTTATTTATCGAGTTCTTAAAGTTGTTCCAATCCTCCTCTTTGATGTTAAATTGACTTGAAATTTCTAAAGATTCGACTTGATTTTTAAGATCGAGGAATGATTGGTCGGTATTTTTTTCCAGATCGGAAATATTTTTATTTTCTTCGTTTATTCTCATTGACCATTCTTGTTTAATTTTCGATATTTCTTCTTTTAGTTGAGCAATATTGTTCCTTATGGACTCTCGTAAATTCATCCAGTCGAGATTTTTGGAGAGTTTGATATTATCGAAATTTTTGAGAGCATTTTTCAGTGAGTCATTTATCTGATGGGAAAAGTCACTCCAATCGTTGGATAATTTCAGCAAATTTTTCTCTTGTACTTTTGATGATAATTCACTCACATTATTTTTAAATTCAGAAAATGATCTGTTGATATAATGACAAAATTTCCAATTTGAATCACAAACGGATTTCTTTCTTCGATTCATTGTTGTATTTATCGTTTGATTGATATCCTCTCGCAATGCTTTCCAATCATTCAGTTCCTCATGATTTATTTCTTTTAATTCTCTTTCTAAAATTTCATCTCTTCTATTATCAAATTCACGGCGAATTTCAGAAAATTTCATTCTTATTTCCCTTCTAAATTCAATCCATTCCGGACTTCCACGTGGTGGAGAATTTACTTTGATGTATCGAACAACATTTTCAATCGCCTCCTTCAAATCGCGCCTGAAATTAATCCAATCCAATTTTGAATTCTCCACAAAATTCAATTTCAAAATGGACATTCTGTATTTAGAATCGTTCATTGATTTGTGAAATTTCTCCCTAAATTCCTGCCATTGTGTAGTATCGTTTGGCAATAAATTTCCCGATCTTCTATCATCAATTAACTTGCATAAAGATTTATTCATATCGGATTTAAAGGTTTTCCAATCGAACACCGTGTTTTCGGATATTGTTAATAGAACGGGCGGTTTCACTGGTATATCACTGCGGAATTTTGATAACATTTCAGTGATTTTCTCTTTGTACTCGGGCCACGATGGATCATTGGGTTTTGGAGATTTATCACGAATTTCTTCAATTATTTTATCGATAGTTTCCTTGAGTTGGTGTTTGAATTTTATCCATTCGCGACTTTCGTTGCGCGAGGAGAAAAAATGTTTTTGTTTTGAGAATTTCTTTTTGATTTCGTCTCTGTAGTGGGACCAGTTTGGTTTATTTGTTTCGATATTGCTGATGGCTTCGTTTAATGATTTGATGGCTTTTCTTTTTGTTTTCCGCCAGTGGGAGAAGGAAAATTGTTCATCTGAGTTGTTGGCATCTTCGAATGAATCTTCTGTATTTTTATTATTTTCTGTATTTTCATCATTTTCATTATCTTCAGTATTTTCAATATCTTCTGTATTTTCATCATTTTCTGTATTTTTTTCATTTTCTGCACTTTCGTCATCTTCTGTATTTTCATCGTCTTCTATATTTTCGTCGTCTTCTATATTTTCATCGTCTTCTGTATTTTCATTATCTTCTATATTTTCATCACTTTCATCATTTCCAGCATTTTTATTATCTTTAGAATTTTCAGCATTTTCATTATCTTCAGTTTTATGAATGCCTCGATGACCGAAACGATGGAATCGATTTTTGATACGTTGGAGAAAAGTCCCGCGACTTGGATCGCCAGACGGTGGGAGATTGTCTTCAATAACGTCGACAACTTCGCCGATTGATTTGACGACGTCATTTTTGAGCATCTGCCAATCGGAGTCGTGATCCATGACTTTTTTGAGTTTGGGATTTTTCTTCATCTCGGCAATTTGATTTTTCATATCATCAACTTCGGTTTTTATCCGCGAGACTTCAACTTTGATTTTTTGCTTGAAAGCCAACCAATCGTCTCGACTGGACGAGCCCTCCTTCAGTTGATCAACACTTCTATTCAGAACTCTTGTGATATTCGATTTAAACACTTCCCAATCGTGATGAACGGGATGTTTCCTCGCCAGCAGTGACACTTGATTTCTCGCCTCTTGGAGTGAATTGTTCATGAAAAGCATGAGATTTATTAAATCGGAAGTAGTTGGTAATTCGGGAGCAAAACCATCGGGAATATCCTGATCGGAATTAGGAGAGGAGGAATCAAGTCGATTAGTATTTAATGAAGTGGGACGAAGACCTTGGAGTTCGTTTTTGAGATTTTGGAAGGATTCGTCTATTTCTTTTTGAAATTGAAGATAGTCATCGTCTGGAATTGAAGGTTCGTTGCCCTTGATGAAATCTGCGAGATTTTGGACTGTTTTGTTGATATCGGTCTTGAAGATCAGCCAGTTTGAGTCTTCGACAGGTTCTTCGGCGGAAAGATTTGGAATTTCTCTCCAAGGCTCCAGGGAAGGTTCAGAAATATCTTCGCAAGAGATTATTGGATTGTTGCCGTCCTCCGACTTCATTACTTCAGCCTGAATGTCTGTTATTCCATCAGAGCAATCGCAGATCAATTTCGCCAACGTCGTCTTTCGTAATTCTTGCAATTGCTCTGAAAAAAATTAGTATATATTTAATTACAAAAATTACAAGCCTCGGATTTTTTCCTACCATTTTTTCAAAAAGGTCGATTTTTTCCGATTTATTTATAAAAAAATGCGATTTTCATGACTTTTCTTACAACTAATGTAAAATACAACAATTTTTTTTTTTGGATATAAAATACAAATTACTTCGATTTTTATAGAGTGGAAAATAACTATATTCAAATATTACAAATTCTTTCTTTTGAAATTTAAATTAAATTTAAAGTTATATTAAAATGACTAATTTTTCTAAGATAATTACATTTTTGAAATATCGATATTTTGTTTATTTATTTAAATATTTTTAAATTATAATTGAAAAGTATTTAAATAAATGAAATTTTGTTAAATTTTTATTGAAAATAATTGATTTTTTGAAGAATTTCAATTATAAATTCTTCAAAATAATGAACTCACAAAAATTTTAATAAATGTCAAAATAAAAATTAGCTACAAAAAATACACTTACTAAATTATTTCCTAAAATTCAAAATAATTATAATTTCTACAATAATAATTAATTTTCTCTTTGGAGAAAAATCTATTTTTTTTTAAATTATTCCTAAAATTTTGATAAAGACATTTTTTTCAAAATTTTAAATTAAAATTCTTCCAAAAAAAATTGATTAGCTGTTTAAATTGTCAAAAAAAATTCCAAAAATTCTTTTAAAAAATTCAATTTTTTTCAACCCTTAACATAATTATTTACAAGAAAGTAAATTAAATTTAAAAAAAAATCATTAATTTTCGTAATTGTAATTAAAATTCTTTAAAAAATTTATTATTTTTTATTATTTTCGAAAAGTTCTTTTAAAAAATTAAATTATTGTCACAAATTTTTACTAAATTTCAATTATTTGTAAATTTTTCAATTGTAAATAATTAGAAAAGTCTTTTGTTATTTCAAATTATTTTTAAATATTTAAAAAAAAATTTCGAAAACTTACATTTAGACTTTTTTTAAAGACTATAATTCTTAGGATTTTTTATTCTAATAATTCCAAATTCAATTATCTTCAAAACAAAAGTAAATTAATATTTTTAAAAAAGCTACTTAAAAACTCGATTATTTTTCAATATTTTTCAAAGTTTTTAAAAAAAATTTGACTAAATTTCAAGTATATTTTCAATAATAAAAACATGAAAATTTGCATTTGAAAATTAATATAAGAAAATTGAACTAAGTTTAAATAATTGAATTTCTTGAAAAAGATGCGGACAATTATTAAAAATAATTGAATTGTTTGTAGTTAAAATCTTTAAAATTTAAATTTCTGTGGCAAAATAACAAGTATTTATTATTGTTAGATATTTTTATGTAACAACATTGTTAAATTTTCAAATAATTGAATTTAGAAAACAGGAAAAGTCAAGGAAATACAAAATAAATTTTTTTTGATAATATACAAAACAAATATGACTTTTTCGTTTTTTTTTAAATATTTCATTGAATGTTTAATCGATTAAAAGGTCTTTTTTACCCCTTAAAGTCGATCCGAGGCCTGAAGTAAATCAAACCAAAAATTGAATGATTAAAAATAATTAATTAAAAATTAAATCACCTTCAGTGAACGCTCCAGGATGATCGGAATTCTCGTACCAAAAACCATCGCCCTGCTGTGATCTCTCGAACTGTTCCCCAAGAAGACAAGTGAATGTTGGTCCCACAATGCCATCTGATCGAGGAATTTCAGCCAAAGCTCCAGTATACAAATCAACATCATCAACATTCTTGTACAATTTAGAAATTTCCTTCAAAGCTTCAGGCTCCAGATCGTCCTCCAAATCGGAGAATTTATTTGCTTTCTTCAATCCACAATGCTCTCGCCATTTACTATAACCCGGCAGTCCATGATCCCGTCCTCGTTGAATGTTCAACGAGACAAGATCCAATCCACAGGGAAGTGATTTATTTGATGCAGGATCCTCGAATAAGTGACTCGTCAATTGTGACGTGACGTGTGTCGAAGTCTTTTGAATGACATTCGACGTTGCCATTGTCACTGATTTCGCGATTCCCTCTTCATTATAAAGACTGTAGGGATTAAAGAGCATTCGATGCAATTCAATGTAACTCGTCGTTCCTTTCGCGCTGTCGGTCAATTTCATCAGACCCGGAAGTAATGTGTGAGCGAAACGAAATGCCGCGGAGGCGAAATTATTCGCCAAAGCTGGATTGACTGTGTGATTAACACGACGAAAGCCTGATTTCATGGGTTTTAGGTTCTTTGCATTTGTTAATGTTTCGCCGAGGACTATTGGGAGGAATTCATTGTAGGTGATGTGCTGGAGTTGAGCGCCGAGAATTCGGCGTGATTCTTGAAAGAGTTTCTCGTCATTCCAAGATGGATTTAGAGTGTGAAGGGAATTGGCGAGGCGATTGTGTTGTCTGGCCCATAAAATGTGCATTGTTGTTAGATGAAGATTTTCGTTTGCTCTCTTATCACCGGCGGCGAAACAGTAGCGACCACGTTTCCATTCCTGTTTTCGATTACAACCGTCGTTGAAGTTTGTACTTCTTGGCAGAAGAGTTCTGTTGTCTGATGTCACTTGCATTTTCAAACGACCGCCGTGAAATTCACGTAAGGTGCTTATTGTCTCATTGTCTGCGCCGTAGATTGTTGAGCCATCAATGAAGGATGTCACCTGAAAATTATTTATTTGGTATTGTAGTTTTTGTACTGTATTTATTTTTTAATAATTTTTTTCTTATTTTTCATTTAAATTTAATTTAATTTTAATTAATTAAATTAGTTAAATAAAATTTAAATAATTAAATTAATTAAATTCAATTTAAATTGTATTTAAACATTTTTATATTGTTTTTTCCCTAAACTATTATTGTTTTTTCCAAAGCGTAAGAATATGTCATAAAAATTGATTACAAAACTATTTATTTTCAAATATCAACTTCAATTCTTAAATAATTTTAGAATCAAAATTGAAGAAATTCATTTATGAAGTAATCAACTAAGTAACTAATTAATTGTTATTATTTATTATTTAAAAAAATATTAACTAATTTCTGCAAAGAAATTCAACTATTTTTGAACATTTTAGTAAAATTCTTCCCAAGAATAAATTCAATTATTTTAATAAATAAAAATTCTTCCCAGGAATTCTATTATTTTCAATATAATTTAATACAATTTCTCGAAGCAATTCAATTATGATTTTAATAAAAATTCTTCATAGAAATTCAATTATTTTCAATACAATTTTGATAAAATTTTTTATAACAATAATAATATTTCTGAAAAGAATTTCACTATTGGGTTCAAAATTTTTATAAAATTTCTTTAAAGAATTCAATTATTTTCATGAATAGTAAAATTTTTTGAAGGAATTCAATTATTTTCAAAAAAAATTATTAAATTCTTTGTAGGAATTCAATTATTTTGGAAAATTTTTTTAAAAATCTTTACTGAAATTTAATTATTTTTAATATGATTTTTAAGAATATTTCTTGAATGAATTTAATTATTTTTATAAATTTTACTGAAATTCATCAAAAAAATTCAATTATTTTCAAAAATGTTCATAAAATTCTATTTAAGAGTTAAATTATTGTCATGAATAATAAAATTCTTGATAGAAATTGAATTTTTTCATGAATAATAAAATTTGTTGCAGGAATTTAATTATTTTCAAAAAAAATTAAAATAAATAAAATTATAAAATTATAAAAATTCTCAAAAGATTTCAATTATCTTTAAACCTTTGAAATTAACTTCTTCAAAAGAATTCAATTATTTTTAAAGTTTTTAATCAAATACTTCCTTACAAATTCAATTATTTAAAAATTTTTTAATAAAATTCATGCCAAGAATTGAATTATTTTCAGAAATTTTGAAAATTTGTGTTTAAGAATTTATTTATTTTCAAAAATAATTAAATTCTTGGAAACGTTCAAATAAACAAAATTTATTTATTTCTTCTTCAAAGTTGAGTTTTAATAATAATAAATTTTGTGTCACTATCAAAAAAAAAATAATTATCAAGTTTCTAAATGTAAAATTCAATTTTTTAAATCTTTTTTTTTCAATCTGTAATTTATGAAAATACATGCGATAAAAAATATTTCGTTGATTTGAAAATTCACAATTTGTAGATCGTGAATTTTTCTCATTTAAATTAACGCAAATTTTTGCTTAACAAAAATCTTACTTAGCAGAATATGAAATCATCAAATTATTATTTACCAGACATTTAACTTGATAACATTTTTAATTAATTTATTCTTTATTCAAAAGAAATCTTGTTTAATTGAAATTTTTTTTTTATTAATTTCTGACGAATATTTATTCGGAGAGTTAAAAATTCTGCACGAATTGATATTTTGGTAGCATAAATTTTTTTTAAATAAAAAGATTGTTAATTAAAAATTTTGTCAATCGAGAATTCTGTTAAACAAAAATTCAATCTAAAAAATTCTCTTCATTAAATATTCTAACTAATAATTTTTATGGCATATTCACGAACCCCTTTTTAATTTTCCTATTGTTTTCTTATTTTCCTACTGTTTTTTTCCCGTCGCAATATTTTGAAATTGTAATTGAATAGACAATTTGAACCACATTCACAATATAGAAAAATCCGAATTCTAAGGAATATGATAAATGAAATTTTCAAAAACGATTTTTTTTTATTTGAATAAATTCATCTAACTTTGTGAACAATTTTGTAGATCAAAAATACCTGATTGAGTTGCTGTCGAGGACCAATTTCACACTGCGAGGCAGGAGCAGATCGAATAAATTCCATGCAGGAGCTCTTTCCAATATCGTAGACCGGATCGCCATGTCCAACTTTAACTGGAAAACATTCAGGATGATAGAGCGATGCCGAGCAACAGGACAAAGAACTTCCATTGATACCCTGACTGATGGCTGTCGCTGTGATATCATGATCCAAGAATTGTCCATAAACAGCCAACATCACCGTGAAAGCGGGATTTGAACTAGGCGATGGTGGATGAACTTTAAGACTAACTTCCCTAGCTGATGGCAGTGCCTTTCCCGAAATTGCTCTTCTTGGCGCATTTATTCTATCGGCGTAAGCTGGCGGTAAAATTCTTCGATACGGTGTCATTGCCGCACCCCATTGCTTTCTATTATTACACGTACCATCGTACGTTCTATATTTACTCGGTTTGCAAATAATTTCCCTGAATTTTTTACAGTGTCCGTGTGATGTCCAACCGCCATTGAAGTAGCTGCCAAATGACGATGGTTTACCGTGGAGGGATCTTGACTCTTCGATTCGTATTGTTGCGGCTATTTCGCCAACACCAGCTAGGGCCAATGCACCGGCCTCGAGACTTGTGCTGACGGCGAATTGATGACGGAAATTCGGCGATGGCGAAGGTAAGGGTTTAGTGTAAGCGTCGGAAATTCTTCGATTTTCAATTGCCTCGTTTCCGGCTTTAATGCCTTGAATTGTTTCCCCGTCTGTTAGGGATGGTAAATTATTATTATCATCATTGTCATCCGGTGGGTCGGGATTTAATTTCCATTCGGCAGATTTTAAGAGATTTATCTCGGGATTTATTGTTGAATTGGTGGCGGCTGTTAAATTATTTGTCGACGTGTGACTTATTGAGTAGCTGATTGTCATGACAACGCTTATCACAAAGAGTGCCCTGTTGAAAAGGAATTCTGTATTAATAATCGTTGTGTGTTCGAGTAATCTATTTGAATTTTGAAATTAGCTGAAAAAGTTATGAAGCAAAAAAGCAAACGCTTTTTAATAGCTTTTTATTAATAATTTTTTCTTTACTTCTTTAAATTCTTTGAATTTTAAAATTAATGTACTGAAAATCATTGAAGAATTTTATCAAAAAATGTTTAATTAATTGGTTTTATTCGAAGAATTTTATCAAAATTTTTGAAAATAATTGAATTCTCGAGAAGAATTTTATTATTTATGAAAATAGGTGAATTCTCGGATTGAATTTTATTCCAACTTTTGAAAATATAATTCAATTATTTTGAAGAATTTCTTTAAATTTTTTTTAAATATTGGAGATTTTTTTAATAATTTGAATTGAAAATTTCGAAAGTAATTAAATTTTATAAAAAATTTCATTCAAGTTTTTAAAATATTCGTGTTTGTTAATAATTGTAATTAAACATTGGATTATTGAATTTTATTCAAATTTTCAGGAAGTAATATATTAAATAAATTCTTCTCAAAAATTTATTACGATTTTTTTAAATAATTGAAAAAATTTAAGGAATTTTATTAAAATATTAAAAATGTATGAATTCTTTCAAAAAATTTCTTAAATTTTTTTTAATATGATCAATTTTGTTAATAATTGTACTTAATAATATAATAAATTTTATTAAAATCATTCATAAAAAATTAAACTCTTTTGAAGATTATCTTTAATAATTTATTGTTATTAAAAATTTAATGATTGAATTTTATTATAATTTTTTAGAGACAATTCTTTTCTTTCCAGAATTCTAAGAGTAACTGAATTTCTTTGAGAAATTTTATAAAAATTGTAATGAAAATAATTGAATTCATCCGAAGAAATATATTATTTATGAAAATAATTCAATTCTTATAAAATATTTTATTGAAACTTTGGAGAATAATTGAATTCTTTAACAAAATTTTATTAAAATGTTTTAAAATATTGTATTGAATAATTGAATCCATTTGAGAAATTTGATTGAAATTGTATTGAAAATAATTGAACTTTCACGAAGAATTTCATTATTTATAAAAACAATTGAATAGTTTCGCAGAATTTTATTAAAATTTTTGAAAATAATTGAAATTCTCTGAAATTCTATTTAAAATAATTATCATTTTTCAATTATTGAACTTCTCTTGAATTTTTTTTTTTGTAATAACGATCAGGAAGGAAATCAAATTTCTGTCTAGAAAACAAGATAAAGTCGGGAAAAAACAATATCAAATTTTTGTTGCAACCCTGTTAAAATTTTAATTGCGCTTTTTTTGTTCGGTATTTTTATTCTATTTGAATGATAAACAATGCAATTTGTTACGAAATAATTTATTGTTATTTGAAAATTCATAAGTGAGGTCGCCGACTTTCTAGAGAAACCGCAAACCACTCATGACTTTGTTCTTTGGAATAATTTTCACATCGTACAGAAAAAGAAAAATATATAATCAATTAGAAAAATGTATTTCCATTTGCGAATAATTGCAATGAGTAAAATAATTGAATTAGATTTTAATAGTTTGGTTTCTTTTCTATTAGTTTGTCACTTATCGGAGTCATTTTGTTCAATTAGGATTCAATCTTCTTTTCCATATGTTGCTCTGCCTATTAATTTTTAAATTAGACAAATTTATAAAAATTATTTTGAAACACGGAAAATATTTTGTAATAAGGAATCATTTCTTTACAATTAATTTTATTTATTTACAAATTATGACTTATTATTTATTTATAACTTATTACTTAATATTTTTTTACAAGTTATTTCTTAGAATTTATTTACAATTAAATTATCATTTAAAAACAATTTCGAATCAGAGTTAAAAATAAAGTAGACAGTGAATTAAAAAATCGAAAATAAAAAGAAATGAAAAAAAGAAAATTGAGAAAGAAATTAAACAAAATTTCAAACAACAAAAACAAATAATTTCTATAGCAAATGAAAAAACGGATGAAATTCAATTTAAAAAATTAATTTAATTTCAAAATTCAAAATAAAAAATAAAAAATCTAAAACAAAAAATTTTAAAAATTGAAAGTTCGGTAGAAAAATCTCGAAACTTACAAAAGAAATGCACAGACACAACATTGAAATTGACGAATTCTGTTTCTTCGGTTCCGAATAATGCCGGCAAATTCGACATAATGAGGTGGATCATTTGGTCTCGTTAAATACGTCCTCTCGGTTGCGGCCATTTATTATAATTTTTTTTTGTCTATCACAAATTGAAAATTTGATTGGAAAAAAATCACTTTCACTTTCACATAAATTGATCTATCGATAAATTGAAAGAAAAGAATAATTACTGAATGAAAAAAAAACAATTTTTTATCCTCTTGTTGCTGTTAGATTTGAACTAAGAATGACACGAAACGAGACTTGGAAGCCCGACTAACTGACCACCCCACTATGAAACATCGAATCACTTCATGTTTCTTGCAAAAGCTATGGACATTGTCCACAAACAGGAAATAAAAGAATGTAAGATCAAATTTCGAATACATGGCTTGAATTTCCCTCTTATAAACTCTTATAAACCCGATGAGACGATATTTATCGGCACAAACAGATTTATTTCTTCTACTTTCCAATAGCAATCATAATTTTTCCAATCAGTTTTTTCAATTTCAATTAAATTTTATTTTTGCCGGAAAAATAAATAAATAATTTTTTTACAATGAATTTGACAGAAATTGTATTAATTTGTTTAAATTAATGACTAATTTAAAAAAATACTAATAATTTCCTTTAATACCGAATAAATAGATTTCCAATAACTTGGAAATATTTTTGCAATTTAACACAAAAATTACCAAAGATAAATGAATTTTAATTATTCAATTATTTATTTAAATTATTTTAATTTCTGATTTTTAACGAATTAATTTAGTTAAAGAAAAGAAGTGGAATAATTTATGTAAATTTCGAAAGTATTAATAAATTAGTATCTTTAAATAGAAATATAAATTAGTTGATTATTATCGATCGTAAAATTAATAATATGATGATCTTCGAAGTGACTGTACCAATAACGTCTCATATTTCGTGCATTTTTCAAGCAATGAGAACTTATATAATTAAACCTGTTCTTTCTATTACTTATGGAGGACATAATTCTATATTATTTATTTATACAAATGACCTAAACAAATTTAAAACAATAAGAGTAGAGTTTAAATTCTTCTCGATTATATTTCGAAAAAATGATACAAATTCCATTGCACTTGTTTAATTATTATTTTCTTAAAAAATAAAAGTAACAAGTCATTGACCGTCTTAAAAAGTTGAGGTGTAAAATGATACTGAGTGAAAAAGAAGGGCTTCGCCGGGCTTCAGGAATAAAAAAAATCCCCCATGTAATAATATAACAACTCCAATCAATATGTATTTTTAAAATTCTTATAAATTATTCTAGAGAAAAATGAATTCCGAAAATGAAACAAAAATGAGACAAAAATGAAACAAAAATAAAACAAAAATGTACCAAACAAAATCAGTATATTTTAAAAAATTAAAAATATTTATAAATATTTTTAATTTTTTAAAATATACTGATTTTGAATATAAATATAAAATATTTTAGAAAAAATAAATTCGAAACGGGAAACAAAAATGAAAACTCCAATCAATATATTTTAAAGTTGATATAAATTATTTTAGAAAAAATAAATTCCAAGCAGGAAACAAAATTAAAACGCCAATTAATATATTATTAAAGTCCGTATAAATTATTTTACAATAAATAAATTACAAAAATGAAACAGAAATAAAATGAAACAAAAATGAAACAAAAATAAAACTACCTAGAATTCAATTAAATTACAATTTAAATTTCTCGATGTGATAAAATTTTCTGAATTGATTTTTTTGTTTCGTGGCGTTCACTGAACGGCAGATAGAAAATTTTAACCGTGACAGCAAAAATTGTAATGTTTCGATGCACGAAGTTCAAGCCATTGTTCTTGATTTGGAACGTACATTTCTGCGGGCATTCTTTCTAAACCCAGCGACTCTAAAGAACCATTTTCGTTGCTTTTTTGAGCTGCAAAAAATATTTTTCAAAGTTAATTTTAATTTTATACGAATAAAAAAACTCGTTAAAAATTAATTAAATTTTTTATATTTTAATGAATTTATCACTTGGTTTAAAAAATTTAATTCAAATTAAAAGGAAATTATCAATCTTCCAAGTCAAATAAATTTATTTGACTTGGAAGATTGATAATTTCCTTTTAATTTGAATAAAATTTTTTATTTTTTTTTTAAATTCTGCTAAATATTTAAAAAAAAAAGATAATAATTACGTGGTTTTTTATTCATGGCAATGGCTTCTCCAGGATGTCGCAAAAGAAGTCGACCGACGCCTTCACAACGGCGTAAAACTTCATTTTTTAAAAGATGACTCCGTACATTTTCCGAAATTATAGAACAGTCAATGACCCACTTTGATACGTGCGCGAAATCCGTTAAAAGCTGGCAAGCACCCCAATTACTGCAGACAAAAAAAACAAATCACACGCTTTTTTTCACACGAAAAGCATTGTTTTAATCATTAATATTGAATTATTATGGTAATAAATCGTCGAGATATTTTACGTCGGTCAAATTCACAACGTTTTTATATTATCAACGATTGAAGGCAAAAATATTTTTTTTTAACGAATACAATAAAATGTTTTTGACAATTTTTTTCTTTTTATGTTCCTAACTTTTCGAATGTTCAAATGAACGACATTTTTTTACTTTTCTTAATTTTTGTTTTTTTGTAAACAAAATTATTCTTATTAATTCTTATAACTAAATAAATATTTAAAATTAAATACTTAAATTTTATTTTATTTAAAATTTTTAAATATAAAAATATTTAAAATCAAATATTTATACAATAAAATAATAAATATATAAAAAAAACATAATTAAAATTACTTTTGTAGATATAGTTTGAAAAATATTTAAATGAAAAAAAAATCTTTTTTTTTAGTATTGTTGAATTTATCACTTGGTAAAATTATATTAGTATAAATAAGAAGTTATCAATCCTCCAAGTCAATCAATGATTGACTTGGAGGATTGATAACTTCTTATTTATACTAATGAAAAAAAAATCGTTTATTTGAACGTTTAAAAGTAAAAAAAAAATATCTTTTTCAAATTATTGACGAAAAAACTTATGCAAAACGTTTTTTATACAAAAATATATAAAAATTTCAGTAGAAAAATATTTTTTCCTCTAAATCGTAAATTATAAACGTTATGAACTTTACCAACGGGATATTTTTTGATTTTTTATTATTAATCGTAAAATTAATAATAAACCTAAATTTGACTTGATGCAAATAAATATAATCCAACCAAGCCTCACACATTAGACGAAAAATCATATTTGACACTTCGTGATTGTCAATCACTTTTAATACTGGGTAGAGAACTTTTTCTGAAAAAAAAGAGAAGCAGATAATTTTTTTTTTAAACTATTGAACTATATATAATGAATAATTATATTTTTATTAGAAAATTGTTGAATTTTTTTTACTAAAATACGCCTCGACGTAGACACTTGGCACAGAGGGCATTATAGAACAATTTTTTCGCCAATAATTTGGCTTTGGGAAGCACATATGTAAATTCGCGAGGCTAATTACGCGGCAAATTATTGCCAGTGTGTCTATACATTTAAGAGGTGCTCCCTGAAACAAAAATTTTATTTTTACTCGATAAATTAATTTTCAATTAATAAATTTAATTCTAAGTCGATAAATTTATTTTTTCATTAATAAATTTAATTCTAAGTATGAATTTATTTGTTAACTAATAAATTTAATACTAAGTCGATAGATTAATTTTTCTATTAATAAATTTTATTTCATGGAAGAATCCGACAAACACTCGGAACAAAAATTCGTTCGACGTAATAATTTCGTATTTTATAATTGGAAGACAAATTAAATTTCAAAATCGTTTCAGTGGAAGCGTAGAGAATTTCATTTTCTATATTTTGAACAATTAAAAGTTCCATTTGAATAAAAATAAAAATTTTTTTGCAATAAGAACTTTTAATTGTTTGAAATATGGAAAATTATTTTTTTTACCCTTTTCAACTAAAACAAATTTCATATTTAATTTGTCTTTTTCTTTTAAAATGCGAAATTCACGGCATTGGACTAACTATTGTTTTAAAATCAAATTTAATTTTTAATCGACACATTAATTTTTACAATTAAATTTAATTTTAAATTGACAAATTAATTTTTATAATTAAATTTAATTTCAAAACGACAAATTAATTTTTACAATTAAATTGAATTTCAAATCGATAAATTTATTTTCATAATTAAATTTATTAGTTTATTAATTAATAAATAAATTTCGTTATAATATTTATTTGAATACCTGCAATAATTCGATATTGACTTTAACTTCGGATACAATTTTGGCTCTCATTTTTGCACAAACGTAAACTTGAACGCTAATTGGCTCCGTTTCCAAAGTTGTTGTATGATCAGTAAGCTAAAAATGAAAAAATATTAGCGAGTCGATTTTTTTGTTGTCAAATTTTAGTTTCATAAAAAAAATTGATTAATTACGAGTTGTCGTCACCTTTAAATATTGAAGCTCCTGAATGCAATTAATCACGTCGCCTTTGACAAGAAGGAAAAAGACATTTAATTCCCAAGTGTGAGCAATTTCTTTAGCCTCTTGCAAGGACCACAATCTCATCGTGTGAATTGAGTGATCCAATCTCAAAAAATTATTATTAAATTTATACGAAATGATGAAAAATATATTGTTTTTTCTACGATTTGTAAATTAAATTATTTTTTAATTTCTACGATTTGAAAATTAAACTATTTTACAATTTTCTCCATTAAAAATTAAATTATCTTATAATTTCTGCGATAAGAAATTAAATTATTAAAAACCGAAATAAAATATAATTTTTTTCCTTTAAATTAAAGAAAAGAATTTTTAATTTGAAAAGAAAATTTAATTTTCAATTTTTATAAATAAAAAATTGTACATTTTTTAGTTTATTAAATTCAATTTAATTTGGGAAATAAAATTTACCTATGCAGAACTACAATTTGTTCGGAAAGTGGAAGTTGAACCAATGGAGCACCCACCTCCCATTCACCGCTAGATTCACATTCATTACTATTTACAACTAAAAGTTTGAAGAGTTCTAAAAACTTGTGACCCGTATCTGTTCCCTAAAAGTTTACATTTAATTTGCAGAATTAAACATTTGTTTGGTCCTCGTGAATTATTAATTGAATTTTTTTTTCATTTAATAAAACAAAAATGATGAATTAATTTTTTGACCTTGGAAATTTCACACGATGGTTTTGATTTGCATGCAAAGGATTTGGTGTAAGCTCTTCGAAAACGTTCGTCCCAAGCTGTGACAGTTACAAAACATCCCAAAGTGTCGCACAAATTTTGCAGAGTCGGTTTTACAGTGACTGGAACTTTAAAAAAAAAAAAGAGGAAAGAAACCAAATTTCAAGTTGGAAAAAAATTTCATTTATCAATTTTTATCCTTTCTTGCTAAAAATTATATTTTAAAAATTGTTCTTTCTAATATCTTGCAAAGAAAAATTTTCTATTTACAAAAATTTTTTCTGAAATGATATTTTTCTGCTTTTTTATTTTTTGGATTTTTGTATTGTTTGTATTTTAATTTATTTTTCTTGATTTTAATTTATTTTAATTTATTTTAATTTATTTTTATTAAATTAAATTTATTTTTATTTACTATTATTTTAATTGTACCCTGATTTTTTTTAAGGAATCGGTGTAGCCAATCTTTAAAATGTTGAGCTCCACGACTGTGACTAATTGCCAAAGCCTTCGATGACCACCACAATAAAACATGGTCCAAAATACTCGAAATTGATCCCCACGCGACTTCTTGATAAAATTTTATTATTTTATTCATTGCAGCCACTCGAATTTTTTTTTCGTCTGTAATTTTTTTTTCAAACACAAAAAATTAATCGAAGACAGTAAAAATTGTCACACTAACAATTTTAAAAAATTCACTTGTTAATTAATTAGCAAAGTTTAAGTTAATTTTTTAAACTTAGTTAATTGACTAATAAATTATTATTTTTTATTTCCAACAATTTTAATAAAATTCTTTAAGACAATTCAATTATTATTGAAAAAAAATTTAATAGAATTATTGTCAAGAATTCAATATTATTATTAAAAAAAAATGTTGAATAGAATTCTTGTCAAGAATTCAATTATTATTGGAAAAAAATTTAATAGAATTCTTGTCAAGAATTCAATTATTTTTGTAAATAATGAAATTCTTTAGAAGATTTAAATTATTTTCAAAAAATTTAATAAAATTCCTGGCAAAAATTCAATTATTTTTGTAAATAATAAAATATTCTTCTGAGAAATTAAATTACTTTCAATAAAATTGTTACAATTTTTTTTAGAAAAGAATTCTTAAAATTAGAGATTTTTTAGATAAAATATTTTTTTCTAATAAATTCGAAATTATTGGAAACGAATTGTTTTGTCTAATAAATTCGAAATTATTTGATACGGATTTTTTTTTCTCTAATAAATTAGAAATTGTTAGATTCAAATTTTTTTTTTTGTCTAATAAATTAGAAATTATTAAACACCAAATTTTTTTCCTAACAATATTCGAAATCATTAGATAAAATTTTTTTTTATCTAATGAATTCGAATTTATTAGATGCAAAATTTATTTTTATCTAATCAGTTAGAAATTATTAGTTACCAAATTTTTTATCATCTAACAAAATTCGAAATTATTAACTACAAATATTGTTTTATCTAATAAATTCGAAATTGTTAGATAAAAATTTTGTTTTATTTAATAATTTAGAAATTATTAGACAACAAATTTTTTTCCTAACAATATTCGAAATTATTAGAAACAAATTTTCTTTTTTCTATTGAATTCGAATTTATTAGATGCAAATTTTTTGTTATCTAATCAATTACAAATTATTAAATACCAATTTTTTTTATCTAACAAAATTCGTAATTATTGGCTACAAATTTTTTTTTATCTATAATGAATTCGAATTTAGGATCAGATAAAAAATTTGTTTTTCCAATAAAATTCGAAATTATTAGATACAAAATTTTTTTTCCTTAATAAAATTAGAAATTTATTTGGTAAAAAAAAATATTACCGTTATTTACTGTTCGCAGAGCGTCACTGCCAAAAAGTTGAGGAGATATAATTTTGATAATATTCATTAGTCGATTGATTTCCTCGTTTTGCATGTTTACTAAAATTTGAACTGATTCTACATTCGACATTTCCATTTCTTGTGTCGGTAGAGACGTAATCGGTGGCACTAAATGTTTCGTAAGGGCTCTAAAATATTTAATAAAATTTTTTTTTAAATTATATACACTTTAGAATTTTTAAGAACAAGTTATAAATTTTATTTACTCTCGCCTCCAAAAGTAAAACGAGTTTTATTGTACAATCGCTCAGAGCATTGTTTTCACCAAAAACAAGTTTTCTTACGAAAATTATGTATTCATTATTGCTATCTACATAATTGTTAATTTAATTACATAACTAAACAATTATTTTTATTTATTCTATTTATTTTTATTTATTTCTATCCATCTATTTTTTTATTTTTATGTATTTATTTATATTTATTCATTTCGAGCTATTTATACATTTTTAAGTATTTTTTATTTTTTTTATTTCTTACTATTAATTTATTTATTCAAAAGTATTTTTTTATTTTTTTTATTTATTATTTTTTATTTCTATTTAGTTATTTATATTTTTTACTCGGGCAAAATTATAATTAACTTCAATTATTAAATAAAAAAAGAAACTTACCGATAAATTTCGATACTAGAATTTTCTGATAAATCAACATCGGCCGTCGATTTTGTGTCCTCTTTATCCATATTGCATTGATAATTAGTCAATAAACATTCGATAAATTCGTGACAATATTCTTCGACTTTATTTCTAGCTAAAATCTAAAAATACAAAAAAATTTTTTATTTAATTTAAAAATTGTCATTTAATTTGAATAATTAACTTCAAAAATTTTATTTTATATCAATAATTAATTTAAAAATTGTTATTTATTTTAAATAATTAATTTCAAAAATTTTATTTAATAAATAATAATTAACAATAATTAATTTAAAAATGGTTATTTAATTTGAATAATTAAATTCAAAAATTTTATTTAATATCAATAATTAATTTAAGATTTGTTATTTATTTTGAATAATTAATTTCAAAAATTTTATTTAATATCAATAATTAATTTTAAAAATTTGTTAATAATTTAAGTAATCAACTAATTATTTTTTAAATTAAAAAACTTATTTATTAAGACATTTTTTTTACCTGTAATAATCGAGTGATAGAAATTTTTTTCAAAGGTTCCAACATCGACGGGCAATTGTTGGAGAAAATATTAATAGAACTTTCCGAAACGTTTGGATCTAATTCCAAAGTTTTGTTGTAAGCATTAACTAATCTAGAAAAAAAAATTATGCATTCAAAAAATACCTATATTTATGTTTGTGGATGAAATATAAGAAAAAAATGTGAACATAGTAAATGCAAATATATAGAAAGATAAATGAAAAAGAGAAATGTAAATGAAAATAGAAATATTAATAGAAATGTAAGTCAATTTTGAATAATACATAAATATCAATAATAATTTCTAAATTTGGATAATCAGATACCTAAAAATAATCTTTAGGAATTCATCATTTTTCAAATCCATAATGTCATAAATTAGATTTCTGATAAATTTAGCAACCACATTTAAATTTCGCTGTAAACTTGTTTTTATATGTTGGACTTTAGCTTTATAAACTGGTTGGGACGTTTCTCCAGATTTCCAAATCGATCTATAATCTTCTATGCATTTCTCCAATCTCTTTACGAAATTCGTTAGTGTCTGAAATAAAGATGAAAAAAAAATAAAGTTCAAACATTTCTTTCTCTCTCTCTCTCTCTCTCTCTCTCTCTCTAAATTGAAATTAGAGAGAAAAAATAAATTTATGAAATCAAATAGAAAAATATACTTAAAATTTTACAAATCAATAATTAACATAAAATTAATAGAAGGACTTATTTACCTCTTGATTAGAGGCCTTGTCATTGACACTAATTTCCACATAATAAACAATATCCCAAGAAAGTTTTCTGAGCATCGCCTCCAATTCCATAGAGTCGTTAAACCATTTTTCTAAAATTGGACCTTGAACTGGCAACCATTTTAAAATATTCGCGTTGTAATTACTGTCCATTTTCACCTGTTAATTGGCGATTAACAAAATTTAATTAATCAAGTGATTAATAATAGAAACAAGAAAAAGAAAATGAAAAAGAAATTATTTATTATCTAAACATTTTTTTCGGATTTTCGTCCTATTCGTATTTATTTATTTTTGTATAAAGTTTGTTGAACAAATCAAAATATTTACGGAAAAGGAAAAATTCAAGTTGCGAATAAAGAAAAGATATTGATTTTTTTCTTTCTCTCTTTCACTATTATTAATTTAAAAATATAATTTTATTCTGAACTCAATAATACTTTCGAGATATTGGTAAATATTTTTATGATTTACATGACAAGTGGCACAAATTATTCTTACAATGTAAACATTTTTTATGTTGTCAGGGAAACCTTCAGGTGCGCAGCACTGCATTGCGCTTTGACTATGGGTAATAAATCGAATAATTACTTGCAGTTTCGTTAATTTACATACATTTACACTTGAAAAAAGAAAAGAGAGAAAGAACAAATAGAGAAAAAATTGATGACTTTGAATACTTTTTAGAAAAAAAAATCATTGTTCCTAGAAATTTGAAAAAATTTGTTTTTTTTTCTTAATAAAAAAAAAATTTCTAAATAGAAATTTTTTTGAAGATTTAAATTTGTAATTAAATTAAACTTTTAATTTAGAATTAAATTATTAATGAAGAACTAAAATTTCTCTGTTTTTTTGTTACAGGTGGAAATTTTGCGCGATCGGAATTTTAATTATTGGTGTTAACAATCGTTGGTAAGTACCAATAATGAATTTTTTTTAATGTTAAATTAAAGTAAAATTATAATAATATTTATTATATATTAAAAACATAATTCTTTTTTAAATAATTGAATTCCTTCGTGAAATGTTATTAATTATAAAAAAAATAAAAAAAACTTGATAGGAATTGATTTGATGAAAATTGAATTTTTAAGAAAGAATTCATAAAATTATAAAATTTCTAGATAAATTGAATAAAAATTGTATTGAAACTATTTCAAGTCTCATAAAGAATTTAAAGAAAACTTTTAAAATTAATTAAATTGTTTTGAGAAATTTAATTGAAATTGTATTAAAAATAATTGAATTTCTGCGAAGAATTTTAATAAAATTTTTTTTCATAACAATAAATAAGAATAATTTAAATTGCGTGAAACTATTTTTTTAGCTCTTCATTTCGCATTGAATCGCGCTGTACATTGAAGGGAAGAGGATGAAACGTTTCGATTCCGACTTGCTAACGTTCTGCAGTATCAGGAAAACATGAAAAACAGTGAAATAGTGTGGATTCTACTTGAATCGAGTGGCGAGATAAAATAGCTCTTTGCACAATTTGTTATCTTAATGAAAAATAAAATGTGTTACTGCGTCAAAACATTGAAAGAAAGGGAAATTTAGATACTACTAGGTGAGTATTTTCTCCTTTTTGAAAATTCTGTTTTCCTGTTACAAATTGTCTCTCCGCGTAAGGTAAACTTCGTGAAAAAAAAACTTGATGGAAAAATAATGTATTCTTTCAGAGATTTCGTTAATTCTTCTTTTTCTCGTATTTTTTTTTATCAAAATCTACTTTTTAGACTAAAAACTTTTAAAAAATATTTTTTTAAAAATATTATTCTTTTATAAAGAATTTTTTTTTTAATTTAATTTTTATTGTGCACAATGGTAATTTATTCATACGAGATAACTTTCGAGTACTTTGTCTTTTTTGTTTATTAGCTTATTTATTTATTTTTAAATATTTTAATACTCGAATCAAAAACAACAACATTTTTTTTAAATTACGAATTATTTGTATCTAAAAATAAGATTTTCTTGTTCGGTGAATGAAAGTTTTCTCTTAAAATAGAAAAATCGAATTAGGACTCCTCGGGGGAAATGGACCGAAAATCTGGTGGTTCCAAATTTTTTTTTCCCATCTCATTACGAAATATTCTTGTCAGTGAAAATTAAGTGAAATCGATTTTTCGATCTTTGTGTATTTCTATATTTTTAATTTCATTCAAATCGAATGGAAATTGGAACTGAAATTAAGACAATTAATATGCAAATTAATCAAATCTGTAAATTGAATAATTTAATTATAATTATTTGTATCTCAAGCACAAAGACCTGTTTGTCTTTTGTTTTAAGTTATTGAGCTATTAACAAAATGGAACTAAATATAATAGGTACATTATTTGAACTGTAAACTTGTAACAATTGAAATGTACAATTTGCACTTTTAGTCTGGCAAATATTGATCGTGGTTTGAATTTTTATTTTCTGTCTCAGATGAATTTCTTCAAAAAAAAGGAGAAGAAGAAGAAGAAGAAGCGTGGTGAGATATCGCACCGGACGACCTTGAGGATCTTTTTCTTGTGCGTTTATTGTCAGTTCAACATCTCAGTATCGAATTGACTGTAGGATCGAATGGTACCAGTGATCTAGAAATGAAACAAGATCAAAGTGTTATTCATAAATCAAAACAAATCTTCAAATCGGTGAGTTTACATTTTTATTGTAAGGAAAAAAAAATTTTTGTTTAATAATTATTTAATTTACTTTTTTAAGAATTTCTTTTAGTTAAATTTTCCCTTCTTAATTTTTATTGTTTATTACATTGCAATTTTTGGTTTTTATTATTTTTTCATTTATATTTTACTATAAAAATTATTTTATTTTCGATTAAATAAAAAATGAAGAAAATTTGCTTCCTTTCAATTATTTCTTATTTTTGGGATTAATTTTGACTTTATTTTAGAATTTATTTAAATATTTTTAAATTTATTTCATATAATAATTTATATGATTTTTTTTATTTATATTTTGCTTGAAAATTTTTGTTTTTTCCGTTTAAATTAAAGATGATAAAAATTTGCTTCCTTTTAATTTTTTCTTCTTCTTGTCGTTAAGTTTAAATTCATTTTAAAATTTATTAAAATTCTTTGTATTTATTTTATTTAACAATAATAATTTAATTTTTTTTTTATTTATATTTTATTATAAAATTTATTTCTCTTTTTTTGATTAAATTAAAGTTGATAAAAATTTGCTTCCTTTCAATTGTTTCTTATTTTTACCATTAAGTTTCAATTTATTGTAAAGTTTATTTAGATTTTTTTGTTTATTCTATAATAATAGTAATTTTATTAAGTGTAGAGTTTATTTAAAAAATTTTTAATTTATTTTATATAATAATTTACGTTATCATAATTTAATTTTTTTTATTTGAATTTTACTATAAAATTTATTTCACTTTCGATTAAGTTAAAGTTGATAAAAATTTGCTTCCTTTCAATTTTTCTTATTTTTGTCATCAAGTTTGAATTAATTTTAAAGTTTATTTAAATTCTCTTTATTTATTTTTTTTAATAATAATTAATAATAATAATTTTTTTTTATTCATAGTTTACTACAAAATTTACTACTTTTTGGATGAAATATTAAAGATGACAAAAATTTACTTCCTTTCAATTTTTCTTATTTTCGTCACTAAGTTTAAATTTATTTCAAAGTTTATTAAAAATTAATATAGATTTTTTTTATATTATTTTAAATAGTAGGTAATAATAATTATTATTAATTATTGTAAAAATTTATTATTATTGAGTATAAGAAATAGAAATAAATTCGAAAAAAATTAAATGAGAGGAGATTAAAATAAATACAAAAACAAAAAATATCAATTATTTATTTGCGATAATTTTTTGTAATAAAAATACTTAGTTCTATTTTATTCTTTCAAATTTATAAACAGTTCCTCAGTGTCAATGACAAATAGAAGAAAAATGCTGCACACTTTTGAAAATGTATTTTTTATCCTTCATTTTTTTTTATTTTGTCATGACAATTAGTTTCAATTTGAAAATTGTTTAACAGCATTTTGTTGTCACTTAATAGCGCAACGACGACGCCTCACATTTGTCCTTCTTCTTACCCAATCTGACATGAATGAGTGAACTGCATGTATTTGTTTTTTCCTAACATTTTTCAACGCGTCTTTTTCTTTGTCAAATATATTATATTTAATTATATTTTAAAATTGAAATGTCCTTACCTTCGAACAAATATCATAACATAATCATTTTCTGAGAGCATTGAATAATTTTTTTCCCCTCCATATACAGATATGGAGAAAGCAAACACAAAATTTTATCTCAAATATATGCATATAATTATATGCAAAATTCTAATATTGATTCTATAATAAGGTTCAGTTATTTAATGATGGCGCATTTGAATTTAATTCCAGTTTTTTTTAAATGTTCTAACGGACACGTATGCAAATTTTAGAGAAAAAAAGGAGAAAAAAAATTCTTTAAGGATTAGAGAAAAGAGAAGCGAATTATCATTTAAATTTAAAATTAGAATGATGATTTATGTACTGCACTTTTATTATAGAATGACTAAAGATTGGAAAAATGTTTATAAAAAAAGTGTGCTAATCACTCATGTAATATACTTTTAATATACTGTAATTGCGACAATTTTTTTTTCTTTTTTTTTGCGAAAGTCAATTAGAAAAATACTTGTCGTTAGTAATTATTTTAGTGACATTTTTATTAGCTAATGAAAATTTAATTTTAATTTAACACTTAAAAAATTTTATTTTAACTTAACACTTGAATGGAAATCTAATTTTAATTTAATATGAGGATAGAAATTTAATTTTAATTTAACACTTGAATAAAAATCTAATTTTAATTTAATGTTTTAATAAAAATAAATATTTTCAGCTCTATTGTATGTTCAATAACATTGTATTGTTTGAAATAGTAAACTATCAATTTAGTTTAAAGTACAATTAATTTGATAATTTTAAATTCTCAAAATTTGTTTATTTTTAAAACAAGAGGGAATAATAAATAAATATACATTATTCAGTTAGTAGTAATGATAATTCTTCAGCAGAAATAGTTTTTGTATTCACGTCATATTTCGATTTCAATGACTTGCTTTGTTATTTAATGACGCAGGTGCATCTTTCTTTTGTACTAATCCGAAATTAATGAATTTATTTTCCTTATTTAATATTTATTTACAATTTTTTAATATTTATTAGGAATCTATTTAATATTTATTAGCATTTATTTATCATCAATTAATTACAAGTAATAGCAATTTATTTAGTTACCAATTTAAAAAAAATATTATTCTTCACAAAAATTTCCAAATCGAATAATAAAATGATTTCACAAATTGTTTTCTTCTTTTTCCAGGCAAACACTTGAGTAATAATGAGAAACTGAAATTAAAAATAAAAACCTATTCTCAATCATCGAAAAGATAAATTATGGATTTAAAAATTTTCGTCATTATCTCAATGCTAATTTCAATGAGAACGTGTTTCTTGTTATTCGATAAGTTAAATTACTTCATGGATTATGAGAAAAATTTTAATTTTAAACCTGAGGTGGCGAATTTTGGAAGTTATGATTTTGTGATAATTGGAGCGGGATCTGGAGGATCTGTATTGGCTAATAGACTCACGGAAAATCCAAATTGGACAGTTCTTCTATTGGAAGCTGGTGGCGATGAAAGTTTTCTCACTGATATCCCATTAATGGCGGCTATTTGGCATATTACCGATTATAATTGGGGATATAAATCGACACCCCATGATGAGAGGAAAAATAGAAATGATGGATATTGTCTTTCAATGAAAGAAGGAAAATGCAATTGGCCGAGAGGAAAAGTTCTTGGCGGCACGTCCGTTATTAATTTCATGATTTACATGCGTGGCGATCGTCGGGATTATGACTCTTGGAGTGCTCAAGGTCTTTATTTGGTTCTATATTATTCTATTTTTTCATTCTTAATTTTTAATTATTAATTTAGTGTTTAATTTTTTTTACTTTTAATTATTAATTATTAATTTTTAATACAAATTAATTATTTTTCATATAAGTTTATTGTATGCAATTTTTTTTTGTCAACCTCTTGTTTATTGTTAGAAAATAATATACCTTTTTATCTATTTCAATAAGAAAATTTCTATTATTAATTTCTTCTTTCTTTAAGAAGATTTCTGTTATTATCAGAAAAGGTTTTTTTAAAAATAATAGAATTTTTGTCATTCATTAGAAATGTAAATTTTATTTTTTGCAGGAATTTGAATTAGAATTTAATATTTTACAGGAAATCCAGGTTGGAGTTACGAAGAGGTTTTACCGTATTTTTTAAAATCCGAAAACAGTAAATTGTCGTATCAGGAAGACGAATATCATGGAAGAGGAGGATACCTTGACGTCACGAATCCTCCTTTCGTCTCTAAACTCAGAGAACCTTTTCTTCAATCAGCCGAAGAAATGGGCTACTCTGTTCGCGATTGCAATGGGGAAAGGTTTTTAAAATTTTTTCCATATTTTATTTACTATTATTTACAAAAAGATTTTTTTATCCTTCATTTTATTTCCACTTGTAAATTTTTCCCATATTTTATTTACTATTATTATCTACAAAAAGATTTTTTTATCTTCTATTTTATTTTCACTTGTATTTTCTTTTCCTTTATTTAATTTTATTTATCTTATTTAATACAACTTTTTACAAAATATTATATTTAATTTTCATTTTTTTTCATTATAGTACAGAGAATATTTAAGAATGAAAAAATCGAAAAGAAAATTTCGTTTTCCAAATAATAAACTCTGAAAAGATTTATATTTTCTTTTGCAGTTTAGCAGGATTTTGTGTGGTACAAGCAAATTTACGAAGAGGTCGAAGAGTTAGTGCAAGTAAAGCATTTCTAAATCCCATTCAGTATCGAAGAAATCTTCATATATCGAAATTTTCCCACGTGACAAAAATAATAATCGATGAGAATAATAAAGTGGCAACTGGCGTGGAATTTATGAAGAATGGTCAAAAATATCGTGTTCGTGCGAAAAAGGAAGTTCTTCTCTCAGCTGGAGCATTTAATTCGCCGCAAATTTTAATGCTCTCGGGAATTGGACCGAGAGATCATTTAGAATCATTGGGAATTAATGTTCTCGAGGATTTGCCTGTTGGTGAAAATCTTCAGGATCACATTAGCCAGTCAACATTAACATTCCTAGTCAATGACACGGTGACAATTGTCGAATCACGTGTCGCCACAAATCTAGTCAATACATTTAATTATCTACTTAAAGGAACTGGTCCTTTAACTGTTCCTGGTGGTGCCGAGGCAATCGCTTTTATTAACACCAAACCCGGTAAGTTTTTTTTTTTTAATTAATTATCAGCAAATGTTACTCGCGCTAGCTCGCGGAACGTGATATTCCATTTATTATTATGCAAACATTCAATTATTTTTAAATATTTTAACTTTTTCCTTCTCCGTTACCTTCTGGTTATTTAAAATTTTTTTTTCTTTAAAATTCCTTAATTTTCAAAACGTTTAATAAATTTCTTGAAAAATATTCAAATATCTTCTTTAAAATATAAGAAATTTCAATTATAATTCCTAAATCTCAGAAATTCAATTATTTCTAAAATTGTCTTTGAAATTTATTTTAAAAATTCAATTATTTTCAAAATTTTTAAGAAATTCCTTGTAAAAAATATTAAATTATATTCTATAAAAATTAGAAAATTAGAAAAATTTTTTATAAAAATTTAATTATGTCAATTTTTTTAATAAAATTCTTGAAAAATTAAATTTCTTTTTATGGAATTTAAAAACTAATTTTTCAGAATTTTAAAAACAATTTCTTTAAGGAATTCAACTATATTCGAAAATTTTTATTAAATTCAATTAATTTCAATATAATTTTAATAGAATTTCACGAAAGGATTTAATTAAATTTTTTCTAATTTTTAGTAAAATTTTTTCAAAGAATTCAATTATTTTCTAAACTTCTAATATATACTTGGAAATAATTCAAATATTTTTAAAAATAGTAAAATTCTTCGCAAGAATTAAATTATTTCTATAAATAATAATATTATTCACAGAAATTCAATTATTTTCAATACCATTTTAATAAAATTCTTTGAAGGAATTAAATTATGTTAGAAAATTGTAATAAAATTGTGAGAAAAATTCAATTATTTCCAAAAAATTTAAGAAAATTCTTCACAAAATTCAATTACTTTCAAAATTTTCAATTAAAATTTTTAAAGAAATTAGATTATTCTAAAAACATTCAAAGAAACTCTGAATTCTAATTGAATTCTTTGCAAGAATTCAATTATTTTTATAAATAATAAAGTTCTTTGAAGGAATTAAATTATTTTCATAAATAATAAAATTCTTCAAAGGAATTTAATTATTTACATTAATAATAAAATTCTTCAGAGGAATTAAATTATTTTTAATTCAATTTTAATCAAATTTATCAAAAAAAAACAATTATTTTTAAAAATATTATTTAAATTTAATTACTTTCAAGAGTTTTAATAAAAATTCAATTATTTTTAACAATTTTGATAATATTCTTCGAAACAATTTAATTATTCTTATAAATTGTAAAATTCTTCAAAATAATTCAATTATTTTTGTAAATTGTAAAATTTTTCGCAACAATTCAATGATTTTCATGACATCAATTTCAAAATTGTTAATATTTGAAAATAAAAATTATTAAAAATATTAGGAAACAAAAAAGCAAACAACTAACTTCAAACTGCGAACAGTTTACCGGAATACAACGATTATTAACATAGATTCCAATTTTTTAAAATTAAATTTTGATTTAATTAATAAAATTAATTAAATACTAAAAAATAAAACATGAAAATTAAATATTAAAAAGAAAAGTATTTCAGTATTAAAAAAAAGATACTTTTTATAGTTTTCAGAAATGACATCGACGGAAATCGCACGTGGAGAAGTGAAGGGGACACGAGGATAAATACAGTAGTCGCTAATGAGGATGTCCCTGACATTGAATTAGTTTTAGGCCTTGGAGCTTTGACGGGCGACACTTCGGGAAGTTTACGAAGTCTTTTCGGTGTGACGGACGAATTTTATCAACGTGTTTTTAAAGATTACGAAGGCCACGATGCATTTAGTATTGTTCCTGTTTTATTGCAACCAAAAAGTAGAGGTCGCGTTCAATTAAGAAGCTCTAATCCATTTCACTGGCCGATTATTGAGGCTAACTATTTCCAAGAAGAAGATGACCTTGATACGATGGTTCGCGGTATAAAAGAGGTCAGTAGACATAATACATATTGCAATTGGGTCTTACAAAATCATTACTTCACATTAACGATCGTGTCGTAATAACCGGTTTTTAATAAAAATCGATTTTTTTAGCATAATTTGTCCATTTTTCTCGGCATCGATTTAATTTTCTCTTTCTCTCTTTTCTACTATTTTCTTTCTCTTTTTTTCAATTCAATAAATTCCATTTTATTCGAAAAATACTAACAATTTGTTATACAATTTTTTTTTTAATTCGTTTGTTGAACAATTCAATTTTAATTCAATTTTTAAATTTTTTAGAATAATTAGAAAATTTTACGATCTACAAGTATAACGAAATCACAATTATAAATTTAGAATTAAAAATTCATAATAAAAATTCACAATCGAAAATTCATAACAAAAATTCACATAATAAAAAATTCATGAATAAAAAGTTCACCACATGAAAAAATCATAATAAAAATTCACAATTACAAAATTTCCAATACTAAAAACTAAAAAAGCAAATATGAGAAATTTGAATATAATTTTTACAGGCAATCAAATTAGCGTCGACAAGGCCATTTAAAAAATTTAACACAACTCTTTTTCCACGAAAATATCCTGGATGTGAAAATTTGCTATTTAATTCCGATAAGTATTGGGCGTGTTTTGCACGTCATGCGACTGTAAGTTTAGGTCATTTCACAGGTACATGTAAAATGGCGCCACGACAAAATTTTGGGGTTGTTGATTCAAAATTAAATGTCTATGGAATTAGAAATTTGAGGGTTGTCGATGCGAGTATTATGCCGACAATCACACGAGGCCACACCAACGCGCCAATTATTATGATTGGCGAAAAAGCCAGTGATTTCATAAAAGAAAAATGGAGAAATGCCGGATATTAAAGAAAAGTAGAGAAAAGAACTTTTTTTATTTTTATAATTATTAATGAAAAAAGAAATTGTCAAACATGACAATATAGACTGTGCAATATTTTGTATTTTTATATCGCTCATCATTATAAATGAACTATAACGTTAAGAGAGAAAAATTGATAAATTATTTATTATTAATTAGTCGATTGTATTTAATTTTCAGTTATTAATAATAGTTGAATATTAAACGTTATTAATTGTTAATAACTAACTTAATAACCAACTATTATTAATAATTGTTGTAATAGTAATTATAATAATTATAATGATTGTAAAAATTATAATTATAATGATTATAAAAATTATAATTACAATGATTATAAAAATTATAATTATTATTATTATAATTATTTAATATTATAATATAAAGTTTATAATATAAAAAATTATAATAGAAAGAATAATTATCATAGTCGATTTGATTATTAATAGGCATTGCATTTTACAAAAATTAACATTAATATTCTAATTAGTTAAAATCTAATTACAACTAAATTTTCAAGTTGAGAAATAAATAAATGTTTTATAAATAAATATACAGTGTATAAAAGTGGAAGACATTTGTACGTGATTCACATTGTCCTGACTAAATTTTAATTTAAATATATTTTTAAAAAAAGGAAACACTTTCGAAATGCGTGTTAACAAAAATAAAAATTTAATTTTCGTTTTAAATTCTGTTAATACATTCTGTTTTTTTGTACTGCTCTAGATTTTAGTCTACTCAGACTATTGTCCTATAAAATATAGATAATATAATATAGTAAATATCTCTTTTTCTAGTAAACTATAATTGCTTTGGTAAATTAAATTATTAATTATTATTATGCATTATTAAATACTGCAAAAAATACGCGGAAAGCTAACCTGAGTCATTATCGACGACTTTTTTTTTAAAGCTTTTATTGCACGAAGAAAATAATTTACTTGATCTTTGAAAACAGATAAATTTAGATCCTTTTTTATAGAATTCATTTGTTTCGTTATTAGCATTTTTTAATTATTAATAAATATTTTAATAAAAAATTTGAAAAAAAATATTTGAAAATTAGTATTTTCAAATTAGATTTGAAAATTAACTTTTGAAAATTTTAATGTAAATAAGGCTTCCTTTGAGAGAAAGCAAATGTAATGAAACTAAAAATAAAGACTATTATTGAAAAAAGAAATAAAAATGTGATTGTTTTATAAAGAAAAATTGGAATTAAAAATTTTATTTCGTCAAGTAAATTATTTTCTGCGTGTTTAACATTCACTTTTACTTGACAATAATAAAGGCAGTGATAATTAAAGTAATAATCGGATTTATGCTCCAAGACGGTGTTCCTAAAACAAGAAAGAAATTTTATTAGAAGGTATATATTTACAAAAAATTTTGTTCTACACTATTTTAGTTATTAACGAGCAAAAATTTTGCATTAATAATTTAATCTTCTTATTTCTATAGAACTAACAACTATACAACTTTCAAGATCTATTGACAATTAAACTTTCAATGAATGATTAGATAAAAAGAATATTGTTATTCCATCATGAAACTAAGTAATTAAAATCTAATAATTGTAAGAAAAAATTAATAATTGTAGCAAAAATTAGTAATTATTGCAAAATTAATAATTACAACAAAATTAGTAATTAAATAACAAAATTAATAGTTGTAAAAAAATTAAAAATCATAAAAGAATCTATATAATTATGCAAAACTTAATAATTATGAAATACTTTACATAAATTATATTAATTATACTAAATATATTAAATAATTATAATATAGTAATAATTATTTACCGTTTTCAGCATATCCGATGCAGTCGAGCCCACGTGAGGTCAAAGTGTGTCCTAAAGAACAGGAACAGATCCCTGGAAGAAAATTAAAAAATTATACACGTGAGTAATTTGATTTTATTCATAAAAATTTATATTTATTTTTAATTTTGTTTGATAATTGAAAATAACAAATAAGAAGAAATTAAAATACTTTACCGTCGATACAATCAACGTTTGTTGGCGCAAATTTGTCGGAATCCGTATTTGTTAACGTGATACATTGTGCGTGATGTTCGCAAGGTTTATTCAATCCTAAAAAAAAGTTTTTTAATATTTAATTTTTATAAATTAATGAACTTGGGACTAGATTTCATTTTTCAACAATAATATTCTTCTTCTTCTTTTTTTAAGAATACTTTTTTATTTAAGAAATTGTTATTTAAAGGTTTTTTATTGAAAGAATTTTTATTTAGAGATTTTTTATTTAAATGATTTTCATTCAGAGATTTTTTATTTAAGGAATTTTTATTTAAAGATTTTTTTACTTAAAGAACATTTATTTAACGATTTTCTAATTATAGAATTTTTATTTAGAGATTTTTTTACTTGAAGATTTTTAATTTAAATATTTTTTATTTAAAGAATTTTCATTTAGAGATTTTTTTATTTAAAGAATTTCCATTCAGAGATTTTTTATTTAAGGAATTTTTATTTAAAGAATTTTTTTACTTAAAGAACTTTTATTTAACGATTTTCTATTTAAAGAAATTAGAATGGAAAAATCTTTATAGAGAAATCGTGAAAAGAATGAATTAGAAGATATAATTGAATTTTCTCACCGATATCGAGATGACAAGTATTTGAACGTCGATGATAGCCCTTCAAACACGAACACTTTCCTCTGTGACATCTTGAGTAATTAATGTCCTGACATTGTAAATCCTCTTCGCAAAGATCGCCAATTGAATTGGCACTTTTCAGACACATTGAATTATTTGTAGATATCACATGATTAATGTCACATCGACAGTCTCCGATGCATTTCGAATTTTTAACAGCACACTCCTCGGTGTGTGTACAATTTTCCCTTAGAGCTGTATCAACCAAAGAAGAAAAGAATTAATAGACTCTTTTTTTTAAATCTTTAAAAGAAAATTGTAAAAATAATTTTATTTTCACAATTTTCTATATTTACATTTAGTTTCTATTTAAAGAATTTTTATTTAACGACTTTCTGTTTAAAGAAATTTCGAAGAAATCTTTAGATTGCTAAAATAAAGTAAATTGTAGAAATAAAATAAATTCTAAAATAATAAATTGGAAAAATAAATAAATAATGGAAAAATAGTAAATTGGAAGAATAGATAAATAATGGAAAAATAAAAAAAATTGCAAACTAAAAAATATTGTTGGACAAATGGAAAAAAAGCATATGACATAAAACCCTTGTAACATGGCTTCACGTCTCTTTCTATAGGATTATGAAGGCGTTCGTTTGTCTTTGATATTTAATAAAAGACATATTAGAATTTTTTTTTCTTTACAAAAATAAATTTTTCGAATTTTTTATTTTTTAGTAAATAATTACAAGAGTTTATTTTGGAAAATTTACTGATTTATAGTGAATTCTGCCTATGCTTTATTCTATATTTTCAATTTTATAATTAAGAATTAAGAAAGGAAATGAAAGAAAAATTGAATAAGAAAATTTTTTAAGAATAAAAAGAAAAACTAACCGACTGTTTTGACACAGCGAGTTCCATCGAGACTCGGATGAAAAAGATAGTGACAAACACATCGCCCATTTTGACAGGCACTCTCCGAACCCTCAACGTAACAATTTCTCCATGTTTTGCAATATTCGCCTAAACCTGAAAATTTTCGTAGTTTAAATTATTCGAGAATAATATTAGTAATAATATTAATATGGAATGATTAATTACTTAATCATTAATTAGTAGAAATAATATTTATTTAATTAATTTCTTTAATAGAAAATTAATATAGAAAGGAAGATTAAGTTTTCATTTTTTCGATTTCTGGTGTTTATAGGATAATTGGAAGAAGAGGAAGAAGAATTTAGAGATTAAATTGTTTAAAGAGGATAATTAATTTATTTTTTAATTTTACGTGAGGGATGCTTACCAACTGTTTCGTAGCATCTGTCTCCGATGAAACGAGAGCCTTGAGAACATTGACAATTATTAAATCGACATTCAGCCTCAGCTCCAAATTTTACCTGACACTGCATATTTTCTTCGCAAGGTTCCCCCAATCCACGGGCGACTATAAAAAATTATATTCAATTTATTAAAAATTTGGTACTTTAATAATTACTAGAATTATAATTATAACAATTACCAGAACTGTAAATATTATAATTGCTAAAATTATAAATATTATAATTACTTATTGTATTAATTGTTTTTGCAATTATGAATATAATTCGATAGTTTCTGTTAATTGATAAGAATTATGAATATAGTTTGGAATAATCTACACTCAGAGAAAAATTTTATTCAAACCAAATAGAATTTGAGTTAAATAAAAATTTTATTGCGAAACAATTAGAATTTAATTGAAACAAATAAAAAGATTAGTTGGCTCTAAGTCGAGTAAATCCTTTTTTCTTAATGTAATTCTACTCTACTATTGGAGTATCAAATTATCATAATAACATAATAATAATTACGAACATACAAAATTTTTTTTAATGAAAATTAATACTACTAACCTCGTAAGCATTTAATATGAGTGCGATTTTTATAAAGAACATAATGCGATTTGCAAAAACAACTTAAATTCGATCTCTCGCAAATTGCATTTTCAACGGCTAGACAATCCGAATCATATTGGCAGGGCAGTGAAATTCCTGAAAGCAAATTATTATTATTATTATTAATTAAAATAAATTAAAAATTATTAAATTAAATATTATTAAATAAATATTATTAATTAATATTAATTAATATTATTAATTATTATTCACATTATTAATTACAAATTAAAAATTAACAACTAACAATTATCAATATATTATAAATTCTCGTTATTAATTTAATTATGTACTAAGTATACAATTATTTCTTGATCGAATAATAATTTATTAATCAATGTGAAATAATATACGTAAATTAATTCATCACATTTGTTATTAAATGGAAGAGGAAAAAATTACTTCACACTCAAAGGTTTTAAAATAATATAATAACGAAACCTGTGAAAAAAATTACAAAAGAAAGAATATGGGGAAAAAAATTTCTCGTTAAAATATATTATTTGCATAACATTAAACAGATGTTGCTTGGTAACCTTCAGTTACAGCTGAATTATGTTTACGGTAATAGTACGCACGTAATATACATAATATGACGTAGAATTCTAATGACTGGGGAAATTTTATATTGTTCATGTGTGTTTAATTTAATTAACAGTTAATTAGTAATAATTAGTTTTGTGAATATTTACAAAATATTTCAGATTTATTCGGAAATAATTAGTATTTTTTACTCTATTATTTTTCACTCTCAAAAAAATTTTATTTAACTAATTACTGTTTTAAATTTTCTGTAATAATAGAAAAAGAAATTTATTTCATTTAAATTGTTGGTTAATTTTTTGACTAATTAATTAATTAGTTTTTTCTCATAATTATCATTTTTCAATGATATATTTTATTTGGTTTTTATTCGTTATTTTATTTTTTCTAAATAATTATTACATTTTTAGAAATAATTAAATATCAATCTTTAAATTTTAATTATTAATTTATACTTTGAATTTATGTTCTCTAAAGATTTGAACATTCAAATGAATGACGATTTTTCTTTTATATTTCGTTCGACTCTGAATTTTGTTAAAAATTATTTTTTTTTTAATTTAGAAAGTTAATTTTTTATTGGATTTTATTTCATTAAACATTTTTTTCTTTTTTCAGGTAAGAAAGGCAGCTATTTTTTCTATAAATAATAGAATTAAAGGGGAAATTTGCCCTGATAATAGAGATAGCTTCCGGTATTTGAAAAAAAAATCGAGGAGCTATTAAATCAAGAGTCAAAGGTAAATTTTCGGATTTCTTTCTTAACACTTTTAATAATTTTTCTTTTTAAATAATTATTTCCATTTTTAAAATTATTGTTCAATCATCGAATTATTGCAAAGAATTTTACAAAAATTTTCATGATAATAGAATTCCTGCGAAGAATTTTATTATTTAGGAAATTAATTGAATTCTCGTGAAGAATTTAGTTAAAATTTTTGAAAATTACAATTAAATTCTTTTTGAAGAATTTCTTTGAATTTTTTTTAAAATAAAAGATTTTCTTTAATAATTGTAATTAAAAATTTTCGTAATAATTGAATTTTATGAACAATTTCTTTCAAGTTTTTAAAATAATCGTGTTTGTTTATTATTGAAATTAAACATTTAATTATTGAATTTTATTAAAATTTTAGAAAATAATTGAATTCTTTTGAAAAATTTTATAAAAATTATACTAAAAATAATAATTGAATTGTTTCGAAGAATTTATTAAAAGTTTAGAAAATAATTGAATTATATTCAAATTTTTTATTGGAACGAATTAAGAAAAAAATTTAATTCTTTCGTAAAATTATTTTGAATAGAATTGAATTTTTGCAAAGAATTTTACTTTTTATAAAAATAATTGAATTATTTCAAGAATTTATAAAAATTTAAGAAAATAATTGAATTCTTTTTAAATATTTTATAACGAATTAAGAGAAAATATACTTCGTGAAATTTTACTATTTTTAAAAATAATTGAATTCTTGCGAAGAATGTTATTATTTATAAAAATAATTGAATTCTTGCGAAGAATTTCATTAAAATTTTTGAAATTAATAAACATGAATAATTATTTAGTAAATTAGTTAATAATTAATTTTTGTTCAATTAAATAAATTAAACGATTTTATTACAATTCAAAATATATAAATTTAATTCGAGAAAAAATTACTCCATTTCTAAAAATTATTTTAGAATATTATAATAATAGTTTACGTACGAAGTGATTTTCGATCCGGACAATGTGAGACGAAAGTGATAAACGAGTAGACCGACAAAAATTGAAAGTGAGCGATGATAAGTAGAATACCGAAAAAAGTACACAGGACTCGGTCACCGTCACTGAACATCCTCCACACTTGAGAACTTTGGTAACATTGTTTCACGGGTAAAAGTCGAGACAATTCTCTCTTTCTCTCGACGTTAAACAAAAAAAAAAAAAATTCCGCCCAAGGTAAAATGACCGAGTTGAAAAAAAAAATCTCCACGAAAGGAATACAATTTTATATTACAATTTTATATTCCTATTTAGAATTGATAAAAAGCCTCTTTTGACGATTCTATTCAATATATGCGGGTGTTAACCAGTGACTATTATGTATATGTCCTATTAGATCGAGGTCGTCGATATAAATAAAAACGTTTAGTACTCCAGTTTTAAATGATCCGCGTTACGCAAGGTCCGATACAGTACATCCTCTTCTCTTATAATGTTCTCTCGAGGTACTATAGGTACAGAAAGTACCACCCGCTCAGACTCGGACAGACTAACTGGGACTCCCACAAGGCCCTCAGTCTCGATGGTCCCCTCCAAATGGAGGAAGAAAAAAAAAGGAAAGAAGAAAAAGAACTACATCGCAGTAGATTAAAGTTCCTGATTACTCAAGGGACCCCTTTTGCTCTTTGTATATATGTATAAGCAAGAAAGAATCACTGACATTACTTTTTCACGTTGAGCATCGAATTATATACACCACAATGTACCGTTTTGTTTCGTGTATTTTTTTCTTATTCTTCTTCTTCTTCTTCTTTCGAATGTGAGAAAAAAAAATTCATAACAATGAAACCGACGGGAAAGTTTATATACATCATTTTTCTTTATTGAGGAAAAAAAAGAAATATTTGCCTTTCAGGGAAGTTTTCTTTTTGATCTTGTGCGTAAAATTTTTGAACGTTCGGATGAAGGAAATTTATTGAGTACTCAATTTATTTATTGAAAAAATTACAATTTTATTGTAATAATATTTTGTCACGTAGTGGGAAATAGTTTACAAATTTCTGGGAAGTTTAATTTATGTTTTTGATTTTTAATAAAGTCAGTACTTTTCTGAAATTATATATAAAATATATTTATTATATATAATTTTCAAAAATTTTAATAAAATTCATTAATTTGATTATTTTTGTAAATATTAAAATTCTTTGGAGGAATTCAATTATTTTCAATATAGTATTTTCATTAAATTTCTGAAAAGAAATTAATTATTTTTTAAATTTATAATACAATTCTTCGAAGATATTCAATTTAGATTAAAATACAAAATTTTTTATAAAATTCTTTGTAGAAGAACAATTAGAATTGAATTATTATTTTCAAATTCTTGAAAGCAATTCAATTATTTTTAGAAATAATAAAATTCTTCGCAGGAATTGAATTATTTTGAATAAAATTTTAATAAAATTTCTCAAAAAAAATTATTTATTTCCATAAATGATACAATTCTTCGAAGAGATTCAATTATTTTCAAAAATAGTAAAATACATCAGAAGAATTTAATTATTTTCAATAGACATAATTTTAAATAAAATTGATTGAAAGAATTAAATTATTTTTAAATTCTTTGCAGAAATTCGATTATTTTCAAATATAATTATAATAAGATTTCTCGAAAGAATTTAATTACTTTAAACATTTATAATAAAATTCTTTGTAAGAATTGAATACTGAATATTCAATGTAATTTTAACAAAAATTCTCGAAGAAATTCAATTATTTTCATAAATAATAAAATTTCTTCGCTGGAATTCAATTATTTTAAATGAAATTTTAATAACATTTTTTGAAATTCAATTATTTGCATGAATAATAAAATTGTTTGTAACAATTCAATTATTTTTAACAATTGAAATAAAATTCTTTGGAAGAATTGAATATTTTTCAATATAAATTTCAATAAAAATTCTCAAAGAAATTCAATTAAGTCAATAAATAATAAAATTTCTTCGCTAGAATTCAATTATTTTAAATGGAATTTTAATAAAATTTCTCAAAAAAAAATTCAATTATTTCCAAAAATAATAAAATTCTTTAGAGGAATTTAATTATTTTCAATAGACATAATTTTAAATAAAATTGATTGAAAGAATTGAATTATTTTTAAATTCTTTTTCAGAAATTCGATTATTTTCAAATACAATTTTAATAAGATTTCTCGAAAGAATTTAATTACCTTAAAAATTTTTAATAAAATTCTTTGTAAGAATTGAATATTGAATCTTCAATGTAATTTCAAATAAAATTCACGAAGAAATTCAATTACTTTCATAAATAATAAAATTCTTCGCTGAAATTCAATTATTTTGAATGGGATTTTAATAAGATTCCTCAAAAAAATTCAATTATTTCCAAAAATAATAAAATTCTTTAGATGAATTTAAATATTATGAATAAAATTCCAATAAAAGTTCTTAAAGAAATTCAATTAATTTCATAAATAGTAAAATTCTTTGCAGGAATTCAATTATTTTGAAAAAAAGTTTAATGAAATTTCTCAAAAGAATTCAATTTTTTCTATGAATAATAAAATTCTTTGCGCTGAAATTCAATTATTTTTCAATAATTTCCATAAAATTCTTCAAAATAATTCAATTATTTTCCAAAATTTCCATAAAATTCTATTCAAGAATTAAATTACCTGTATTTAAAATTCAAAATTATAAAAAGTTACAAAAAGTAGTTTAATTTTGTTTAATTTATTTTTTTTTTGTTATTGTTTATTTTTGAAAATATTAAATTAGAATTTTATTAATTATAAATTTAAAACATTTGTAAAAATAATTATTAGAAAAAAAGTAGAAAACCAGAAAGCAAACAAAAATTTTATTCATTTGAATATTTCGTTTATTTGAATTTTTAGAATTTTTGGAACTTTCTTGAATAATTTCAAGTTTGTCTTTTATTTGTAATATTTCTAGATTTATAATTTCCTAAGTAATTTATTTCTTTCATTTTTCAACTCTTTGTTTCTTTAATTTTCAATTTATTATAGTTTTTGATTTCAGATTTTTACTTTTAATTTGCGATTTAATAACCAATTTGCGGATTTAGATTTCTATTTGCGGTTTTTAGTTCTCGAGTTACGATTTTCATTTTTATATTTTTTTGGATTTCTTATTAATTGGCAATATTTTCTTGCGGTTTTCTTAATAAGCATAATGAATCTCATAAATTTGGAGTATTTTCTTTTTTTTAATAATATAATGTTAATTTTTCTCTTCATTAAAAAGAATATTCATTTTTTGTTGAAAAAATATTCATTTTAGTTTGAAAAAATACTCATTTTAGTTTGAAAAAAAATAGTTATCAATTTTCCTCTACACAGTGCGATGGGAAAATTTCGAAAGCCGGCAATGCGTCTCGAAAGGGAAATAAAATGCGCGAGAGAGGAATTAATTGTATTATGGGAAGAAGAGTAAAGTGTAGATCTTTTTTTTATACAATAACGGAAAATATCGTGGGAAATAATAATTGTATGAAGGTTTTACGAATCCGACCCTGTGTACCAAAGGCGTAGATCCGGCTTGGACGGGCGTTTAGATCTCGTACTATATATAAGAATCGAGTTTCTTTACTTTGAGGATCGTCTGTCATAAGAACTTGTCTCTAGTTGCACTTTAATTTTATGTCACTGACCTGTTTAGAAATTAAATTTTAACAGGCTCCACCTTTTTTTCTGTTTCACTGACGCTTAATTTTTTTTTCAATTAAAAATTCGATTTATTGTATTTTTGCTCTCGGTTTTTCGTTTTGTCTCAATTTCGAAAAAACGAAAAACGTCTTAGAAAAACTGTGCTTTTACTTTTCATACCTAATATTTAAATTGTGTTTATAAAATATTTTTTTCAATTTTTTCAATATCAATTATTTAATTAATTACAAATTAAATTTATTAAATACTAAAAATTTAATTTCCTATTATTATTAATTGCCATATTTTTATTTATTATTTTTTAATAAAATTTTATTATTTACTATTTTATTATATTTTTTATTATATTTAATTTAACAATTTCTGTACTTTTAATTATTATTAATTTGCAGTGAAAATAATTCAGCATTTTCAAATTGTATTTTTGTTGAAATGGAGTAAAGTTTCTTTTAAAAATAATGTATGACTTGTTTAGTTACAACAAAAAAATCGTTAATCATTGAAAAAGAACATTCATTACATCATTAAAAGAATGAGTGTACTATGCTTTGGTCATAACGTGTCATATATGTACTTAAGTTAACGAAGCACTGAATTCATGTATAGATCTCATGAGTGTGTTTAAAAAGGAAAAAAAATGCGAGACATAAATGTTTCTAATTTTACGTGTTACAATATCGCAATTTAGAAAATGAAAATTGGAAAATATTTTTCATTATCTCGATTGCTATTCATTAGACGTATTAGACGTATTACTTAATAATTAGTATTTAATAATTATTATTCGTTATTATTTATTATTATTTATTATTACTTCATAATTAATAGAAACGAAATTATTATTCACGTCTTGCTTTGAAAATAAGATTTTTTTAATTATCATTTAATTAAGCAAAATTATTATTCACGTCTTGTTTCGAAAATAAGTATTTAACAATTATTATTTAATAATTAGTATTTAACTGTTAATTAAAAAAAAGAAGAAACAAAATTATTATTCACGTCTTGTTTTTAAGTTATTATTTAAAGTATTTTGTATTTAATAATTAAGAAAATCGAAGAAAAAAATCAAAATTATTACTCACGTTTTGCTTTGAATTTAGTAATTATTAAAAAGAGCACTTGAATTTTATGAAGAAGAATTGTTCCGAAGAATTTATTAAAATTTTAGGAAATAAATTAATTTTATGTAAATATTTGAAAATAATTGAAATGTTTCGAAGAATTTATTAAAATTTTAGGAAATAATTGAATTATTTTGTAGAATTTTATAGAAATATTTGAAAGTAAGTAAATTCTTTCGAGAAATTCAATTACAATTTTTTTTGAAAATAATTGAATTTCTATAAAGAATTTTATTAGTTTTTGAAAATAATTAAAATATAATTAAAATTTTAGAAAATAATTGAATTTTTGCAAAAAATTGTACTATTTATAAAAATAATTTAATAAAAAAGAACGTTTTATTTTGAAATTAGTAATTAATAGTTAATAATTAATATTTAATGCTAATTATTATTTAATAATTTTAATAAAAAAAGAAAAGAATCGAAAATATTATATACTCACGTCTGGCTTCGAAATAAGGATCATCATTCTCGTATGCACTTGCATTTTTAAAAAAGAGAAAAATGTTTATTATCAACCATTGCAGAAAGAGATGCTGAAAACTTCTTCCCATTTCCGCATGCCACTCGGATTGAAAATCACTTTTCCTTCCACACTTGACTGAAATTGAAACTCTTCCCAGCTTCAATAAAATTTTCCCTCTCTATTATTTACAATTTCACATTTAGATTTTTCCTCCAAAGAAAAATTTTGTTCTCCTCGCTACATTTCTTCTTCCCGTTCCGGTTTTGATTCTCCTTTTTATACTGTCTATTTCTTTTGCGATATTTGAAGTATTTTTTTAACTTAACTGAAAAATATAAAAAAAAAAAAATAGAAATGAAACTCTGGAAAATTGAAATTCGAAAATCAGAGAATTTAATTAAATGAAACGAAATAAATTTATTTACAATAATAAATAGAAAGATAATTTTAATTTAATTTTTTTTATTTAATTTTCTATTAATATTAATTAATTAATTAATTAATTAATTAATTGAAATAGAGAAATAGTTTTTATTTTTATTTTATTCGAAAAAATAAACCTTTTATTTTTTCATTTTTAAATTTTAATGGAAACTTGTTGTATGTTTGGGAAAAATTTAAATTTACTCACGTTTATTTTTTCTGTTCACAGGTGACGAAGAAGACTACTTTAATGGAAGCGATAAATATACTTTTAAGTATATAGGTGTCGAGGGAAAATGACTTTATCAGTGTCTCTCCTGGTTCTCTATCTAATCTTATGATGACCGATCTGAATATAATGCGGACGACACACGCGCACTCGTTTCATATTATGAGCTGCGTCAGAGAAACACGTTGTAATATCCAATTTCTTACGAGATGTGGACTTGAATAATTGTAAGACACATTATGAAGGTAAAGAAAACGCTCGTTTCGACATTATATACATATATATTCACAAAACACAGTTTCATCTACGCGGGGGAAAGTGCTTTTGAAATTAGAGACAAAAGAATTTTTATTATGTATTATATTTCTCGCGGTGTGGCTTTTTCAGTACTTTTTCACGCCACTTAGCGGATTTTGTTTCTTCTTTTCATATCGTTTTTTTCTCATTTTTTTATTTCATTTCTTTTTTTAGTTTTTTTCGATTTCTTTTCTATTTTTTAAAAATTTTTTTCATTTCTTTTCTATTTTTTTCATTACTTTCAAATTTTTTTCATTTCTTTCAAATTATTTTCATTTCTTCCCAATTTTTTCCATTTCTTTCTAATTTACCAATTTTTATTTATTTTATTTTCATTTTTATTAATTTTTGTATTTAGTTTCTATTTCTTTATTTATTACATTTTAATTCCTTTTTATTTCTTTTTTCATCTTTTATTTATATTCTTATTACGTTTCTATTTCTTCTTTATTTATTAAATTTTAATTCCTTCTTTCTAATTTCTTTTTTTATTTTTTAATTGTTTTGTTTATTTTCTTACTTCGTTTTCTTTTCTTTTTATAAATTACAAATTTTATTCTTTTTTTTCTTTATTATTTATGGGAATAATATAATATGTCTATTTATATTTAGTAGTAAAAATATGAAAATTCGTTTTTAATATTCAGTAGAAAGAAAATTTTTTTTCCCGTCAATTATTGAATTGAATTCAATGAAAAATTGTAATTGAAAAATAGAAAAAGAAGATACAAAAGCCGCGGTAGAGAAAATGGTGAATTTAAATAGCGAAATAGAGGGAAAATGGTTAAAATTGTTGAGAGAAAAAATTCACTCATCGATGGGACAATTGTCCTGGGCAAGGATGCGATAGAACTGACAAGTTTTACACGAAATTGGAAACTTTTTTGCTCGTCTCCCGTTACATCAGAGAGAACGTAACCAAGATCAACGCCTTTTAATATCGATTAAACGTCATGTTTGTGCCTATTTTATTGGCTTTGCAAATATTCATTATTGCATTATTTTATTCTCTTTAGAAAACAAAAGGTTTCATTTTATTTTCTTTTGGAAAACAAAAGTTTTTTGTTTTCTTTTAATTGAAACTGGAAGTTTTAATTAAAAAGGGAAAATTAAATATTTTTTTTTTTTTAAAGGGAAATTTTGTTCTATTGACAGTACTTTTTTTATAAGGTAAACAATTTTTCTGGCGGAAATAAGTAATTTTTTTCTAAACTTCGCGTTTTTGAATAACTTTTTCTTGTTGGGCCAAAAAATTTGTTTTCTTTTTCTACTTGTTGGAAGTGTCTGACAGAAAATTAATTTTTCCACTTAGGAGAATTTGTCTAAGATCGACTTTTTCTACTTGAAATGAAAAAATTTTTTTTTCTATTTCGAAATTAATTAATCTTCCGATCTTTACTTTTTTTTTTACTTAAAATACAAACTTATCTGACTAAAAACGCGTTTTCTAGCTGGAAACAAAACCTTTTTCTTAATCAAAAACAAATTACTATTGATTAATTTAAATTTTTCATAGAAAATATTACTTTTTCTGTATGTGAAAATTAATTTAACTTCCAATTTTCGATTTTCTACTTAAATACAAAATTTGTCTGACTTAAGACGACTTTTCTACTTTGAAGCAAATTTCTTTTCCAAAAAATAAACAGATTTTTTTATTTAAAATTTGACAGGGAAAACATTTATTTTTCTATATTTGAAAATTAATTAATCTTTTAAATTTTGCTTTTTCTACTTAAATAAAAAATCTACAAAGACAAAAAGACGACTTTTCTATTTAAAAACAAATTCTATTTCTCCAAAAAGACAAATTTTTCTTATTTAAAATTTGCTGAAGAAAAAATTCCTTTTTCTGTTTTTTAAAATTGATTAATATTGAAAATTCCGCTTTTTCTACTTTATCACAGAATTTGTCTGACTGAAGACGACTTTTCTACTTAGCAATTGTTTCTTTATTTCGAAAAAAACAGATTTTTACTTTTCAAATTTTTCAGAAAAAAAAATGTCTTTAATTTTCGAAAATTAATCTTCCAATCTCCGTTTTTTCTACTTGAGTAATAAAACTTGTCTGACTTATCACGACTTTTCTACTTAAAATTTCTTTTTCTATATTTGAAAATTAATTTATTTTCCAATCTCAGTTTTTTCTACTTGATTAACAAAAATTTGTCTGACAAAACACGACTTTTCTACTTAAAAACAAATTACTTTTATTGAAATAAAATTGTTTTCTGTTTCAAATTTCAAAAATTCCTTTTTCTATATTTGAAAATTAATTTATCTTACAAATTTCACTTTTTCTACTTAAATACATAATTTGTCTGACTAATTACTATTTTTCTACTTTGAAAAAAAATTTTTTTCCAAAATACAAACTTCGTCACAGAATTTGTCAGACTGAAGACGACTTTTCTACTTAGCAACAATTTTTTTATACTGAAAAAAATAGATTTTTGCTATTCAAATTTTCAAGAGAAAAATTAATTTAAAAAATTAATTTTCCAATCTCCGTTTTTTCTACTCTCGAATCACGACTTTTCTACTTAAAAACAACATTTTTTTTTCTCTATAAAAAACAATTTTTTCGAAAATTTATTAATCTTTCAAATTCCGCTTTCCACTTAAATATAAAATCTACAAAAACAAAATACAAAAAGACGACTTTTCTATTTTAAAAAAAATTCTATTTCATCAAAAAGACAAATTTTTCTATTTCAAATTTGCTGAAGAAAAAATTTCTTTTTCATATAAAATTAATTAATATTGAAAACTCTGCTTTTCTACTTTATCACAGAATATTTGAAAACTAATTTATTTTCCAATCTCTGCTTTTTCTACTTGATTAACAAAAAATTGTCTGACAAAACACGACTTTTCTACTTAAAAACAAATTCTTTTTCTCAAAATAAAAATGTTTTCTGTTTCAAATTTGCCGGGAAAAATTCTCTTTTCTATATTTGAAAATTAATTTACCTTCTAAATTTCACTTTTTTTTTACTTAAATACAAGATCTGCAGAAACAAAAAAAAGACGAATTTTCTACTCAGAAACTAAAACTTTTTCCTCTAAAAAAATCAAATTTTTCTATTTCGAATCTTTCTCTGACATTTCCCCATTATTTGTTGCCAAGAAAAATAATTTTTTTTTAACTTAAAAAGAATCTTGTCTCTGAAAAACTTCTTTTTTAGATTCGAAAAGAATTTATTTTTCATTTCATTTATTTTCATTTATTAAATTAATTAAATTAAATTAAAATTTAATTTTAACTTAAATTTAATTAATAATTAATATAATTAATTAATAATTCCTGGTTTATGGTTTAAAAAAAAACTGATCACTAAAAATTCCTATATGTGCAGAATTTTTCGATATATAAAAGAGTTATATTTATTTTTGCAGGGTTGCCTATGTGCGGGAGGATTATATCGAGCACCCGGGAAAATTTGAACTTGAATTCGAATTCGCAAATACAGCAGCAGCACACTCTCCCTTTCTGTCTTGCTATTTAGACGCACGCGTCAACTAACGGGTATATCTTAGGGGCGTCCAATCAATACGACGTTATATGTATGTTTTAGGGTGGATACCATACCATAAGCTAGTCACACAAGTGAGCTTCGAGGTGCATACTTGATGCCGGAAACCACACCTTTATTTCCTGTCTCCTGTTCCATAAGTGCAACCCTACATATACACTTAGATATTTTCCTGCTGCTGTTCCGACCTTTCTCCCTTTTATATACAAAAAGGGGGAAATTTCACTTTAGCTCGCATTGCCTTTCTTGGCGAAAGGGTGAAAGAGATCTCCGGCGAAAGAACCTTTTTTTTAATACGAGTGCGTATTGTTCAATTTCAAGTAAACAAATTTTCTTTTCTTTCTTTCTTGTTTCTTCTTTCTGCCTCTTTTTCTTGTTTCTTGCTTTTTTCTCTTCTTTCCGTTTCTTTTTCTTAGCTTATCCTTTTAATTCTTCTTCTTCTTTCTTCCTTTTGTTTCTTTTTTTTGTTTCTTCCTTTTATTTCTTTTTCTTTTCTCTTCCTTTTGTTTCATTTTTATTGTTTCTTACTTTTTTCTTTTTGCAAAAAAATGGTGAATTTGAAAATTCGAATATACAGTAAAGAAGTAAACGTAGAATTGAAGGGTTGATATTTACATTTGCTTTTTTGTTTCGGAGCTTTGCAGTGGAAGTGAATGGGCGAAAGGTGTTAATAAAAGGGTTTTTCTTTGAAAAAGAATTTGAATGTAAGCTTTTTTATGCTTCAAGTAGAGGAGAAAATAGTGATGAAGTGAAAAATTATAGAGAATAATTTTTTGACACAAGAAAGTTTTAGTAATTTTATTGAATTATATTTTAATTCTATTTATTTTCATTCTTTTTCATTTTTTTTCAAAATTTTCAATTTAATTATTAAACAAATTATGAACAAAATTTTTTTAACTTTAAACACTTAAATTTTATTTTGATTTATTTTCATTCTCTTTCACCAAATTTTTAACCATTATTTTGAAAAATTTGGTTTAAATAAAATATTATTGAACAATTATGAACAAAATTTATTTATTAATTTGTAACACTTAATATTTACTTTATTTTTATTCACTTTTATTTATTTTTATTTATTTTGGTTTATTTTTGTCTATTTTTCTTTATATTCATTTTTTTTTAAATTTTATAAAATTTATTTTGAAAAATTTCGTTTAAATTAAATATTACCAAACAATTAAGAACTAAATTTTTTAAATTAATTTTTGAACAATTTAATTTTAATTTATTTTTTTACGAACTAAAAAGTTGGTAAAAAATTGAAAATAATTTATTTAACCACTAATTTTTTAAAAAATTTGTTTTTAATTAAATATTACTAAACAATTATAAACAAAGTTTTTCTTTTTTTAATTTTGAATACTAATATTATTTTACTATTTATTATTTATTAAATTTATATAAAAAATGGAGTAATAGGAAAAATTCTTTTTTATAGCTAATAAAATGTGGGTATTTTTTGAATTTTTTTTTTTTTTGGTTTAATTTTGTATTTTGCATGTTACGAATTTCGGAATTTTCGTCAAACTGTCATACTATCGGGTCAGGTGAAAGGAGAAAATTGTTGCGCGTCTCGCCACGACGAGCAGAATGTAAAGATAATGTCTATATGTTGTGGCTTTAGTCATTGAGTTACTGTCACTTGTCAAGTGCGTTTAATTCACGCAAATATTTCAATAATAATTCTATCTCTTATCAATATACATGTTGTATTCTCACTGCGAATCAATTCAAAATTACTGAGTGCGAAGTCTTGTTTGTGTAACACATAATTTAAAATTTCATTTTCGATATAGAAAAATTTTCTTTTCCTTTTAATTTATGTAAGTGTAATTTTAATTTTATTTCTATACTTAATTTATTTCTTTTTTCACTATTTATCGACAATGACAAATTTGTATTATTATTGTTTTCTTTTTCTCATGTTTTTATCACACTTTGTTTCTTTTTTCTTTCGTACGCCCACTTTTTGTGAAACGTCTCATTTTTTTCTGTAATTTTAATTTTTCTCTACAACTTTAATTTTTTTCTGCATTCTTTTTTTGATTTTTACTTTTTCTCTGCAATTTTCTTTTTGGTAATTTTTATTTTTTCTCCGCAATTTTCTTGTCGGTAATTTTTATTTTTTTCTCTGCATTTTTTTCTCCCTAATTTTCAAAAATTGCAATTTTCTAACATTGTAGTAGAAATATTAATTTGTTTTTCTATTTTCAGGTGAGAAGGGTAGCAACTTTATTTCTACAAATAATGGAATTAAAGGAGAAGGTTGCCCTGGTAACAGGGGCAGCCTCCGGTATTGGAAAGGCATATGTCGAGGAATTATTAAATCAAGGGGCAATGGTATGATAATTTTGAATTATATATTTTTATTTTATACTAACTTTCTAAATTTTCATTTTTCGTTGATATTTTGATATGTCTAGTCAATGATAATAATAATTAAAAACTGACTTTAAAATAAATTAGTATTTAACTCAATTTTCTGAGAGTGTAATATCGTTTAGCGGCACTGGGGCGAATTTTCTCCGAGGGCTTATTATTAATTTATATTTAGAAATTATCTGCTTGAGTGAGCCGACAAATTTCAAGTTGATACTATTAAATTTTATTCTCAGGTTTCAATCTGTGATATTAACAATGAAGCTGGAGAAGAATTAGTTAATACTCTTGCGGTTAAACATGGCAAAAATAGAGTCATGTTTTCTCACTGTGATGTAACTGACTATTCCCAATTTGAAGGTAAAAAAATAATAATAATAAATAAATATTATTATTTAATCAATTAAATGTAAATAAATAAATGGAAGGGGGAAAAAATAAATAATTTGATTATTTATTGCTCGCAGAATCTTTCGAGGCAACTCTCGCAGCTTATGGAAAGATTGATATTGTCGTCAATAATGCAGGAATTATGAATGACAGATTTTGGGAGCTGGAAGTAGACATTAATCTTGTGAGTAGAAATATTGTTTCGAATCAAAAAATTCAGAGCAAACTTTTTGATAAATTATTATTATTAGTATTTGATAAACTATTTTTGGAATTTTATTTAGAATGGAGTGATTCGAGGAACACTTTTGGCACAAAGATACTTAGGTACAGATCGAGGCTACGGCGGAGGTGTTGTGGTTAATACCGGAAGTAATTGCAGTATACATCCTTACGTTAGTGTTCCTATTTATTCAGCCACAAAATCTGCAATTGTCAGTCTCACCAGAGCATTTGGCGTGAGTTTTACGGTTTTCCTAATTAATTTTTAATAAATTAAGTAATAAAAGAAAAATAATAAAAGAAAGTAGAATAAAGAATAAATATTAGAGAATAATAAAAATAATAAATTATAGAAAGTAATAAAAGTATAAATAGTTGAAAATAATAAGAAAAATAAAGAATAGAAAATAATATAAATAAAAAGTAATAAAAGTATAAATAAAATAAAAATACAGAAAGAAATAAAAATTACGAATACAATGAAAAATTTTGTTTATCGGATCGAAAAATCGTTTGTAAAATTAGTTTACACAATCGTCGATCCCGCATTGAAGTTAATTGAATTAAAAAATCATTTTGATTTTAATTGAAAGTGACTTGATTTAAAATTCCATTTAATTAATTAGATTACAATTTTTCTTTATAGGATCAGTATCATGTGGAGTTAACCGGCGTGAGAGTAATGGCTCTTTGTCCAAATGCCACTAACAGTAATTTGGTTCGTGATGTCGGTAAACAATTACTTTCACCTAGGTACGAAGATGCTTGGCGTCGCGATACAGTTTCCTCCGTTTCTCAAAAGTAAGTCTTCTCAAGTAATTTAATTATATTTTTTGCTCAAAAGTGTGTCTTTTCAAGTAATTTAATTCTAATAAATAGAAATTTATAAATTTATATTTTATATAAATAATACAGGATTGCCACAGGTCAGAGAATTCAGGGAAAAGTCAGGGAAAGTAGAATTGGTCAGGAAAATCTGGGAAAAGTCAGGGATTTTTAGTTAAAGTAATGGAAAAAATTAAATTTTTTAAATTCATAAGAAAACTCCGAATTTTGGTTTTTTTTATAAACTATGAAATTACTGCGAATTTTAATACAAAACCTTCAATTTTTTCTATAAATTTCTTCTCAATAATTGAATTATTTTCATAAACAAAATTTTTTACATGAATTCAATTATTTTCATAAATAATAAAACTCATCGCAGAATTTCAAATATTTTTATTTATTTATTTATTTATTTAGAAAACATACGGGCATAAAGCCCTTTCGTACAAAGTACTAATTTAAACGAGATTCACAATTTGTATTTTTAATACAATTTTAATTTCAATTCTGTTGAAATTAGTTGAATTTTTAATATGTATTTAATATTATTTCCAAAATTTTAACACAATTCTTCGAAACAAATCAATTCTCTTGATAAATATCAAAATTCTTCCCAGAAATTGCAATTGTTTTCAAGAATTTTAATAAAATTCTTTGCAAAATTTAATTATTTCCATAAATGACAATATTAATCACGAGAATAAAGTTATTTTCAAGAGTAATAAAATTCTATTCAGAAATTAAATTATTTTCAAAAATTAAAAAAAATTCTCGTCATGATTTTAATTATCTTTAAAAACAGCAAAATTCTTCGCTGAAATTCCATTATTTAAAAAAATTTTAATAAATTTCTACGCAAACATTCAATTATTTTCATAAATAATAAAAATTTCTCAGGATTTCAACTATTTTGCAAATTTTTTATAAATTTCTTCGCAATAATGCAATTATTTTTATAAATAATAAAACTGTTCTCAGGAATTTAATTATTTTCATAAATAATAATATTCATAGTAGCAGGATTATAATTATTTTTGATACAATTTCGAATAATTTTACAATTAACGAAATGTGTAAATAAATGTAATAGAATTTTGAGTATCTAATATTTTTTAGAGTGAATCAGAATATTCTTTAGGGTCAGGGAAAAAGTTAAAATCAATCAGGAAAAAATCTGGAAATCAGGGAGAAATCAGGGAAAAACAAAATTAAATATTTGTGGCAACCCTGTAATATAAAAATTTATATTTTTATTATTTATATTTTTTGCTTTTTCAATGAAATAATAACGAAAAAAAAAGAGTTTTTTTCTAAATAAATATATTTTCCAGAGCTGAACACGTGGCAAAAGCTTTAATTCATATATTAAATAATGGAAAAAGCGGAAGCGTTTGGCGCGTGGAAAATGGACAAACTCCACGAGAAGTTTGCTTTCCAAAAGCTTAAATCTCTTGATTTGTAAAATACTGCAAAAATTTTCTTTTAAATGCTTTAAATTTCAGTACGAAAAAAGGGAGGAAAAATATCAAACGATAGTATTTGACTATATAATTAACGCACAAGGTCCATTGATAAACAATGATTGCTCTACAAAAAAAACCACGCTCACTTTTTTATAAAATATTTCTCATTTTCTTTTTTACTAAGAATTTTACAATATTTGTAATTTTCTATTAGCGATTTTCTATTAGTAATTTTCTATTAGAGATTTTTGTATTACATTTGTAATTTTCTAAATATTACAATATGATCATCATAATGATTATTATCAAATTGACAAATTTCTGAATTTATCTAAATATAATATTAAATATCAAATATCGAAAATAATAATAATAATAATTAATATTGAGAGTAGTAGAAAAAAAAATATCGAGAAAATATTCACAATCATTCATTAGAAAGTCATTCCGGACCAAAGACATATACGAAAAAGTTGATGGTATAATAAACTATTAAAAAAAATATAAATATGTAACCAGAAATTTTGTAGTTCGATAAAAAAATGCTTTTTAAAAAGAAATGTCATTCTGTACAAAGAGAATCGCGTAGTTCACGGTACGTTTTTTTTTATAAACTTATTACGTACTTGAAAATTTTCTTTTATTAACAAAAAAAAAAAGATTATTAACTTCTAGTTATCCAAATGTATCAAAATTGACTAAAATTACCGAAAGTTAAAAATTTAGTTGAATAAATAAATTCTAAAGATCAATCATCAATTAATTAAATTAAACAAATTATTAATTAAGTTATTTTTATAAAATAAATTTTTCTACTTAACAATTATTTGCTAATTCCAATAAGCGAGTGCCAAGAGAAAAAAAAGTAATAATATTCGCAAAAAAAGTGATTTATTTTTTATATTTTTATTTCCACCGTTTTTTCACTTAAAAAAATACAAACGTCCGAAAAACTGCTTTAGTGGAATAAATTTACATTATACGAAATTTATAAAACGTCCTGAAAATTTTATCTCTAGATTGTGATATACGTTTATTTACAAAGTGAGACTAAAATATTCAACATTTTTTTACGTAAATTAATTAATTGCCATTATTTTCAAATCAATATGCCATATTAAATAGAAAATTAATTGACTAATTAATTAAATAAATTAATTAAATTAATTAAATTAATTGTTAATCACAAATTTACCAGAGGTAATATATTATAATATTTCTGTTATAATTTTTTGCAGTAAAATGATGTAAAATTAAATATATTCTAGATGTGATAAATATTTGCTTATAATCTATATACAGCTAATTATCAAATTATAAATTAAAAAAGAAAAGAATCGTTGAGTTTCGCTTCGAATTTATAATGTACGACGTTATCATCGCACAATTATGAAGTGAATGATATAAAAAAAAATTATTCAATTTTAAAAATCCAAATACTGAAAATAATATTTTCAACAATGTTGGTATTTTTCTATAGTAAAATTTTTTACTGAACTAATAATAATATTAATTAAATGAATTAAATAAATTAAATGAATTAAATAAAATAAATAAAATTAGTCTTTAAAAATATTTTAATTTTAAAAAATACTGACAATGTTTTTTTCTCTAATAGAAAATATTGTTTTCAATATAAAATGGAAAAATTGATGCTTCTTTGCCAAAATGTTATTGCTTTGACAGCTTTTATAAATTATATATAAAGTATTGTGGATATTATTATAATTATTATATTATTACTTAACTTTATATTTATCGAAAATATTGCCAAAAAAAATATATTCCGTTCATGCCTCGTGATTGAAAAACAAAAAATAAAAAAACAAAAGAAATGTTTTACAACAATCTTTCAAATTTTCACTTCTTATGCACCATTTTTTCCTTTATTTTCGATGATTATTCACAAAATCCCTTTTGGTTAATTTTAAAATTTAATTTTCGTTATTAATTAAAATTTTCTTGTAAAATTATGAAGAGTGGAAATTTCTTTTATTTTTGAATCGAAGAATTAAAATTTACAAAATATGTAACATGCTTCTAAATCAAACAGTGAAATGTTTAACCTTAAATTTGAAAAAATTGTTAAACTCTAAAAATTTAGTGTAAGTATTTTCTATATTTCGTTTTGTATGTTTTTTTTCTTAATTTTGTTTTCTATTTAAAAATTTAAATATTCGTTGACAGGATTGGAGGGATAAAAATTGTTCATTATAATTTTCAAACAAGCAGTGCAGTTTGTGAAAAAGTGAAAAAAAATGAGAAAAAAGGATGGTTTTGGAGAAGGAAAAAAAATGATTATTTAAATAATGATAAAGTAGCGATTTTAACACCTCAATGTAAAAATGGAATGATTATTGGTGGTTCTAAGGGATTTGGATTTGCGGCCGCTGATGAATTATTATCGAGGGGAGCAAATGTAAGGGGAATTTATTTTTTTATGTCATTTTTCTAATTTTATTTTAATGAAGTGAATTTTTTTTTTACAGAAAATTGTAATCGCTGATAGAGATAAGGAAAAAGGAGATCGTGCCGTTGAAAGATTGTGTGACACTTATGGAAAAGACCGAGCATCTTTTGTACAATGCGATATAAGAGATTCGACTTTACTTGAAGGTAAAATTTTATTTAAAAAAAATAATTAATTGTTAATTAAGATAAATAATTTTTATTTATTTAGTTTAATTTATTTTCTATATTTTCTTTATTTTTTTTATTTTATTATTTTCTTCATTTTATCATTTTCTTTATTTTCTTATGAGATTTTTCTTTATTTTCCTTACTTTCCTTATGTCACTATTTTCTTTATTTTTTTTATTTTATTATTTTATTTATTTTGTTCAATAATTTATAATTTATTCTAATTTATTTACTTCTTTTAGCATCGTTTGCTGAAGCCATCTGTCGACACAAAGTGATTCACATTCTCTTCAGTGATTTTGATGAAAATCAAACTTCGCCGATTAAAAATCGAACTACATCAATTTGTGGCGAGTCTGATGATAATGGATGGGTAAACAATTTTCCTTTTTCTTAGTTCCATGCTTTACACCCAGAAAAAAATTTTATGCAAACAAAATTTAATTTATTTGAGTTAAATAAAAGTATATTTGTCCTAGAGTTCACTAAATTAATTATTCGTTAAAATAAAAATTTTATTCGACATAAACAAAATTTTTACTTGAACCAAATAAATTTTATTTGATGCAAATAAAATTTGCTTGAACCAAATAAATTTTATTTGAAGCAAATAGAATTTCCTTGAACCGAATAAATTTTATTTGAAGAAAATAGAATTTCCTTGAACCAAATAAATTTAATTTGAAGCAAATGGAATTTTCTTGAATCAAATAAATTTTATTTGAAGAAAATAGAATTTTCTTGAACCAAATAAATTTTGTTTGAAATAAAATTTATATGAAACAAAAAAAAGACTTTGAGTCAAATATATATTTTTTCTAGTTGTGACAATATTTATACTTGAATCGTTAGATAAATTTGAAAACGATTTTTTTTAATTTAATAAATTTAAATAATAATTCTCTTACTTTGTTTTGTGAAAAATTACTGAGATAAATTAATAATTTTTCAGAGTAATACGAGAAAAGCATCAATGATTGGTTTGAAATTTATGGGAAAGAAGAATGGAGGTGCTGGTGGTGTGATTGTTAATTGTGCGAGTATTTTGGGTTTTATGGACTGGCCTCAAAATCCATTGCCAATTTATTGTAAAAAAGAACCGGTTATTGAAGTCACCAGAAGTGTTGCAGTAAGAAAAATTAATAATTAAAAAAGAAAACTTCAGTCTTTGTCTAATGAAATATTTTTTTTCTACTATTTGTTTTTCTTTGGGTTTATTAATTATTTATATTTTAAATACAAAAGGAGGAACATCCCGTGGACAAGAATGGAGTACGTTTCATTGCTCTTTGCCCAACGAATAAGCCATTTGAGAAAATTTCATTACCTGATTTTCCCGAATGTCAAAATAAAAATGATTGCCCGATAGAATGCATTCCTCGAAGGTAAAAAATTGTAATATTACTAATAATCAATTTTTATTAATAGATTTTACAAAAAATCTGCCAATTGAAAAATATTAACAATAATTTTCATTATAGGAAAAAAATAGTGGGTTTAGCACTGACTCATGTTATGGCTAATGCTCTCACAGGAAGTACATGGCTCGTACCACCTTTTCCAAGTTTGTATGAACTTCCAAAACTTATCCATTTTCCAAAAAATAAAGATGAACTCGTTGATCCTCAAGTTTATGAACAGGTATTTAATTTCAAATAATATTCAAATAACAGAAATGTTTTATTTAAACCAAATATAATTTATTTGACTCAAACAAAATTATATTTTTATACTTTTGTTTATTTATTTTTAATTAAGTATAAATAAATTATTTGTTTTTAATAACAATTTTATTTAGCACAAATGTAAAAAATTACGTTTAAATTTTCTATTGGTATTGGTGGAGTAACTAAACCACCAAAATTATTTATTTTATTTAAACAATACAAGAATAATTTTTATTTACACCAAATACAATTTTTTTCAACTAAACAAAATTTATTTGCATCAAAAATAATAAAATTTAGATCAAATATAATTTATTAGCAACAAATAATTTTATTTAGAACAAACATTTTAATAAAATAAAATAATTAAATTTAATATATTCATTTAAAATTAAATTAATTTTTAAATAAATTAATAATTTTTATTTGTAACAAACAAAAATTTTTTTTGAACGAAATAAAATTTATTTGAAATAAAATAATAAAACAAATAATATTATATTTATATAATAAATTCCATGAAATTTATAGAATTTTCCAGTTCAAAAATCGTACTGTGCAAAAATCCAAGAGAAACCAAAAGCAAAATTGAAAATGTTCTTTTCGCTGAGAAGAAAATAATTTCCATTGAAAAAAAACATTATTTTCTATTTAAAAAGTGTGGAAAGTTTAATAATAATAATTTTAAAAACAAAATTTTGGTTTTATTTAAATAAAAATAAATAAATTAATAAAATATTTGGGGATTTTTTTGAATATTGACGGGTCACGTGTTTAATGGCAGATTCACCAACGTAAGTTCTGGGAATTACCGCAAGAATCGCAATAAAGAAAAATGTGCCATTATAAATAAAACTTAAATAATTTCTAATTAAATTTTAGCTATAATTTAATCATTTTTAATCAATCATTTTTCTCTTATTTCCATTAAAAATTAGGTTTACTTAAAGAAAACGTAATTTTCTTTTCAAATTGTGGTGTGATGGCACCACTGTCTCTACGCTGATTCGTATTATCGATACTATCGATTCGATAGTAGCTGACTTCAGTGTGGTAGCAACACGTGTTAAGCAAAAATAATTCTATTTTCGTTAAATTGTTAAATAAAAACGATAAAAACAATAAAAAATTTTTAAAATGACACAAGTACCAGAGATTATTTGTGTACCCGGTGAGTTTTTAATTTAGTTCTATTATTTCTATTGTATTTTGAGAAAAAACTTAGAAATTGTATTATTATTTTTGTTTGCATAGACAACATAACCTGAAATGTTTACACAACTTTCAATTCTTTTTATTATTTTAATTATTTATAACTAGTTATTTATAATTATAATAATGCTGTTATAATAATTTTTCTTTTTAAATATTTTCAATTTTAAAATTAATTTATTGCAAATAATCAAATGGTTGCAAAGAATTTCATCAAAAAATTTGTTAATAATAGAATTCATAGAAGAATTTTTTTATTTAGGAAAATAATTGAATTCTCGCGAAGAATTTTATTAAAATTTTTAAAAATTCTAATTAAATTCTTTTGAAGAATTTCTTTGATTTTTTTTTTAAACTAATGGAGTTTCTTTAATAATTTTATTTGAAAATTTTGAAAGCAAATGAATTTTATAAAGAAGAATTTTATTAAAATTGTATTGAAAATAATTTAATTTTTGCGAAGAATTTATTGAAATTTTGGGAAATAATTGTATTGTTTTTAAGAATTCTATAGAAATGTTTTAAAATAATTAAATTCATTCAGGAAATTCAATTAAAGTTATTTCGAAAATAATTGAATTTCTGTAAAGAATTTTATTAAAATTAAGAAAATTCAAAATAACTGAATTCAACAGAAGAATTCTATTATTTTTTGAAAATAATTGAATTCCTTCAACTTTTATGACGAATATATTTTAAAAAATTGCATTGAAAGTAATTTAATTTTTATATAGAATTTTTTTTACATATTTTGAGAATAATTGAATTATTTTTAGAGAATTTAAAATTCTTGTTGAAATTGAATTTTAATAAAATTCGTAAAAATAACTAAGTAAATTTTTCGAGGAATTCGATTAAAATTGGATTAAAAATAATTTAATTCCTGCAAAGAATTTTTACTATTTTTAAAAATAGTTGAATTGTTTCGAATTTTATAAAAATATTTGAATTCTTCCGAGGAATTCAATTAAAATTGTTTTAAAAATAATTCAATTCTTGCGAAGTATTTTTCTATTTATAAAAATAATTGAATTGTTTTGAAGGATTTATTAAAATTTTAGGAAGTAATTGAATTTATTCGAAATGTACTAAACATTTTTTTAAATTCAATTCTTGTGATGAATTTAATTAAAATTGTTTCGAGAATAATTGAATTCTTGCAAAGAATTTAACTTTTTTTCAAAATAATTGCATTCTTGCGAAGAATTATATTAAAATTTTTGAAAATAATAATAATAATAATTAATTTTATGCTTAATAAGTGAATTTTTTAAATTTTGATTTTGAATCATTTCAGGGCAAAGATTATCTGTAGCTGATAAGGAAAATTTACCAGGATCAGGAACTTACGAACAGCTTGGTTATATTTATTCGAAATTAGCTGGATTTGTTAAAGTAATTAAAGAGAAGGAAGTGAGTAGATTCTAATAATTATTAATTTAAATGAATAATTAGTCCTTCAGTATTTTTAATATATTAATATTTTTTATTTTAGTTATTACTATTTTATTTACTATTTACTTATTTTTTAATTTTTAATTTTTAATATATTAAATATTAGTTTTTGTTAAATAATGTGTAATGATTTTTATATTTATTTGTATTATTGTATTATTCAGATAAATAGAATCGAAGTACACACAGTAATGGAACAGAGTATTGTTCCTGCTCCTGGAGATATTGTCACGGCAATGATAACACTCGTTAATCAAAGATTGTGTAAATGTACAATAAAATGCATTGGTGATGTGGTTTTGACGAGGCCCTATCGGGGCGTTTTACGTCGAGACGATGTGAAAGCAACCGAAAAGGACAAAATCGAAATGTACAAATCATTTCGACCTGGTGACATCATTTTAGCTCGAGTTGTATCCTTTTTTCTATTTTTTGGAGCTTTTTTTCTAAACATAATTAATTTATTTATTTCTTCTTTTATTTGTTTATCTATTGAATTATTTATTTGTCTATCTATTTAATTAATTATTTATTTATTTAAGAATCCTGAAATTGGCGTCGACGCTAAGCATCAAAAAATATTTTACGAGGTTTCAGGCGTTAAAAATGTTATAAATTTCAAAGTTTCGATTCAACCAGAATGCACAACTATTCAAAAAACTATATTTAATCCTAAAATCCTGGAAAAAATGGTTTGATTCTTTTGGGATTTTAAAAAAAAACTACGTTTTTCTTTACTCAGCGTCGACGCCATCGAGCTTTTATTTACGAATGTAAATTATTTATTTAATGTAAAGATATCTTAGTTATTTTTTACATATTATATAAAATTCCTTATCAAAAATATTTAGTTACCAATGACGGAGGCACATAATTATCAACTGAGTACAGCGGAAAATGAATTGGGTGTTGTTATAGCTCACAGTGAAGAAGGTACACTTTTTTATTATTTAAATTCAATTTAGAATCTATTTTTTTACAATTACATTGCAAATAATTGCTATGAATTTGAAAATTATTCGTTTTTAGGTGTTTCAATGATACCAGTTAGTTGGACAGAGATGCAGTGTCCAAAAACATTAGTAAAAGAATTTCGTAAAGTAGCAAAAGTGATACCCGAAGACGTGGTCAATGAAATGTAATATAAAATTTTTCTTTTCATATTAAATTTTATATTTTCTAATTTTTGACAAAAAATAATAGTTCTCGGTATTTTTTTGAAAAAAAATTAATTCTTTGAAAAGAATTTTCTTTTCTTTCTTTTAAACAGAAAATGAATATTCAACCCTTTGAGTATTGAATTTATATTTTTTTATCGTACATTCCACTCATTTTTTTTTTCGATTTATATACTTGAAGAAATTAATTGAATCGTAGATGTACTTTGGATATTGCAGCATAAAGAACATTCCATATTGGTAAATAATATAAAGTATCGCTTGTAAACAGACCTCAATTATTTTACTTAACGCAAGAATATGACTTCATTTAACCTTACTTGAATGTTTTTAACTCATTTCTTCGAAAGAAGTAATTTTCTTTTTGTAAATTCATGTCTATATTTTAAATCGGTTGATATTTGAGAATATTTAATTCTTTTTTTTTATTTATTTGTCTTTTATTTCTCTTTTTATTTGTTACTTTCTACAAAAGTATTTTATAATTTTTTTACAAACTATTGTAAAACTATTGATTATTATCAGCAAATTAATATCGAATCAATTTTTGTATTAATAATGAAAAAAGTGAGTGGAAATAAACTTGAATTTGTTTCTTTTTTATAAGAAAAATATAATAAAAAAATTTTTATTATTTATATAATAAATAATTATTATATAAATGTTTTTATTATTTTATATAATAAAAACAGAAACATTAAAATATAAAAGAAAAATTTATTTTCAAATTTAAAGTAATTAAAAATTATATTTTTAAATAATTGTAGAATAAATTTAAACTTCTTGAAAGAAAAATATATTTATTGGATTGAATATTCATGTAAAAAGGACTAATTTGATCAATTAATCAGAAAACGAAATACAGTGGAAAAAGTCGATCACAGGTTTAATCCTATAGACTTTTTTTTAATATCAGTTATTAATAATATACGATTCTAAATTGATTAAGTGCATTGTGCAAAGTCTACTTGGTTCGGATTATGATTGAAACAATTGTCAAACAAAATATAATGCAGACACCATTTCAATGAGAGACGCAAAGATTGAAGGTCGACGTCTTTTATATATACAAAGAAAGATCTAATTAATAAAAGAGCGAAGGTCATTTATGCGTAACATGTTAAGTTAAAAAAACAAATTTTTTTTAATACCATTCACTCATACTTTCAATATCAATATCATTCGTTTTTTGGTTGTAAAGAACGTTTTTATTGAATATTCTAAAGTTTATAATAAATCCAGTTCAATTGCATGGAAATTATAGCGAATTCGTAAAGTGATTCCTTTCGATAAAATTTTAAATATTTCTTCTCTGTCTTTAGTTATTTTCAAAATAAATTTTTATTGAATTATTATTTTTTTTTATTTTAAACTTTTATTAAAATTTAATAATTCGGTAATAATTGAGAAATTTACTGATTTTTAATCAAATTTTTTCTAATTAAATAACAGTAACGAAAAATTGAACTGAAATGCGTTGAATTTTCGAAACAAATTTTCTTTTTTTCCGGATAGAATAACAATTTTAAAAATATAATATAAAATTTTATATTTTACATTTAGAGACTTTGTAATTTTTTTCTGTAGTAACGTAAAAATTATAATTCTTTTTTCTAAAAAAATTATTGCAATTAAAATCTGAAAAAAAATGTATTTCGTTCTATTAAACATTCGAAACATAAATAAATTTTAAAAAATAAAGAAAAAGTTAATAATTTCATAATCAGGGAAACAAAATTTTTGTCAGTAAAGTCAAGGAAATGTCAGGAAAAAAAATTTTTTGTCAGGGAAATGAAGAAAATTGAGACTTTTTTCTACTTTATTTTAAAAAATTGCGACTTTTTCGACTTTTTTCCAAACATTGCAACAAAAATAACTCAATTTTTAGTAAAAAAAAAAAGAGCAACTTATTTTAGTTTTTATAATGAGAGAAATAACTATAAACAAATCTTTCAAAAATTGTTTTTGAATCATTTTCTAACATAATTAAATTTTTCAAGTTGGAATTTTGTAAAATTTGTAAAATAAGTAAATAAATAAAAAATTTATTTGACAATAATTAATTTATTTAAAGTATTTTGTTGCAATTTTTGAAAATCAATTTTAAAGAATAAAAAATCTTTAGGTAAATTTAAAAATGAAAATTAATAAAAATTAGTTTCTAATTTTTTAAAATTCAATTATTTTTAATATTTTCAATTACATATTTTAAAAAATTCAAAAATAAATACAAAACATAATAACTTAAAAATTTTTTAGAATTATTTTGAACCTTTTGGAGAAAATAATCATGGACAAAATTTTTAATTAAAATTCATCAAAAAATTAATTAGTTTTTTTAAATTGTAGACAAAAGTTCTTTTGAGAAATTCAATTAGTTTGTAAAAATTACATTAAAATATTTTTAAAAACTAATTATTAGAATTGTTTTATAATAATTTTTTATGATTCAATTATCTTTGAACAATGTAAATAAAAATTGATGAAAATTTACTTTTAATTTAATTTAATTTAATTTAATTTATTGTAGAAATGATGGTCTTGTTTATAATTAAAATTCTTCAAAAATTTAATCATTTTTATTTATATTTTTTAAAAATTCAATTATTTTCAAAAGATTTTACCAAATTTTAATTTGTTGGAAATTTTTAAAAATTGAAAAACTATTATCTTTCAAAAATTATTTTAAAATATAATTGAATTCTAGAAGAATTTTTTTGATAGTGACTTGGTAACGCGAAATTTTTGCAATACAAATTTAATTTGAAGAAAAAAAAAAGTACTTCGTTCATTTAAATATGTAAAACATTAGGATCATAAAAATTAGTTTCTATTTCTAGTAAAACAATGTAAAAATAAATAAAATCATAAATATAAATAATAGATAATTAAAATTTTTAACTTTTCTTTACTTTTATAAAAATAATTGATTTATGTATTTTATTCATATCTATTATTTTTTTTATGCAGTAGCAAAATTTAACTTAATTTAATTTAAATTCAATAAAAACATTATAACAATTAATTTTTTTCCGACAAAAATTCAATAAATTTCAGTTCAATTTTCACTGAAATGAAGAAATTGACAAATGAATTAATTAAATTAATTGATTACAATAAAAAAAACCAGGTATTAATCAACTTGATTTGAAATGGAAATGTCTGTATATTTAAATAAATAATATTTATTTATAATTCCAATTGTACAAATAAAATATATTATCTATTATTGTAATTTATATAATATTTCCGGGTTTTTATAATAAACTGAAGAGAAAAAAAATTATTAAAAAAATAAAAGAATTGTACCTACACTTCATCATATTAATAAACTGTTAACTATTAAAAATAGCTTCATTTCATTCGTCATGAAAAAATTTATTAAAAATTCAAAACCTTCTTCTTGCGTAACTCTATACTGTTTGCTATTATCAGATTGGTTTTAATGAAAGTTATAGCAAGTTTATAAACAGTACATGAGGCAATAATAATAAGGGTTGGTCAGTGGAATTTTTTTTCTAATTTTTCATTTTGTATCAACAATGGAAAATTTTTTAAAAAATACAACGCTATTGCGTTGTATTTCTTTTTATAATAAAAAAATAAAATTTACAAGTTTTACTAATAAATAATTGTGCTGATCGATTATAGGTAGAAATGAAGCTTCTTTTCCCTATATTATTACCCTAAAAGTGTGACGTTCTAAAACGTCATTGGCTGAACAGAACCAACCTTCGACCATTTCTATCTGGGTGCGTTAACACGAGAGACCGGTAGAGGCAATAGTGAGATTACAGTTGTGTTGTTACTCACCTCCTGAACACTTGGTAAGTCCTTATTCCCTATTTTCTTCGCCAGTTCTTCAATATTTGTAAATAAATTCTTTTTTTTTCTTCTTTCTTTTTCCTTCTTTCAAGTGAAAGAAAAAAAATAAAATACATTTCAATTTTTTAGAAAAAATTTACCGTAGTTGAAAAATAAATTATTAACTTATTTGAAAGTTAGATTTATTTTATTTTGTAAATAAATTTATTTTATTTTCATTTTTGTAAATAAACTTTTGTTTTCGGTGAATTTCTTTGACCTCATTTGAATTAGTAGGGAAATGTAAACAGTTTTATTATTAAAAGTGCACTGCATTACATTGACTCCGAAATATCTTAATATTTATAAACTTCTATTTCCTGTTTTCTTTTGTACAATAAGAATTTTTTCTTTTTTTTTTTCTTCTTTAAATTTGATGTGAAAAATATTAAGAAATTTCGTGTATGTATTTTATATGGGGACATTTTTAATCAATATTTTCTTCTACAAAACTTGAGGTAGGAACAGCTGCGCGTGAACAAAAGAATAATCTTTGTTTTTATTTTACTTTCTTAAATTTAAATTTTATTGCTGTATTTTTATTATTATTGGTGGATAGGATTCGTAAATTTTGTGACAATTTTTAATTTATAAAAATAATTTCTCTTTTATAGTTTTTGATTTTAAACTGTTTAAAGAAGTGTGTCTATTTTTTTTGTCATGAAATATTTGTTGCTTTGTTATTATTTTTTGTGAAAATTGTTTTTGATTTTTTTTTTTGGATAATTAATTAATTTTTGAAAATTTAAATTTACTTTTCGGATAATTTGATTTAGAAAATTTCAATTTGACGGATGATTGTTGATTATGGTGCTATTACATCAGTTTTTTTCAAATTTCTTTTTTATTGGAATTGCGTTCTGAAATTGTTTTGCTTTTGTATTATTAAAATACAAGATAAAGAAATTATGAAATTATAAAATTATTATTTTAGTGAAAATAGACTCGAGTTTGAAACTTTAACTGAAAATTTTATTTATTATTTTACTTTTCTAGTATTATTTATAGTATAAACTAATAAATAAATTTTACTATTAATTTTTTAAATATATTTTACTATTATTTTTAATTTTTAATTAATAATTTTATTTATTTAGTTATTTATTTAGTTAGTTGTTTATTCAGTTATTTATTCAGTTAGTTATTTAGATAGTTTTTTATTTATTTAGCTATTTATTTATTTAGCTATTTATTTATTTAGTTATTATTTTATTTTGAGTAATAGACGAGCAATAAGGTAAAAATAATTTTTCCAAACCAAAAGAAGGAAAAATACACTTTCGGCAAAAGTTTAAATAAATTTTTACATTTGTAAGAAGAAAATTGATTTCTTTTTAAAAGAGGAAAAGCGAAAAATGACTTGTAGGAAAAAATTTATGTACACACAAAGACTTGGCTTGGACTTTGTTCATGTAACACAACTATATACTTTTGGAGTGAGATCTGTTATACTTTGACAGTGATCTTTGTACCCAAACAAAATTTTTGCTGTTTCATCAAAACTCAAGTCTATTTTGATATTTCGTGACTCTATCCTTGTTTACAATATTCGCAACCAATAATAATAAAAGTGTTAACAAACAAATTTAAAAAAAAACAATTTCGAATTTTTTCAAAAAAAAAAAATGAAATTTTTTTACTTTACGTTAAAAAATTTTTTTCTTTGAGAAAAATTTATTTTTGGTCTATAAAAAATATTGAAAGTGATTAAAATTTTTTTGAGATATGTTATTGTAATAAATGTCAATTGTTTGTTGTAGAGAAAAATTAGGGAAAGTTGAGAAAAAAAACTAAATTACCTACCTTTTTAACTTGAACTGATTCGGAACATTAGAAAACTGTGACTTCACAAAGATATAAATTCATTTTGGCAAAAATCCAACCTTGAATCGTATATACTTGATGCTAATTTTAAACTACACTCTAAGCAATATTTTCATCTTTGTCTTAGCACCTTTTTAATTTAATATACAACCTAATCTGTCAGCAGAGGTGTTTTTTTTTAATGAAAAATTTAATTTGAAAATAAAAATATTTCCTGTTGACAGTTATTCATAATTTAGATACGTAAACGACAAATTCAAACAAACAAAAATTGAAAATTAGAAGAAACAATTCTATAGATAAATAAAATAAAATGAAAAAAAAATTCTGAACAAAAAAGAAATTAAAAATTAATTATTTGTACATAAAAATTAAAAGAATAAATTCCCAGCAAAAGAAAATGAAAGAAAAAATTCTAAACAAAAAAGAAATTTAGAATCAAAAATTAATTATTTGTATAAAACAATTAAAAGAATAAAGTCCAAACAAAGAAAAGAAAAAAAGAATAAAAAAAATTAAAAGAAAAAAGTCTAAACAAAAAAACTTCTTTTTTGAAATTTCTAATTTTTTCTTTGAATTCCTATTTAATATTTTAATATTGTTTTGAAAATTAAAAGGAAAAAAAATAAAAATTTAAGAAATTATTTAAAATTAAAATTTAAAAAGAGTATTTTTTATTATAAATTTAAAATAAAGTTCTAAAAAAATTGGAAAAGATTTCTTCTATAAAAATTAGTGTGAATTTAAAATGTTGATTATAGCGTAAAAAGCACGTGACGTCTGGAGATAACATATTTCAAATGGATAGTTAAATATCGATACCAATAAATAAATAAATTTTTTTCGTATTATCGGAACATCTGCATAATGTAGACATAATAACCGAATTCTTTTTTTAGTTTCGAAATTTTTATTTTGAAGAAACAATTCGAAATCATTTTTTAATCAAAAGTAGCTGACAATTGAAATAATTTTTGTTTGTTTCTCAAAAACTAAATATTTAACTCAAAATAACTCTTCTATTGAAATATATTTATTTTTTGAGTCGAACGATTTGGTTTTATTTTTATTAAATTATTTATTATTATTATTTATTTTAAGTTTATTTTCTGGTTAAATAAATAAATAAATAAATAGTTTTTATTTAGAAATTAAAGGGCAAAGAAGCCGACGAACACAAATGAATTAAAAAACAAAACAAAAAAATAGAAATTACATTTTTGTAAAATAAAATAGAAATTCCACTTTTGTGAAATAAATAAAATAACCAAATATTTTGCTTGTTTGTTACAGAAGAATAGTATGATTAAGGAAATTCATCAAGAGAAAGATAAAGACGAATGCCTGCGGGCAGGAGGGCTCTATGTTTTCCCTGATCATTTCAGAGAAAATAAATTTTAATAACTTCATGTTTCTATGAAGTTGGAAAAATTTGTCCTTATATCCAAAGGGACTTTGTAAATAGTGTATAAATTTTTTTTTGTTGAAATTCTTGTCTATATATAAATTATTTGTGAATTTTTGGAGGAGAAAAAAAATTCACTTCTACAGAAGAGGATAATTATAAATACACTCTTTAATATCTCTCCTGAAGAAATTAAAAATCGATTTTAAATTGAAATTTACGGACCCAAAAGGAAAAAAAAGAAACCCCCAAGAGAAGAATACCTTACCGGCATAAAAATGAAGATGGAAGTAAAGGCAGACAATACACCCCTCGCTGTTAAGCTATTAACAGCAGGCACTGCTGCTTGCATTGCTGATTTGGTAACCTTTCCATTGGACACTGCAAAAGTCCGTATGCAGGTAATATCCTCTTTTCAAAATCCAAAAAGTACAATTATTGAGTAAATAGAGATTCTTTGAATTTTGAGGGAATATATGTGGATTTATGAACAAAGAACAAAATTCTAAGATTTGAGGGAAATTTTCTTGAATTGAAAATAATATTTTCTTTTTGCCTGAGAAAAATCATTTTGTGGGTGAAATAATTTCTTTTTAATGAAATGATGTGTTTTGTAGCTAAAAGCAGGGTTGCCACAGGTTAAATCACAGGAAATCAGGGAAATTGGGAAACAGTCGAGAAATTTTATTTAAAGTACTGGAAAAAGTATTAAATTTCTAGAATTGATAAAAAAAATTTTCCTTTCTGATGTCCTTTGAAAACATTAAAAACATCTAATGTTTAAAATGTACATTTAAAAATTTTTGAAAAATTAGTAATTTCTCAAATATTTTAATTATAATCCTCCAGAAAAAAAAATAGAAAAATTGATCAGTTCTTTAAATTGTCCAACGATTCTTTTAAAAAATTGAATTATTTTTTAAAGATTGCTTTACAAAATTGTTTAAAAAAATTAATTCTCAGAATTTTTTTTCATAATTTTTTTAAATTCAGTTATTTTTAAAAAGGCGAATGAATTTTTTTTAAATCTACTTTTTTAGACTTATAAATAAAATTTTTGAGTAATTGTGTATTTCACAAGTAATTAGTGAATTAGTAATTATAGTTCTTCGAAAACTTGATAATTTTTTAATATTTCACCAAAGTTCTTTTAAAAATGTCAATTATTTTCAGTAATTTTACAAAATTTCAATTAATTGAATTTGAATTAATTACTAATTTTTAATATTTTTTAAATAACTATTTTTTTTTATTACAATTAAGATCGCTGGCGAAGGACGAGCTGCAATGCTCATGGCATCCCCAGAAGGCTCAGTGATGGCAATTCGTACTGCCCAACCAGGTTTACTGCAAACATTAGCAAACATCGTTAGACTCGAGGGAGTAAGGTGAGAATTCATTATTTTGCATTTTTATTCAATCTATATAATGGTGGGTAAAATTTTTGCTAAAGGAAATTTAATTATTATCATGAAATTAATTCATCGAACATTTTTGTTCTTCTATTTTTCAAAAAGTAAATTTTTTTTATAATTTGATAACTACTGCAAACTATTCTAATTATTTCTATTCTATTTATTGACAAATTTTTATATTTTTCTTTTTCTTTTCTTTTATATTTACGTTTCGTGTACATAATAAATAAATTTTTTTATATTCAATTCATTAGGAATTAATTTCCCTGAAATTTCGAACTTTTAAATGAACGACGATATTTTTGCATATTACTTCTTTTATGTAATTTGAATTTTATTTACAATTCCTTTACAAAATATTTATTTTCAATGAAATTTAATTAAATGAACTACAATATTTTTGCATATTATTTCTTTTATTATTTTATTTACAATTCCTTTACAAAATATTGCTTTTGCAAAATATTTACTTTCAACTAAATGTTACTATCAAAATATTCTTCATTTCAGTACAAAGAAATTAATATTAATAAATAATATAAATATAATATGAAAAGAAATAATAGAAAGAGAGAAATAATTATTTAATAATAAAATTTTAATTTTATTATTAAACATTCAATTTCAATTATTTTCAATTTCAATTCAAAATATTAATTTTTCAATTTCCAAAAAATATTGGAGTACAAAAATATTTCGTTCATTTGAATGTTCGAATCTTGGAGGGGAAATAGAGAATAAAAAAGTCACAACAATTTTTTCTTTGATTGAAATATAAAAAAATTTATTTATTGCATGTAGTGTGGGAAAAAGTAACAAAAAATTGATATAATTATAAAAAGAAGTGGGTTGAGGTGAAAAATAAAAAGTAGAGCAAAAGAAAATGTACCCGAGGGCATTTTCTTAAGTTGAGAGGGGATATTTGAAACTTCAGGAGCTTGTATGGAGGACTTTCTGCGGGACTCCAAAGACAGATGTGTTTTGCAAGTGTGAGATTGGGCCTGTACGACAATGTCAAGACATTCTACGCTGGAACAACCGACGGTACTACCAAACAAACAAAAAATGCTCAAATTTCCATAAATCTGCGGTCATCTTTTTTTTTCTTTAATTTTTTTTTTGGGACTATTCCGATATTCCCATAATCCAAGATGAGACTCGAATTTCTAAACTTTCTTCACACGAATTGGAAAAAAACAGGCTTGATTACAAATTTTTATAATTGAAAAATATTTAGAATATTTACTTAGAAAATAATAAATGAGAAATAATTTTTTAAAAGAAATTTTCAATATTTAAATTTTACTGATTCTGTTAAAAAAGAAAATGAGAAAAAATTTCAGGCTTGTGTTGCATTTTTTTCGAATCAGTAAATTAAAATTTAAAGTGATTGTCATTTTGATTGGTATTTATTTTTTTTGACAGGTAATGTGAATATTTTGACAAGAATAGCGTCTGGAATAACAACTGGAGCTATGGCAGTGTTGCTTGCACAACCGACTGATGTGGTGAAAATTCGATTACAAGCGGGAAATAATGGAAAGTCTACTGTTCGATATAAATCAACTCTTGCAGCTTACAAGAATATTGCTGTTAAAGAAGGTGTCCGAGGACTATGGAAAGGTAAAAATTTATTTTTCTTTAAAGGGGTAAAGAATTTATTTTAAAAATCAATTTAGTGAAAAAGAAAATTGAAAATAGAAAATTTAACGGAGAAGCAAAATTGCAAAAGATTGGATTTTAAACAATTGGATTTATTTGTTAATTCCGAAGAATTAAAGAAAGAGCGGTACGTGACTTATTTTTATCCGCTGGTATAATTTTTTTTCAATTACAGGGATCACAGTAATATTAGGTAAAAAAGGAAAAAATAACAAAGGAAAAAGGGGATTTTTCTCTTCATTGCAATTTCTTTAAATCAGATTTTTTTTGTTTAATTTTTTCCGTTATTAATTGGTATTTTATTAATTTTTTTTATTAAATTTATCAATTTATGTATTTTATCTTTCTCTGTAGTCTGCAATTTTCCTCAAATCTGAATCAAAATTTTCGATGGTTTTGTTTGAAAATTTCATGATTTTACTAAATTCAAAGCAAATTTAAGTAAAAATTTGTAAAACTTACTATTAAAAATTATTATTTTCAGAATAAAATTTACCCTGAAAATTAATAATAATTTTTAATAACAAATTGAGCAACGTTCGAAGAAAATTTAGAAAATTCTGTTACAAAAATTAATTTTGTAAAAGTAGGTACTTCATTAAAATTTTTAAACTTCAAATTTTGAAGAATTTAAATTGCAAATTTTAAAAATAATTGAATTCGTAAGAATGAAATCAAAAATGAAATAAAGTATTGAAAATAAATAATTTTCAAATGAAGTAATAAAAATGAATCATTTATAAAAATTTTGAAAATGAAAATTAATTAAAATTTGTTTCAAAAAATTATATTAAAATATTTTTTAAAAAAATAATTCTTAGAATTTTGTCGTTGTAATTTTTTATAATTCAATTATTTCCAATATTTACAATTACATATTTCGAAAAATTTGAAAATCTAGAAAAAATATTTCCAAAGATTACAATTTTCTTAAAGTTTTTATGTTTTAGAATTATTATCAAAATTTTTGAGAAATTAATCCATTTTCAAAATATTTTAACTAAAATCCTACTCCAAAAATTAATTAGTTTTGTAAAATATCCAACAATTTTTTTAGAACTTTAATTATTTTAGAAAAATTACATTAAAATATTTTTAAAAAATTAATTCTTGGAATTTTTTTATCATAATTTTCTAAAATTTAATTATCTTGAAAAAAAGTTAATTAAAATTTTAGAAAATTCAGTTTTTTTAATCTTATAATTAACATTTTGAAGAAATCATTTATGTTTTAAATTTGTAATTACATAAAATTCGTCAAAATCTTGATAGTTTTTTAATATTTTACCAAAGTTCTTTATAAAAATTCAATTATTTTCCAAAATTTTACTAAATTTCAATTATTTGGAAATTTTTCAATTATAAAAAATTGAAAAGGAAAAAAAAGTCTTTCAAAACCTAGTTTGAAATATCTTTAAAAAACTAATGTTCGAAATTATTATATTTCAATTCTTTTAAAATCAAATATTTCATTATTTTCTGTTACATTTATTCAATGATTCTCCGTAATAATTTTTTTAACTTCGATTATCTTCAAGAAAAGTAAATTAAAATTTTTTAAAAAATCTACGTTTTTGGAGTTATTTTTTATGAAAGAAAAACATGATAAACAACTGTTACAATTATAATAATAATAATTATTATTATAATAATCGAGAATTCAATTATTTAAATATAAAGGTATTTAAATAATTGAATTAGTTTTAATAATTGAATTAATGAAATTTCGAAGAACATTTGAAAAATTATTAAAAATAATTTATTTAGAGAAGAAATTCAGTTAAAAATTGTAAAAAAATAATTGAATATTGGCAGAATTTAAATTCTAAATTTAATTTAAAAATTCTAAAGAACTTAGGTTTCGAAAATTTTTTTTTTTATTTTTTGAAATTACTTGAATTTGAATTTCGATTATTCGAAAGCTTATTAATCAAATAATTTTAATTAAAAGATTTTCGAATTCATAATTAAAATTGAAAAAATTGAACTTTAGACGAATTTTAAGTGAACTTTCTTTTTTTTATTAAATAATTGAAACTCTCGAAGAAAATTCTCAAAATTATTAAAAATAATAATAATTGATTTAGGGAGGAAGTTTAGCTAAAAATTATAGAAAATAATTAAAGTTTGGAAGGATTATAGTTGTTATTTTAGAGAAATAATTAGATTTCTTAGAAACTTTGAAATTTGAATTTAAAAAATTTGAATTAAAAAAATAAAATAACAAGGATTTAAAATTTTAAATATTTTTAAATCAAAAAGTAAAAATTTTCAAATAATAGAATTTAAAAAACGGGAAAGATCAGAGAAATAAGAAATGAATTTTTTGTCACAACACTGAATAAAATAAACGACATTTTCGACTTTTTTTATTTATTTATTCATTTAAATTAATTAATTTAAATAATTTAATTTTTAGAATTTAATTTTAATCTTTAATCAACTAAAGTAATTTTTTACGCGTTGAAGTCTATCCAAGGCCTGTAAGTTTGAAAGGATAAAAAAAAAAGAAAAAAGAGCAAGAGGTATAAGATAAGAGCAAAAAAAAAAAATAATTGTGATCCCTGGAATTAAAATTTTAAAAAGAAAAAAACTTTAAAAAAAAGAAAAGAAATTCGAAATTGATAGAAATTATAATGAATGAATGAGTGAATGACTGGAAAACAATGATGATAAAATGGAATATTTTTCGAAACAGGAACGGCACCCAACGTCTCGAGAAATGTAATAGTAAATGTCGCCGAAATTGTTTGCTACGACGTGATAAAGGACTTGATTTTAAATAATGGACTAATGCGAGACGGTATTCCTTGTCATCTTGCTGCAGCGACAGCTGCTGGCCTATGTACCACAATTGCAGCGAGTCCAGTAGACGTTGTTAAAACTCGATACATGAATAGTGCACCTGGTGAATATAAAAGTGCACTGGACGCCGCGAGTCGTATGCTTATCAATGAGGGTCCACAAGCATTTTACAAAGGTTTCTTGCCAAGTTTCGCGCGTTTCGTTTCATGGAACATCGTTCTTTGGGTGACTTACGAGCAAATTAAGATCCAAGCCAAAAAATTGCAGCAACCTTATTAAAAAAAAAACTATTTCTAAGTTCAAAAAGAAAAGACAAATTCTCTTCTTTGTTTCTTTCAAGTTCTATTCATTTTAACAAATTCGTACAAAAATTCGTAATTATATTTTAAAACAAAAATTTTAAAAGTTAACCAGATTTTAATTTTTTGATAGTTAAACATTTTTTAAATATCAGCCTATTTTGAATAAAAATAAATATTCTTTTCGACTTTTTTTTTAAAAATTAATTGACATCTTTTTTTAAAATTAATTGATAAAAATACTTGAATCGAATAATTATTCTGTTCTTTATTATGATATTATTTAGTTTATTTAGTGATAGTTTTTTCTAAGGTTGAGCGCAAAACAATGCAGCAAAACAATATTTTCGAAGCACACTAGATTCGCAGGATAGAGAATTCTTCTAGTTTATTTTTTTTTTAGAAACTGATTAATGTTTTTAGTAATTAGTTTATCAAACAAGGTACTTTTGTACTGCTATATTTTTCCCTTAAGATTATTATCAAAATAACGTGAAAATGATAAATTTAGTGTAATTTATCGCACTTCTTTTCTTACCTATTAGATGTAAATTACAATAATAAATCTAATTAACTGTAAAATGTTCGTAATTTTAAGAAAGTATTTGAAAAAGTAATTTAAAAAAGTAAATGAAAAACATAATTTGTTCTGCTAAATGAAGATCAAATGAAAGAAAAGCAGTTTTTAGAAAAGAAGTTTAAATATAATACACGTCGTAGTTCTGGCAACGCATTTGATAAAAATAATCTTACAATTTGTGATCAAGTTTTTTTTTCGTTAGATCGCTGGCGGTCAGTAATTTTTAATTGATTAGGTACAATTTAATTTCATGACAAATTTTTTTTTATATTTTCATTATTAAAGTACCAACATACAATATTTCTTTAGATGAGAAATTAAAGTAAAAAGTTAAAAAATAGAATAACGTTGGAAAAATTTACGAAAGTCTTTCTGACAATAATTTCAGACTAAATTTTTATACGTTTGTATTACTTCAGGAGAGAAATAACAATAATAGAATGAATTATAATGAAAAATATTGAAATTATCAAGAAGGAAAGTATTTTATGGGAATTTGAAAAAATATTTTATATGTTTGTATTTAAATAATGTATAATGATAATTTATTTGACTTTGTAAATTATTTGGATAAGAGTTTAAAATAGTATTTTTACAAAAGTTATTAAATAAATGCCAATAATTGTTTAAAATCCGCATTCGTCATATTACAACCTAGTGATTTTTTAAATAATTTTTCGTTTTCTTTCAGTGATCTCACTAATCTATAAACAGGTGGAGAAAATTAATTTTAAGTTCCTAAAGTTTCGAATGTTTAAATGAAGGAAAAAATTTTTCATACTTCTGTTGATTTATGTTTTATTATAGAAATTATTTTCTTTATTCAAAAAATGAATTTATTTTCTATTCAAATATTTTCCAAACATTTTGAAAATAAATTGTTATTCCATAAATATTTAATTTATATTGTTTTTAGTATAATAATTTTTCAAAGTATTTAAATAGAAAATTTTCGTTCATTTGAAGGTACAAAACTTTAGGAACATTTTTTTACTTTGGAAAAAATTTAAAAGCTTTATAAAGAATAAAACTAAGAAAACTTTTATTTTTTTTTCAGTTTCATTGCTTATAAACGAGGGTTGCCACAGTTTAGGAAAATCAGGGAAAAGTCGGGGATTTTTATTAAAAATACTGTAAAAAATGTAATTTTTTAAATTCATAAGAAAACTCTGAATTTTGATGTTTTTTGTATAAACTATGAAATTACTACGAATTCTAATACAAAACCTTCAATTTTTTCTATTTCTATTTACAATTAACGAAATTTGTAAATAAATGTAATCGAATTTTGAGTATCTAATAATTTTTAGAGTGAATCAGAATATTCTTTAGGGTCAGGGAAAAAGTAAAAATCAGTCAACAAAAAATTTTTGAAATCAGGGAAAAGTCAGGGAAAAACAAAATTAAATATTTGTGGCAACTCTGATAAAACAAATGTAATTAAATAAATAATTTAATTACTACAGCATAGTTTCATTATTTTTTTATTATCTTTTTCAACTGATTTTCATTTTCATTCTCATTCTCTATAATAAAATCCGAAATTGTTAGTTAGAATTATTAAATCACAGAATAATGTAGATAATTATTTATCATCATAAATTCAATATCCAAAATTTAACACTATAAATTCAATCTACTCTATATCGTAATGGAATTCATTTAAAATTGTAAAACTTACATATTCGTCTGCTCTCAGATATATAGTGTAATAAAAAAATTTCTTTCCTAATATAGATATATATTTATAAATTTCTTTCTAAATTCTTGATAATTTTCAAATTAGAAATTTTATTCGAAAATTTAATCATCGAATTCTGATTCTTCTGATTCTAATGTTGAAGATTCGTCATCTTCAATGCAGCCTTTTTCTTCAATTACAGCTTCTCCCATCGGAATCCTAAAAAAACATTTAAAAAAACATATTCAGTAAAAATAGAAAATATTTTTGCAAAATTTGAAAAATTTGAAATTTTTTAAACTTAAAAATAGTTTATTATAAAAATGTTATTAAAAAACAATAAGCAAATTTTTCTTCAATTTTCATCCAAATTTGTATATTTTTGAAAATTTATTAATACGGTTATAATATTAGATTAGATTGAATTTCTTTTTAGTTTTCTTTTAATTTATAAACTTGAAATAAAATTTTTTTGAATTAATATACTTCTTTTCTTAAATATACTTTTTTTTTAATTTTCCGTCTAAAGTAGTGAAAAAAAGCTGCATAAAAAAGCAGAGCATAATTGCAGTAAATATATGTAAATAAAAATCTGAAAAAAATAATATCAAAATAGTGGCAAAAAAAGATTTTGGGAGATTATGTTAGTTGAAAATTATTAGAAGCAGTTTTTAGTTTTTCTGATATGTTAAACTAAGAAATGCTCTTTATTTTCCAATACCTAATTAATCGGGCTATTTTTTTTTTTGCTTGATATTTAAACGTTAAGGGATTCCTAAAATGTGTTGTTTTGCATGTTTATCCTGGATACATTTGTGGAACTGCTTTGATTTTTTCAAAATACATTTTAACGGGCAACAGTGTCGATCCTCGGACATTCGTGCAATGTTTCTTCATAAAACAAGTAATTAAAATATTTCTTTAATTATCATTAATTATTAATCAATAATTAATTAGTTAATTGTAAACAAGTGTCTGTGTTTTTGTATCTGTGATCATATTTCTATTTTTAGAAAAAACTTTTTCAATATTTGTTGAAAATTGATTATTGAATTGTGATTCATTAAATTTATTTAATTCGATAATAAATTTTATAAATAAATAAAGAAACTAAATAGATTTGATAACAATTTGATCAATTAGATAATAAAATCTAATAAATTAGATACTAAATTAGACAAATAAATTAATTTGAATTAAATAACTGAATAAATAGTCTTTTATTTATTTTTATAACTGAATAAATATTCAGTTATTTAATTCAAATTATTGAATGCATTTAATTTAATAAATTATTTTTATAAAATTATTTATTGAAAATAAAATTTGTCAATTTTGAAATGAAGTCTTTAATTAGAGATACTCGAGATATTTTAATGTTAACGAAAAAAATTTAATAGTGCCTACTTTTCGAAGGACCAATCTTCATTGTCGTCCTTCATCAAGAAGAGTGCTTGGCAAAATTCTCTACCAATATCTTTCAAATTTTTCGTATCCAAGTGAAAACCAGACAATGGTCCTTGATCACAGCCGCAAAAGCTACTCTCCATCGTGTAGCTTCTGAAGAAAAAATCATTTTATCAATAATTTGAAAATTTTTCGAATCTACTAAAAGGATTTTGTTCTCTCGAAAAAAATAGGATTTCAAAATTCAGTAAAATCTTTGTTTCGCAAAATTAATTTAATTTCATTATAGAAATTTTATTTTAAAAAATCTTTTACTGAATTTAATTGTAATTTTTTTTTCTATTTTCATTTTTTCTATATCCTCAGTAATTAACTTGCCTAGTAACTCCTAATTGTCGCCAAATTGCCACCCTCGCAGTTGACTCTTTATGTCTCTCAACTTTAAACGAACACAAAGATAATGCAAAAGCTGGAGAAATTTTTTGCATCAAGTAAGGCAGCATCTATAAAAAATAAAATAATAAAAAAAATTTTTATCCTTTTGTTTTTAATTAGAAAAAGATTTTTATAAAACAAAAAAAAAGTAATATTAAATAATTTTTAAATCGTATACAATTTTTTACATAATATACGATGTTTCACTATAAACATAAGAGGGAAAAAAAATATGGAAATGTATAAAGTAGAAATAAAATTTTGTTGTAAATATAATTTTTTTTTTTTTTTTGTAAAGAAATAATAGAATTTAATTGATCATTTTTAAATTGTAACTCACCAAATACTGTACCGGTTGATCCGGTTTTGCTCTGTCGATGGCACTCCATGATAAAGACCTTGAGCAACCGAAAAGAAATATGTTTTTCCTACGTGAATGTCCATGATAGTCGACAAATACGTGTGGTGGCCGAAACAATACCCTCGTACAATATTCCATCAATCCTTTTGTATGATAAATCGTTGGATGCAAAATTGGATCAGGATTACTCCAACGTCTATTGAGATCTTCGTTTGTCAAACCATATCGATTACTGTGGAATAAAAAAAAAATTGTATGAGTGTCAAAACTATATTAAATTTATATTTATTTTTGTAATACAAAAAAGGCTTGTTTATTAATAAACTTTAAAAAAAATGAAAAAACAAAAATGTCTTACACTTATTTTACCCTTCCTACAAGTTACTATTTTTAACATGTCAATTTTCAAATTAAAAAACCCGCCAAGCGCCAAAAGTGTAAAATTGCGCATGCGGGATCAAATAAAAAATTCGGCATTTAACGATATAAAAATTAATAAAAATGGACTTGTAAAAAAATAAAAATAATTAACTTATAAAATTTATATACGTATCTATTAATTTAATTACGATTATTTCTTTAAATTATTACTAAAAGTTAAAAATATGACCAGTAGAAGAAGATGGGAATACCCTTTCTGAAAAGTAAGTATCAGGATAACATAAGGATGTAGGAGTAACTGTAGAAACTGGCGCGATATTTAAGTGTTATTTAAAATTAAAACAAATTCTAGATGGTAAAAAAACTAAAACTATGATTTCAATAAACAATAAAATTTTATTGTAAAACAATATCTTTATTTTTAAGAATAAATAATATTTGCGCATTTTAAAAATATAAAACTAGAAAGACTATATATTTATATTTTTACAAATTTTTTTGTTAAAATAATTGTTTATTTATTTATATTGTTTGTTAAAATACAATCAGCAACAATAAAAATAGTTAAAAAACATAGTATTTAATTAATTTATTGCTTTATTTAATTATTAGTTAGTTCCCAAAAAATCCGTTAATATGAGACAAGTGGCGCCAAAAAATGGGTCCAATTTTTGGCGCCACTTGTCTCATATCAGCGGATTTTAGAGGAACTAAACGCTATTTTTTAATTATTAATTTCTTTATTTATTTTTTATTTTTTTATTAAAATAATTGTTTATTTAATTATATTAGTTGTTAAAATACAATCTGCAACAATAAAAATAGTTAAAAACATAGTATTTAATTAATTTATTGCTTTACTTAATTATTAGTTAGTTCACAAAAAATCCGCTAATATGAGACAAGTGGCGCCAAAAAATGGGTCCAATTTTTGGCGCTACTTGTCTCATATCAGCGGATTTTAGAGGAACTAAACGCTATTTTTTAATTATTAATTTCTTTATTTATTTTTTATTTTTTTATTAAAATAATAGTTTATTTATTTATATTAGTTGTTAAAATACATTCTGCAACAATAAAAATAGTTAAAAACATAGTATTTAATTTATTTATTGCTTTACTTAATTATTAGTTAGTTCCCAAAAAATCCGCTAATATGAGACAAGTGGCGCCAAAAAATGGGTCCAATTTTTGGCGCCACTTGTCTCATATCAGCGGATTTTAGAGGAACTAAACGCTATTTTTTAATTATTAATTTCTTTATTTATTTTTTATTTTTTTATTAAAATAATTGTTTATTTATTTATATTATTTGTTAAACCATAATTTGCAACAATAAAAGTAGTTAAAAACAGAGTATATAATTAATTTATTGCTTTACTTAATTATTAGTTAGTTCACAAAAAATCCGCTAATATGAGACAAGTGGCGCCAAAAAATGGGTCCAATTTTTGGCGCTACTTGTCTCATATCAGCGGATTTTAGAGGAACTAAACGCTATTTTTTAATTATTAATTTCTTTATTTATTTTTTATTTTTTTATTAAAATAATAGTTTATTTATTTATATTAGTTGTTAAAATACATTCTGCAACAATAAAAATAGTTAAAAACATAGTATTTAATTTATTTATTGCTTTACTTAATTATTAGTTAGTTCCCAAAAAATCCGCTAATATGAGACAAGTGGCGCCAAAAAATGGGTCCAATTTTTGGCGCCACTTGTCTCATATCAGCGGATTTTAGAGGAACTAAACGCTATTTTTTAATTATTAATTTCTTTATTTATTTTTTATTTTTTTATTAAAATAATTGTTTATTTATTTATATTATTTGTTAAACCATAATTTGCAACAATAAAAGTAGTTAAAAACAGAGTATATAATTAATTTATTGCTTTATTTAATTATTAGTTAGTTCCCAAAAAATCCGTTAATATGAGACAAGTGGCGCCAAAAAATGGGTCCAATTTTTGGCGCCACTTGTCTCATATTAGCGGATTCTTGAGGAACTAAACGCTATTTTTTAATTATTAATTTCTTTATTTATTTTGTATTTCTTTATTAAAATAATTGATTATTTATTTATATTAGTTGTTAAAATACATTCTGCAACAAAAAAAATAGTTAAAAACATAGTATTTAATTTATTTATTGCTTTATTTAATTATTAGTTAGTTCACAAAAAATCCGCTAATATGAAACAAGTGGCGCCAAAAAATGGGTCCAATTTTTGGCGCTACTTGTCTCATATCAGCGGATTTTAGAGGAACTAAACGCTATTTTTTAATTATTAATTTCTTTATTTATTTTGGATTTTTTTATTAAAATAATTGTTTATTTAATTATATTAGTTGTTAAAATACAATCTGCAACAATAAAAATAGTTAAAAACATAGTATTTAATTAATTTATTGCTTTATTTAATTATTAGTTAGTTCCCAAAAAATCCGCTAATATGAGACAAGTGGCGCCAAAAAATCGGTCCAATTTTTGGCGCCACTTGTCTCATATTAGCGGATTCTTGAGGAACTAAACGCTATTTTTTATTTATTAATTTCTTTATTTATTTTGTATTTTTTTATTAAAATAATTGTTTATTTATTTATATTATTTGTTAAACCATAATTTGCAACAATAAAAGTAGTTAAAAACATAGTATTTAATTAATTTACTGCTTTATTTAATTATTAGTTAGTTCCCAAAAAATCCGTTAATATGAGACAAGTGGCGCCAAAAAATGGGTCCAATTTTTGGCGCCACTTGTCTCATATCAGCGGATTCTTGAGGAACTAAACGCTATTTTTTAATTATTAATTTCTTTATTTATTTTGTATTTTTTTATTAAAATAATTGTTTATTTAATTATATTAGTTGTTAAAATACAATCTGCAACAATAAAAATAGTTAAAAACAGAATATTTAATTAATTTATTCCTTTTTTTAATTATTAGTTAGTTCCCAAAAAATCCGCTAATATGAGACAAGTGGCGCCAAAAAATGGGTTAAATTTTTGGCGCTACTTGTCTCATATCAGCGGATTTTAGAGGAACTAAACGCTATTTTTTAATTATTAATTTTTTTATTTATTTTGGATTTTTTTATTAAAATAATTGTTTATTTATTTATATTAGTTGTTAAAATACATTCTGCAACAATAAAAATAGTTAAAAACATAGTATTTAATTTATTTATTGCTTTATTTAATTATTAGTTAGTTCCAAAAAAATTCGCTAATATGAGACAAGTGGCGCCAAAAAATGGGTCCAATTTTTGGCGCCACTTGTCTCATATTAGCGGATTCTTGAGGAACTAAACGCTATTTTTTAATTATTAATTTCTTTATTTATTTTGTATTTCTTTATTAAAATAATTGATTATTTATTTATATTAGTTGTTAAAATACATTCTGCAACAAAAAAAATAGTATTTAATTTATTTATTGCTTTATTTAATTATTAGTTAGTTCACAAAAAATCCGCTAATATGAGACAAGTGGCGCCAAAATATGGGTCCAATTTTTGGCGCTACTTGTCTCATATCAGCGGATTTTAGAGGAACTAAACGCTATTTTTTAATTATTAATTTCTTTATTTATTTTTTATTTTTTTATTAAAATAATTGTTTAATTATTTATATTAGTTGTTAAAATACATTCTGCAACAATAAAAATAGTTAAAAACATAGTATTTAATTTATTTATTGCTTTACTTAATTATTAGTTAGTTCCCAAAAAATCCGCTAATATGAGACAAGTGGCACCAAAAAATCGGTCCAATTTTTGGCGCTACTTGTCTCATATCAGCGGATTTTAGAGGAACTAAACGCTATTTTTTAATTATTAATTTCTTTATTTATTTTTTATTTTTTTATTAAAATAATTGTTTATTTATTTATATTATTTGTTAAACCATAATTTGCAACAATAAAAGTAGTTAAAAACAGAGTATTTAATTAATTTATTGCTTTACTTAATTATTAGTTAGTTCCCAAAAAATCCGTTAATATGAGACAAGTGGCGCCAAAAAATGGGTCCAATTTTTGGCGCCACTTGTCTCATATTAGCGGATTCTTGAGGAACTAAACGCTATTTTTTAATTATTAATTTCTTTATTTATTTTGTATTTCTTTATTAAAATAATTGATTATTTATTTATATTAGTTGTTAAAATACATTCTGCAACAAAAAAATAGTTAAAAACATAGTATTTAATTTATTTATTGCTTTATTTAATTATTAGTTAGTTCACAAAAAATCCGCTAATATGAAACAAGTGGCGCCAAAAAATGGGTCCAATTTTTGGCGCTACTTGTCTCATATCCGCGGATTTTAGAGGAACTAAACGCTATTTTTTAATTATTAATTTCTTTATTTATTTTGTATTTTTTTATTAAAATAATTGTTTATTTATTTATATTAGTTGTTAAAATACAATCTGCAACAATAAAAATAGTTAAAAACAGAGTATTTAATTAATTTATTGCTTTATTTAATTATTAGTAAGTTCACAAAAAATCCGCTAATATGAGACAAGTGTCGCCAAAAAATGGGTCCAATTTTTGGCGCCACTTGTCTCATATTAGCGGATTCTTGAGGAACTAAACGCTATTTTTTAATTATTAATTTCTTTATTTATTTTTTATTTTTTTATTAAAATAATTGTTTATTTATTTATATTAGTTGTTAAAATACATTCTGCAACAATAAAAATAGTTTAAAACATAGTATTTAATTAATTTATTGCTTTATTTAATTATTAGTTAGTTCCCAAAAAATCCGTTAATATGAGACAAGTGGCGCCAAAAAATGGGTCCAATTTTTGGCGCCACTTGTCTCATATCAGCGGATTTTA